TATATTGTTCATTTCATACATATAAAAGGTTTTTATTCTATATGAAATGAGAAGCAAATCCATCTTAGCTGGTGCCGTTAATGTTCCAATTGAACCAACATCAAATGTTGACTCACGAACGACAAACAATATTGTCATAAAGAACTATAGTTCGGAGTGTTTGAAAGAAAAAGAACCAGAGCTGAAATCCGTGAATTTAAACTCAGCTTCAAACGCTAACGCTACATCAGATGTTAAGTTAGAGTATCCACCACTGGACCAAATTCTTTCAAGAGAAGCCAACGACAACCCTTACACAAATGTTCAAACAAATCCTTCAGATAACGTAGACCATTACCTTCTTCAGTTATACCAAACTATCTTACTCAAAGACGATAAGAAGCTTTTGACAAATCTTATAAGCAAGAACCAAATAATTCTAACAAAGGAGGACCTTGAAAATGTTATATCACGAATAACAGGGAAACAATGTGTCATTGACTATCTCGACCCTGAAATCGAATGCTGTGGTCAAACTCCACCATTCATGAAAATAGGTAACATCCGCATCATTGAAACACCAGGTACTCCAGGAGTTGAGTTTAAGTATAAATATTCAAACGAGTATACAAAACTTTCAACAGAATATAAACTTTGTTTGAAATATGTTTTAGTAAATTAAAGCAATTTGTAATATCTATCCAAAACTTCTTCAACAGTATCGAACTCATCTTCATAATGCAAACCTAATCTTATTGACTTGGTGCAGTTTTCACTAACACAATATTTTTCTGTTCTCTTGACTGACATAACTAACTCATTTGTTTCATCAAACAGCAACAACCAAAGTTCATGACCTAATACATAACATTCATACTTTATATTTTTAGCTCTGAGTTCTCTTGTAAGCTGTTGCATTTAATATTTTCTAAAAAGTCAACTTCAACAGTCATTCGCACTGGTGCCTTCAGTTCTACAGGCTCGCCTTGAAAGTCAACTAGTCTGAATTGCATGTCTTTCAAATTATGAGGACTAATGCGAACCCATTTACCTAAATGAGTTGCTATGACAGGAACGTTTGGAATGAACATTGAATTTACTTCATAACAGAAAGATTTATACTCTACTGAACCTTTACTATTAACTCCTGAAATGCCTGTGACATTAGCTATTTTTGACTCAATGTATAAACAATTACCATAACATACATATGGAACAGATTTCATCTCAATCGTTTTGTCAACACTTTTCAAAGGAAATGTCATATGGTATGCACCCAGAAGCAATTGAACTCTATGACTCATTCGTGTTATCTTGAACTCTTTCTTGCTACTGAACTTCAATGTTCCCTCAGAAGAGAGTTTGACATCTATGTTGTCAATAGTTTCTTCATTTATGAGAGTATCTATGACTCCAGCAATTTTATCTATTCTATACTCTGCTCTGTTAGGAAATGTTATAAAACTTCTTTTGTCATCTATTTCAATCTCTATGAAATCTGTTTCATCTGTTATGACAAAAGTTGCGATAGTATTGAAGTCAACAACTCTGAAAGCAAGTGCTTCATTCTGAAGACCTAAGTTTGTTTGAAGCTTTACTGTTCCATATTCGTTTGGGTCTGTACTTTGCAAATAGAACAACATTTTATTCTCATTAAAATATGACTATTGCTGCATATGCGTATGAAACAAATGAAGCAAGAAGAGCACATGAACTAGTAAACGAAAACTCAACTTTAACCATTGAAGGCAATGATTTAGTCATTGACGATGGAAAGACTAAAAAAGTCATTGATTTCGATACTTTTAACACTTATGACCCATTCATTACAATAAGCAAGGTTCCTATCATAAATGATGGAACGGTACAATATATAAATTCTACAGTAGATGCCTCATTAGTGAAAGTATTAAATGTTCTCATTGAATTGTTAAAGAGCTTTCGATTTGACGACAACATTAAATGCCTAAAGAATTTAGTCATGAATGAGAAACAAATTCTCGGCGTTGCTGGTAGCAGTAATGATGTACACCTTATGACATTAGAATATTATAACGAACATAAAGATGAACTGAAAGGAGAGAAGGGTGACACCGGACCTCAAGGACCACAAGGACCACAAGGAATACAAGGAATACAAGGAATACAAGGACCTCAAGGCGAAAACGGTTTGGATGGTGAAGATGGAAAGGATGGAAAAACTGCTAAATCATGGATATGGAACCTTATAAATACTGGTTTAACAGCTGCTTCATATGGAGTTCTTCAATACCAAATCGGAAAGATATGGGCAGTACTTGGTGAAGAAGTTTTAGATGACGTTAAAAATGCTTTGAACTTCATTTCAAATGGTTCGGATACTATTAAAACTTTATCTGGTTGGATGCAAGAAACAAGGAGTCAAATAGATACTGTAAGACGTATAGCAAACAATGCACGTACGGGATTGGATACTTTACGAGAAGCACAAAATACACTAAAGGAAGCAAATGATATTCTTGGCTCAGTATCAGACATGCATGAAGATTGGCTTAAAGGTATTGACAAATCTTTAAAAAATCACAGTCAGTCTATTGCTGACTACAAGAAAAGTATAGATTTTTTACATAGTGCTATGGACGTACATGATGGAAGCATAAGGAACTTACTTAATGCTAACAATAACTTACCAGGAACTATTAAAGCATTTATAAAGTCCTTTGTAAAACCTGGTGCTCTAACATTTAGGTCTTTGAGAGCAAGAGCATTGAAGTCAAGAGATGCAGAAACTCCAACAGAACCTACAGAAGGAACTGAAACAACAGAAACTCCAGAAGAACCACCAAAACCAACAGCTAATGAAATATTGTTCGAATATTTTCCAAGGTACTCTGTTCTTATTGCATACATTCAAGAAATACTTAAGAAAGCAGACTTGACTTTAGGAGATGATGAAAGTTCTGTATATCTTTCGTTCCAGTTTCAAATAGCAGAACTTTTGAGACAGATATGCTTAATGTATGACAACATCTCTGATTTCACAAGATATGATGACGACCATGACCCCGAACACGGTGAAGAAGAAGTTTTACAAACATCCATTAAGACAGGAAAGGTTTTAACACAAAGTCTCATTATTGACACCAAAGATGGCGAAGTGGACGTTCTTCAAGAGCTGAAGAAAAATACTTCTTCGGGAGGTGATGGTAGGCATGAACTTGAAATAAATGAGATAGAAGAGAAATTAGCCGAAAAAGCAGATAAAGAACATAAACACAATATCTCCGATATAAATGAACTTCAAGCTACATTAAATAGTAAAGCGGACAAAAATGAACTTGACGCAATGAAGAAAGTTTTGAAATCTCATAAACACAATATCTCCGATATAAATGAACTTCAAGCTACATTAAATAATAAAGCGGACAAGAACCATGTTCATTATATACGTTCAGACGAACAGATTATAACGGACTATCATGGATATTTAACACGAAGTGAAGAAGTGAAGACGAAAAATGTTAATGAAAGAAGATATAAATTCATTCGTGCTAAAGGTTATGACATACACTGTACTGTACAGTATGACACAGGTATAGCACCACAATCATTTGGTTATAACGCTGAAATTTATGCTTCATACTTCTTTGTTAACAGTGTATTAGTTGAACCAAGATTTACTTTGAGAGTTAAGTCAAAAATAACTTTTGAAGATGCTATTAAAAGTAAAGCGGACAAAAATGAACTTGACGCAACGAACAAAGTTTTGAAATCTCATAAACACAATATCTCCGATATAAATGAACTTCAAACTTCTTTAGACAACAAAGCAGACAAAAATCATACACATAAATCCTTCACTACTGTTAGAGCAGACGACATAATATTGAACTATGATTTGGGTTCAAGTGCACCTTTAGAGAATCCGAGTACAAGCGTAAAAGATACTCTTAACAATTTAGATAAGAGTTGCAGGAATATCGAAGATCATGCCAGAAACTTTGAAGCATATGAACTACCAGCAATGTTAGATAAGAAAGCAGACAAAAATCATACACATAAATCCTTCACTACTGTTAGAGCAGACGACATAATATTGAACTTTGACCTTGGTTCAAGTGCACCTTTAGAGAATCCGAGTACAAGCGTAAAAGATACTCTTAACAATTTAGATAAGAGTTGCAGGAATATCGAAGATCATGCCAGAAACTTTGAAGCATATGAACTACCAACAATGTTAGATAAGAAAGCAGACAAAACAGAGCTTCAAACAATGAAGGCCCAGATTCTTCAAACATTATATCCTGTTGGCTCTATTTATACGTCAATGAACTCAACAAATCCAGCAAGTGTTTTAGGTTTTGGTACATGGCAGCAGATTGTAGACAAATTCTTATACTGTGCTAACTCTTCAAAGCAAACAGGGGGTTCGAAGAAAATTAAAGAAGCAAACCTTCCACCGCACACTCATACGGGAACTACAAACTTTTCTGGCGACCATAGCCACTCATTAAGAGACCACCCATTATACAACTCAGAGTATGAAGCTGGCAATGATGTTTTATCTCCATCTTATAACAATGCAGCAAAAAAGACTTTTCGACAAACTGAACCGGGAGGAAATCATTCACACACTTTCACAACAAATCCAACAGGCTTGGGTGAAGATTATATGCCACCATTTGTGACTGTATTCGCATGGTACCGCGTTCAATGAACGCGCTTGAGCCTAGAATAAAATCTTTAACTTTACATAAATGAGCTTGAAAGAAGTATTCGAACAACATCCATGGAGGTCATTTAAGAAGTTCAATGAAGCTGCAAAGAGTTGGGGATTTACTAACAGAGCTGAAGTGAAAAGGTTCTTTGACAAAAATGTTGTACATCAAACAAAAATAAACCCTTACGACTACTTTTTACCAATTTACTCCAACACTCCTGACGCATACCAATTTGACACTCTCATTCAAAGCAGAAAAGGAGGACATAAACCATTCCTCATCTTCATTAATGTTAACACTCGTAAAGCATATGCATATATAATGAAAAATAAAGGAACTCGTGAAGTGTTAAGAGTTTTACAAAAGTTTGTAGCAGAACATAGCCCAAGTACTTTAACATCAGACCAAGACAGTGCATACCTCAGCAATGAAATCACAGATTTTCTCATTAAGCATAACATAACTCACTACACTACTGAAGACCATAACCATAACATACTCGGCATCATAAACCGCTTCATAAGAACGCTCAGAGATTTAAATCAAGAGCGAGACTTTACCGAAGAAACAATGAAACATTTTCTCGAAGTATATAATTCCTCAACACATTCTACAACAGGACATACACCAAATTCAATGACACAACAACAAGAAGAAAAGTATATACAAAAGAAACGAAGCCAAACACAAAATATCAGAAATTCAACACAATTTACCCTCATTCCTGGAACAAAAGTTCGTGTAGTTCTTGACGACAAACCGTTGACAAAGAAACGTTTAAGGTTAAGTAGAAACTATTATATCGTAGACTCTACGCAAGGTAATGGATATCTTATAAAAGCTGCTGACGACTCCATAGCATTTTACCCTCGACATAAATTAGTCGAAAGTAGTAATGGCAAACTTGCTGAAACCATTGACGAAGCAAAGCGAGGAGTGGTTATTGAAATACTTGGCTATAACATAAACGATGACACTTATAAAGTAAGATATGAAGGAGGCGTTGAAGATGTTATACCATCTAAGAACTTGAGAGAGTCGAAGCCAACACATCTGGGACCATTAGAGCGGGAGTACTGGAAAGACAAAAATATGCCAGAAAGAATAAGAAAATTCTTCTAAACTTTTTCATTAGATGTAAATCAGACATGAATGAGAACAGTCATGTATTATTAATGATACCATTTATTTTAACATAAAGACGCAAACGGACTCTTTGAGTCCTGAGGTCTTTCAGACCGAAGCGGCGAGGACGAAGTCCATGACCAAAAATAATGTTTAGGGTAGATGGTTAGATCTAACCTCATTTCTACCCTCATTTCTACCCTCATTTCTACCCTCATTTCTACCCTCATTTCTACCCTCATTTTTTTGTATTTGACGGGATTAATTCTTGATTTCAGGGATTTTTTGACGAAGTGAAGATCTTCACTTCGTCAAAAATAACAGTTATCTAATGAAAAATGAAAGTTATTTCTTATTTATCTCATGAAAGTTGTTGGAAAATAAGTCCTGGGAAGAGTATTATAAGGCATTTTGTGAAGAATATAGCAACCGCCGGAATTCAGACGGTTGCATTTTATACAAAATTCATGCAGGAAATTCTTGAGTTTTGGTTGAAAGAATACGGTGGAGCCAAAAGTGGCTCGACCTCAAAACAAACATTTTATGAGCTTACAAAGGGTGTTATGAATGAACCATTTATTTTTGCTGAATTCACCAAAAATATATTTTAGGTGAAGAGGTGAGATCTCACCCGTTTTTTCACCTCTTTTCTCACCTCATGAATTTTCATGATTTCATCGTACATGCTTTGTCATGACTTCTTCGTAAATGTTTTGTCGAAACTTCATCGTACATGCTTTGTCATGACTTCTTCGTAAATGTTTTGTCGAAACTTCATCGTAATGAGCGTAAATGACCCAAAAATATAATTTAGGTGAAGAGGTGAGATCTCACCTGTTTTCTCACCTCTTTTCTCACTTCATGAATTTCCTTAAGATAGAAAAATAAAGTTAGTTTTATTTTATTTATTTTTTTTATTTTGTATGTAAAGATATGATTTCAACAATCGGCACAACAACAATTCAAACAACAGCACCAAACTCGTTAGTTATGAATCCTACGTCAATGTTGGTAGAGATGAAAAACTTCATTCCTTCTTCATATACTTTCGAAACAAAAATCCAGAAGATAAAGCAAGAACTGTTAACAAGTAATTTAGACTGTAGTGCGAAAGATGAAGAAAATGAACAGTATCTTTATGAAATGCAGGACATTATTGACCATTTGCCTAAACTACCTGAAATCCAACAGCAAAAACTAACTATTCCTGAATTCGACGAAATTGAAGTCAAAGCAACTGACTCAGTAGAAATAAAGAAGTTCATACGAAAGGTAAATTATGAATTCCTTGGTTTTCATTGCAACCATAAGGTTATGGACAAAGATTGCGACATGTTATATAAGAACATCTCTGACATATATAAATCCGAAGAATTTAAGACCTACGACAACTTTGTTTCATTAGTTGCAAAATGTGTTTGGGAAATAAGAGATAAAGATAGAAGAGGTAAGGTATGGCATGAACATTTAAAACCAGCAGCTTTTGAGTTAAAGAAAACCATTGACGCCTTAGTTGTTTTAGCAGGTAAGGTTTCAGAATATAACGCAAAAATGAACCCGCAATGTTCTAAATGTAAAGCAGCAATGAGGAGATATAACTACTCCGTCAAAGAGATAGAACGTATGCGAAACGACTATGCAGACTTAAAGAAAGAAGCAGAGAAGCCGGTAGAAGATAAAATGGACATGTTAGCATTTCTGAACAAAAACTATCCAACAGCAGAAGATTTCCTTCTATCTGACGTCAAGAAGAAGTATAAAGAAACTTTCGGTATCGTTAAAACATTCGATGTACTAAAAGAAGAAATAGAAGCTACGAAACTGTTTAAGATTTCAAATATACATCGTACAATTCATGTAAAACGCTCATGAAAAAACAGGTGAGAAAACGGGTGAGAAAACGGGTGAGATCTCACCTCTTCACCTAAAATATATTTTTGCTGAATTCAGCAACAAAATTCTTGATTTCAGGGATTTTTTTGACGAAGTGTTAATCTTCACTTCGTCAAAAAATGGCATATGGCATGTGTCAAACCGTTGAGTTTTCACAAAATTTAAAAAAAATAACGTTTACCATGTAAAACGCTTATAAAATAACTGGGGTGAGAAAAGAGGTGAGAAAACAGGTGAGTTCTCACCTCTTCACCTAAACATTATTTTTGTCTGATTTACGCTCATTACGAAGAAGTCTTGACAAAACATTTACGAAGAAGTCTTGACAAAACATTTACGTTCATGTTTGACAAAACATTTACGAAGAAGTCTTGACAAAACATTTACGAAGAAGTCTTGACAAAACATGTACGAAGAAATCATGAAAATTCATGAGGTGAGAAAAGAGGTGAGAAAACAGGTGAGATCTCACCTCTTCACCTAAACATTATTTTTATTGAATTCAGCAAAAAAATTCTGAGTAAAATGGCATATGCTTGCTTCCCTCGGAAAACCGAGAGAAGAGATTCCGTATGAAAATCGTGAATTTCCTTAAGATAGAAAAAATAAAGTTAGTTTTATTTTTATTTATTTTTTTATTTTGTATGTAAAGACATATATGTCAAACAATGAGTTTGAAACAGTTAGAAAGATAGACAATGACACCAAATTGGTTAGAATAGGTGATTTAAACGTAAGATACTCAAAGAAATACAACAAATATTCTTTGTCAGACATTATATCTCCATCTGGAAAGCAACCACACGACTGGGTTAGAATTGCTTCTACTCAGAAAATTTTGACAAGAAATCCTGAGCTTATGATATCGGTAAGATTCTATGGAACTACAGCATATCTTATAGACAAAAGTCTTATACCAATAGTTTTGTTATGGTTAGACCCAGTTGTTGGATATAACTTCATAACATATGGTTCATTCGATACGGAACGTTGCAGTGAAGGCTTACTTTACATCGTTCAGAAACCGAAGGACTTCAACACAAAAAGATATAAGATAGGAAGAACATATAATATAACTCTAAGATATGACAGTACAGTCAATAGAGTCAAGGTTGTGTTTGTTAATGATATGAGAGCTGCAGAAACAGAACTACTTGAAAAGTTTGAGAAAATGTATGGTGCTCCCATAAAAGGTAAAGAAACGTTTGAAGTAGATGAGATAGATAAAGCTATAAAATTATTTGATGAAGTTGCTGAAAAATACATGTAAAGCGTTTATTTTGGTCTTTTGTGAAAGTCAGAAAATAAAGTTAGTTTTATTTTTATTTATTTTTTTATTTTGTATGTAAAGACAGTAATGTCAACATCAGAGAACACAACAACTGCTATCGTTCATGAAGCCATAAATGAAGAATACGAATACATACAATATAACAAACAACTTCGCCTCATTCGTTCGGTCAAAGACGATATGTACCAGATGCAAAGTATAATGAATGCTCTTCGTTCTACAAAGCAAGCATATCATTGGTTTGAAAACCAACAGACAAAAGAACTTTTAGAAGAATTTCCTCATATGATTGCTTCCCTCGGAAAACCGAGGGAAGAGATTCCGTATGAAAATCGCAAGAATTTGGCTCCTGGTTTGAAAGGTTATTATGTTCATAGACTTTTAGTAATGCTGTAGCAATGTGGACTTCACCTCGTTATGCTTGTTATATTTTCATGATGTTAGATGAACTATATAAAGCAGAACGTGAAGAGATGGAAAAGAAACTTCATGCAAAAGATGAAGTCATTGAAGCAAAAGACAAAAGCATTCAGAAAAGAATACCACGTTCGGTACCAAAAGGAAAGGAAAAGAACTATAAGTATATGATTTATACTGAAGAGATGGAAAATGAAGAAGATAAAGATATGGTTATGTTGCATTTAGTCAGAAGAAACAACAAAAGCTTTTACGACCTTGCTAAGATTTACAAATCTGACAGAAATTGGTTCTATCGCGAAAACTTACCGATTTCAATGACCCCAAATGAAGATGTGAAACAAATAGTTCAAGATACGTTACCTCAAACACACTATGACATCAAAGGTTGTACAATACTTACATTCAAAGAAGACTTACCGCTACTGAAAGAAAAAATAACAGAGTATTTTGACAACTTCAAAGAGGAAGAATAAAAAAAATCTATGCTAATTTTATTTTTTTATAAAATTTTATCTCATATGAAAGAACATGAATTTAGAATATTCGGAACTCATGACAGAAGAAGAGAACGAACAACATGTAAAAGATTATGCAAAATTTCTGAAGACATACAAAGCATTTAAACAATATCTAAATGCTTCTAAAGATTATGCAAAATTTCTGAAGGTATATAAAGCTTATGAAAAAGCGTATGAAAAGTTTATACATTGGGAATTGTTGTAAAATATCGATATGAAGACTAACCAAAAATATATTTTTGCTTAAATAGCTTCAGGGTCAATTTCTTCAACCATTTCACTTCCTTCGTCAATGTCAATAGAAGCTTCTTCAACCTTTGGTAAGAATTTCTGTATAACATCTTTGTTCGTTATTGTTTCAGAGATGAAGGATAATATTTCACATTTGTTTCACCCTTCTTATATTCTTTCTGTTCGGAAAGATTAAAGCAATACTGAAGAAGTCAATGTTAGAGTTCTTTATAACAGTATAATGAGTATCTTTGACATTCACGAAGAAACTCTTTTGTTTCAAAACTACTGCTAACTCTTGTGAAGTATAACGTTTGCGGTCAATGACAATAGCTAATGGTCTGACATACTGACCAAACTTAGATTCTTTCACAAACTTCTTGTTAAAGATAACATTAACATTTGAAGCATTATTGAACTCATTCTTGATGGCATTAGCGAGAGCATTGTATGAAAAGAACTTGCAATCTTGCATGTGTTTCATTATAATAAAAATTAAATATTTTAAAATAACTTAAAAAATCTAATCTAATTTTTTCTAAAAATTTTTTTATTTCCTACTAAATATGTATCGGAAGTTGTCTAAGTTAGAACACTCGGAAATAAAACAACTTCTTACAGAAGCTAACATAGAAGTAGCAAAACATTACGCAACAAACAAAAAAGCACTCGCTGACTTCATTAAAGACTACAATGGTGCAATAAGTTATGATAGAATTCATGAGTTCATAAAGCCGCAACGCGGCGAGGACGAAGTCCATGCAATAGCATTTCCTTTAAATGACGTTGCTATTGACTTATATCATAGACGTTCAGTACCTCATGAAGTAAGAAGAGAAATGTTTGACATAACAAATGCAAACGTTGGTGAAACAAGAAGAAGAGACGACACACTGAAACAACAGAGAAGAGAGATGTTTAAGAGCGCTATAGAACAAGTTCGCAAAGCTAACGATGTCATTCGTTCCATTGACGACAAACCAAAAGAAGGTGAGAGATGGTTAAAGAAAGATGAAGAGAATAGGAAGAGAAATGTGAAGTCAGGCAATAGACTCATTGACTTTAACATCGAAGCTTTAGATGAACCAAACAGAGACTACTTACACAAACATTTCGGTAAGGTTTTCATGAGACTCTTAGAGAAAATTAAAATAAACTCACAACAGAGATGGATGGTATGTTATAAACTTGGTGGAAAGTATGAATGTTCTACGTTAAACCTCAATAATATTGGAACATTACTACATCAGCTCTTGAAGGAGAACTTTATATCAGAGATAGAAGCAAATGCTGCAGGTATTGTTGAAATGCACTATGACTTCTTCTTGACAAACATAAAGAATCTTACTGAAATAAAGATGTATGATTTAACAGAATATGAAGGCTTAACGATGTCAGATGTTAAGAAAGGAAAGCCACAGAAGCGACCATATAGAGATGAAAGCACACTGACAAATGACAAAAGCCATTTTGGAAGCTCTTAAGCAAACAGGAAACAGATATAGAGCTTTGGAAGAAATGGTGAAAAGAAGTTTTATAAGAAGAGAAGCGGTCAGTTCTGGAAGTATCTTTGCACATTACCTATAAATCTTGAACGCTACCAAATCTTCAATGAACTGAACAAAAGAACTGCAACACTTATGACAGAAGACAATTGTTTCGTTTATGCTTGCATTCAGGCTGGAGTAAATGAAGAAACTATTGACCACATGAGAGAAGTCATTCGTGTTAGAGACTTTCCTCAAAGTAAAGTACAAGAAATTTCTGACGCAACAGGTATAGCATTTAATGTTACCATTGGTTATTTCAATGACTCAAGACATAATGAAATAAAGAGATACATACCAAAAGAATGTAAAACTGTTCGAACTATTGACTTACTTCTTGTTGAAGACCACTACATGCTAAATGAAAGATTACCAATGACAACATATTTCATTCGCAACTATATAGAAATTCTCAAAGCTTGTGGTGGAATGAACATTGAGAAAACAAATGAAGATTTATACAAAGAGAGAAGATAAATATGTAGTTCGTTATGATAGAACAACACCGTTATGGGATGTTATGAAAACATTGTGGGAGTGCAAATATTTCGAACCTATTTCTTATGGAGAACTTTTCACATATACTACTGACTTATATAAACAGAACCTTGCACCATTTAAAGACTTGACATATGCTCCAAAGTATTGTGTACAACTGAAGAAAAAGAGTCAAAAGAAGTAAATAAAAAATGTGCAAGTTCATTCCTGAGCACGTTTTCTTTGCTGACTTTGAGTGTAGTACAGACGGCTTTCATAAAGCTTTTAACATATGTTATGACAGTGAAGATGGTTCAGTGAGTGAAAGCATTGGGGTCAAACTGTGCAACAGAATTTTTGGAGCGACTTCCTGACAAGAGTTTAATATATTTCCATAACCTCAGTTATGACATAAACTTCATCTTAAGACACATGACAGAAGTGAAAGGAACTCCCATCATTAAAGGTTCACGAACAATGCAAATAACTGGCTTATATAAAGGAAGGGCAATTATTATAAAAGACTCTTACAGTGTTATAAATAAGAAGCTTAAACTATTTCCTGCTATGTTTAACTTACAAACAGGACCGAAAGAAGTATTTCCATACAACTACTACAGCAGTACTTTGTTAGCAAATGACAACAGAACTGGTGTCATTTCTGAAGCATGTAAGTTTATCCGGGATGCAGATACATTCATGAAAAACATAGATTCCATCAAAGGTTGCAGAATAGATGAGAACCACTTCGACTTAGAAAAGTATAGCACATTTTATTGCAAACAAGATGTAAGAATTTTAAGAGAAGGTTTTGTTAAGTTCCGCAATGACATATTGAAAGAATTTGATTTAAACGTTTATGACTACGTTAGTATTTGTTCAATTGCTAACAAATTATTTGAGAACAGAGTGTACTTCCCGAATGGAAATTTATATGACCTCTCAAATAAACCAAGAGAATTTATTTCGAGATGCATTCAAGGTGGAAGATGTATGTTGTCAGATAACATTAAACAAAAGAGCGAAAAGAAACTCATTGCTGATTTCGACGCTGTTTCATTATATCCATCAGCTATAGCAAGACTTTATACTTTAGAAGGTATTCCAAAAGGTATGAAGAAAGAATGTTAAGCACAGAGTATCTCATGAGACATTTATTCGATGACGACCAAAAGGAACCCATTGGTGAAAAGTTTATGTCTGGCTTCTTTGTTCTCATTAAGATAACAAGATTGGATACATAGACACTTTCCTTTAATAGTTTGTGACCCTGAACTAAATCCAGAACTTAACGTTCCCAGAAGTTCAAACACTTGCTGTTTAATGTATGTTGACCATATAACATTACAAGACCTCATAAAATATCAAGGTGTCAAATGTGAAGTGTTGCAAGGATACTATTACGATGGAAACAGAGATATAGAATAAGAGATGAAGTAAAGAAGTTGTTTGAGTTAAGGTTAAAGTATAAGAAAGAAGGAAATCCTTTGCAAGAAAATATAAAGCTCATTCTGAACAGTATTTATGGCAAAACTATTCTATCTCCTATTGAGTCAAAAATAACCATAGTAAATGACAAAGATGCTATAAGATATGCCATCAGAAACTACAACCATATAGTGAAGTTCGAAGGTTTGGATGGTTCGATAAAACTATTTTCAAGCTAACGAAAAGCATTTGCAGACTTTAACTTCTGTCCACTTGGTGTTAATATTCTGTCAATGTCGAAGAGAATAATGAACGAAGTATTCTGTACTGCTGAAGATATGGGACTTCAAATATTTTACCAGGACTGTGATAGCATGCATATTTTCAATGAAGACATACCAAAGCTTGCAGCAGAGTTTAAGAAGAGATACGGTAGAGAACTTATTGGAAAAACCTTGGTCAGTTCCATTGACTTCGCAGAAATAACACCTGGAAAACAAAGTTTAGCATACAAGTCAATATTTTGTGGAAAGAAGACTTACATAGACTTACTCACTAACGATTTAAATGAAGTTGCATTCCATGCACGTTGCAAAGGTGTCAAACAAGACGTCTTGCTTTAACAGCAAATGAAATGTTTCCTGAAGCTATACAATGCTATTACAATGAAGATAAGAACATTCACATACCTGTTGGAACATATGACAAAGACTCTGAGTTCAGTTTAATGAAACTTTACAAAGCACTTTATGACGGTCAAGAGATTGGATTTGACTTATGTAAGTCTGCTACACTTGCATTTGAGGAAGTTTAACTTTTCTATTCAGACTAAGACTTCATTCATAAGAAAGCTTAAGTTCTGAGAACATGAATGAGAAAAATAATGAGGTCATTTATTTTTGTCAGCAGTGAGGTCATATAAGATTATATTGACGTTTGAATGCACTGTATGAAATTTTTGTAAGTTTTCCTTTTACAGTCCATGCATTTACATACAGAGTTCCACATTTATTGTTTTCCATTACATGAAGCTCTCTATAGCGAATTCCATTAAAGAAATAGAAGAGGTCTTGTTCTGGGTCATAGTATAAATCATCGAACTCATGTTTTCCATATGTTTTAACTTCAATGGAGTTTTCACCAATTTCATCTACATAGTTATAATTTATACCATTTGCTTTACATCTGTTTTTATTGTTTTGTTGTGATGTTACATATCTTAAATTTTCTATTCTATTGTCTGTTCGTATATGATTTATATGGTCTACTTGAGGTAAGTTGTCTGGGTTAAGTATGAATTGTTCTGCTATAAGTTTGTGCTTGAAGTATTTTTGACCGTTTAAACATAACCTATAATATCCATCGCTCATCCATTCACTCACAATTTTTCCTGTAGATTTTTTCCTAATATTGTGTGGATATTCTGTGTTAATTTCATAGTCGTTGTCAGCAGTGTTTCCCAAACGTCTTCACCTTCCATGCCTTTCACTCAAATAAAATTTTCAGAAAAAAATAAAACTAGCGTAGATTTTACAATACTGCGATGGTAGAGTTTAAGAGTTGTGCTTCAATGTAGAGACAATCCTTATCTGGAGGTAAGAACACTGGGCAGTTATGGTCATGAGTGGAGAACATGTCTATCCAAAACTCACGATTGAAGCCAGTTAATTTATAGTATTTAGGTTTGGAAGTGGTGAAGTTCTTGTATGACCAATGAACTCATTTTCAACTCCTTACTTAAGTTTGAATATAATATAGCTTGCTTTCTATCCCAAATGCCTGGAAATCTAATTTCGGAAAAATCATTTTTCCTCGGAAGCATTGCATCATAATTGAAAACATTTTGAAATCATCACTTGGTTCAGAGATTTGAAATCTTATACGTAATGGATTTTTTTCTTTTTAGCTACTTCATTGAATGGTGAATATACAAACTGACAGTCATGAGTTCCATCTTCATTTTCATTAAATTCATAATGAAAGTCTATAAGTTGTGGCTGACTACCTTCTTCTTTCAGTTGTGCAAGAAACTCACGTAAAGGCTGTAAAGTTTGTACTTCAATGTTAACTTTTTCTCGAACATTCATTAAATGAAATCATACATTGCAACAATGTTGTATCGTCTTTAAAGTATTTGTATATGTGAATGTTTTGGGCGCTTAAAGACTGTTCGTCATTTTCTATCTCGACTTGAAGTATAAAGTCAACCTTTCTGAAAGCACGTGTTATATACATAGATGTTATGCCAATGTACTTCTCTTCATTTATGTTCACAATCCAGTCTGTTGGAAACTTAAACGTTACTCTGTTCCCCTTTATTTTGACGTCAGGGTTTTCACTACTGAACGCAACAGATAAAGGTATTTGTCTATACATTTAATTCGATAAAAATAAACCATTTACTCTTTCTTTGCTTCAGCTTCTTCTCTAGCTTTTTCGCCAGTAGTCTTGGGTTCTTTGTCTTCCAGCAGCTAATGCAGCAAGTTGTTTTTCACTAAGTTTTCTCTTTGGTCTCTCTGGCTTTTGTTCTTGTTTTTGTTCCTTCAGTTCGGATAAAATTTGCTCACGAATTTCTTTCTTCAATGCTTCAACATCTATGACCCCTTGGGTCTTGTCCGTAGGGCTTGTCTGAGTCATTTGACTGCAGATAAAAAACAAAATTAAAACTTTAACCGATGTAAAATGAGCTTGTCAAAATCAGAGCGAGAGTCTATTATATTAAATGACGCAAGAGGAATACAACATCCTTTCTATTACGTAAGTCAGAGTAAAGATGGTAAAATATATGTAAGAAAAAGAAAGGTTCCATTAGCGAATGCAGAAAGCGACAACATTAAGGTGCATGGCAAGGGAAGCCACGAAGCCATGTAAAACCTTCTGTTCAAACTGAGCCACCAAAAGAACAGAAGAAAAGAAGCCAGATGTACTTTCAATAACGAACCAAGAGCTTATTGCAAAGTTCGTGAATTTCATTGAAAAACAAACCGAGTCAAAGAACCCTGACCCACCAGTGAAAGAAGTTGAGACAAAAGAGAATGTACAGTTCATTGAAAATGTCAAGAAACAACTTCCACCACGAATGCCAAGAAGAAGAGTGAGAATAATGAAGTAAATAGATATTTTTATCTGAAGTAAATACATGCAGAACGAACAGTTAAACGAATTTACTCCAGCAGAGCATATTCATCAGATTCGCTCATATTTCGATATCATAGACAATGCAGTTCAAATTGGTGACACTAATAGAAAATATTCTGACGCAAAGATTCCATCACAACCTGGAACTGCTAAAGATAACACATGGGTAACATTCAATCTCTCACCTCCTGGTGAAAATATGTTGGACCTTTACAATACATTCATTACGTATAAAATGGAAGGTCAATTTATTGTAGATAAAGAAATTGGTTCAGGTTCCAATAAAACAAACCCACCAGGATTTTGGATTGGTTTCGATGACGCTTTCTATGCAGTTGCTGGATATCAAATCCTTGCAAATGGTCGTATCGTATATTCTCAAGACAACGCAAGAGAAGAAGCATATATAACTTCAAACTCACAAACTACCGAACAAATAAAGAAAGTAGATGTTTTCTCAAAGACTCGACATGAAGATGTATGGAGTCATTCGGGAACATGCAGAACAGGACAAATTGTTAGTGGTCCAATTACAGCAGGAAAATCATTTGATTTTAAGCTTCGTTTAAGAATTCCTGTTAGAAGATTCCTTCCATTAGAAGCTATAAGATTTATTCCAGCTTTTGCAGGAAACATTCAGCTTAAAGTAAAGTTCAGTAGCGACGCCTTACAATGCACATCTATATCTGTAAATGATATCATTGCTTTCAATCCAACTCTTAAAGTTGCATTTGCTTCAGATTCAAATCCACCGACAAATAAATTTGTTCCATGGAATGAACCATTCACTATGATAACGAAGGCAGTAGAAGCTAGTGGAACAGTTACTATTACAACTGTAACCCAGCAACTATTTCGAACAAAGATGGATTTTAATGAATGTTTTATTCATCCAAAGTCATTCTCTTTAGACCCTAACATTTATACAGAACTTGTAGAACATTATACAAACGAGGCTTTATGTTTTCCTGTTAAAGTTATGGATTGGATTCCTATGGACGGTTCATTCTCAAAGAATACAGATAGTTCAAGTGCAACATTTACAGCAGCTTATACGCCTATTAATGTTAAAAGTATTTGGGCACTATTTAGAAAGAAAGACAACTATTATGTTAATTTTGAGAACCCTAAGTTTAAATATCTTCAGCTTTCCATGGGAGCTTATGGAAATATGCCTGCAGAACCTGAAAAATCATATGGACCTGTATTTTATGAAATGGTTGCGAACGCTTGCAATACAAACAATGATATGATAGGATTTAATGAAGATGTTATGAGGTCATTGGTGGATGATGGTAGTGTGGAACATAAATGGGATAGCTATGACAACACACATTTCTTATGTGGTTTTCCAACAGAAGTGGACTTTTGCTTCCAGCAAGGTCAAACATCTACTGCTCCAATAACATACAAATTGTCTGTTAAAGGACCTATTGAACTAGCAACTGAAAATGTACCAAAGCCACTTATTGGATTTATGAGGGATTGTTGCTTTGCCATTCAGGTGCGTGCTAATGGAATCCCAATAATAAGATTAGATGACTATAACTTAGCTACGGACGACAGTGAGGAATAAAGGATGAACGTTTATTTTTAAAGCTTATAAATGAGTTCTTCATCAAGCTCTCGTGAACCTTCACCATCTATGAAACAAACTTTACCAAACGATTATGGAGCACCTATTGAATATTTCTTACGAGCTGCACAATGGCAAAGAGCAGTCTCACCAAGGTTAGGTGTTCCACCAGCTCCTGTCAAAAATAGCATTTGGTCAAGTCCTTATATAAGATATGGTCTCCCACTAGGTTTGCTAGCTACAGCAGGAGCAGTTATGATGTTGAAAAGAAATAAAGCAAATGTTGTAAATAATACTGAAGTAGCTGAAGTTAAACAAACTCCAACACCTTCGCCAAAACCAACGTCAAAACAACCTTCACAAGCAAAACCTTCAATGACTCCTGAACCTATGAAAGTACAAACTCCTGTTCAAAAGTCAACTCCTAAACCGACTCCAACATTTAAACCAGAACCTACTCCTCAAATAAATCGTAAAACTCCTGCGTTTCCTTACTGAAAAAATAACGTTATTTTTATTTAATATTAAAATTTTTATTTGATTGAAATGACAAATAAAGTCACTGAAGCAATGAAACAAAAGTTTTTGGTAGAATACATTAAATCAGGAACTATTCCAGAAGGTTTTTACATTCATACTATGAAGGATGGTAGAGTTCAGTTTAGAAAGATAAAGCAACCATTAGATAAAGAAGGAATTTTGAGAAAGATTAAACTTCATGAGGACAACATTGCTGAACTTAAGAAGAAGCTAGAAGAGTTGGAGAAAGGAAGAGAGTTATAAAGCAATGAGAACGTTTATGTTATGAGAAATTTTTAACGTTAGTTTTATTTTTACTGAAAATTTTTATTTGGATGTAATGACGAAAACTATTGAGATAACAAACTACAACGGTCATGAGTTCAAGAATTTGTTCTTCGTTCCTCGTGAAAATACATTCTATCAGATACGAGGGAGAAAGGGTAAAGTTAGTTTGAGCGTTTATGACTACAAGCATAATGGAAAGTTTATACAAGCATACGATACAAACGGTAAACGTGTTTCATTAGCTTTGTCAAAACTTACTAACATTTATTTTGACAGTGACTTTGACCTATATGAAGAAGAAAGTGAGTCAGAAGATTATGAGCTGTTATGTGAAGCACAGCAATGGGAGGAGTTGCAATACTTTTGTAAGTGAGAACGTTTATTTTTTACATTAGTGAGGTGAAGTGGTTGGTGGTTTTGTAAATATTTAAGGTTAAGTTAGTGTTGTCGTTTGTGTTGTAAAATATACGTTAACGGTTTTGTAAAGTGTCAAATTCACATATCATGGGTAAGGAGGCGCGCAGTGCCGCCGTACCCTTGATATGTATACTAACTCCTTCTCATTTCCACCAATTGGAGCGTACCTTCCACCAACTCGGAATGATTTTGCTCCAGTTAATGGGATAATTGCATACCAACTATTGATGTAGCAATCGGAACGCATCCAGCCTCTGCTGACGGCCAAGTTATAGTTGGCAGTGCATCCTTCGATGGAGTTGACTCCGCCGAGCCAGCAGAGTGACATGAATGCACAGCCAGATTCTCTGATGTTCTGGTTGAACCTAGGATCGTATTGCTTGATTACTTGACCAGAAGGAGATGGAGTTGGTCCTGAGCCACCAGACACGAGTGAAACGTAATCGGCACAAACCCATCCTTGATCAACTTTGTACCAATTTGAGGAAACATCATAAATTGTAACGACGGCGTTGTTCGGAAGGCCACCTACCCTTGCGTAATTTGTACCGGGACCGGAGCGAATTTTTAGACCTATATCTGCGTCAACTTTACCTCTGACATGAAGTAATTCTGCTTTGATATAACCTGTTTGGCCATTCCTGTTGACTTGCCACCAATCGTTTTGGTGACCAGTAACAGTTATTTGTGTTCCATCAATGACAGATCCAATGATTGAAGAACTTGTACTTGGACCTGATCTTATGTTTGCACTATATCCTCCAGCAAACACTACGCCTGTTCCATCTCCATTTGCTTGAGGAATCATAGAATGACGATGCCAGCGCGTTCTCCTTGCAGAGGCAAAAGCGAACAAAATACCCAACATTTTTTTTAAATTCGAATTGAATCAAACCTCCATTTTTGAGATCGATGTAACTGATCCGATAATTTTTAAACATTCTTTAAAATGCTCAAAAACCATATTATTCATTTTAAAATGAAAAATTTTTAATTGAATGCATCAATTAAATTATTCATGTAATCTGATCAATTTTTTTAATATTTGAATACATAGATTATAATTCATTTATGTTTATCGTCTTTTCAGCATCAAATTTACTCGAATTATTAAAAATTTATTCTAGCATCAATGATAATTTTCATTTGAATAATTCATTTTATCATATTGTAAGTGAGTATATAATTTACCCTCTAATAATAGCCATTCAATGAAAAGTTATTTATTCTGATCAAAAATATCGAAATCTATATTCTAATCTTAAATACTTAGGTACCGAATATATCTGATATTATATGTCGCATTTATATTTATTTAATATTTGCTATTTTAGTTCATGTTCCTCAACTAAACTGATACAATTACATTTAAATAATTTTATATTTATAGAATAAATAAGCATAAATAAATAACATTAAATTTAAAGGAACAAAAATTGTAATTTATATAGAAACTTGGACAATCATATAAGAAAAGAGTGGTGATTCGAATGGAACCATTGCCGGGATTACCATAACTCATACTACCATTAACAAGTGGCATCAGATGTTTACCATCAATCATAACTGTATTGAAGAATGTGATGTTACTGTAGTGGATAGATGGATCTTCTCGTTCTGAGAACTTAGGATTTTCTTCAGTGAAATCTTCTGAAATTGCGATGCATCCTTTGTGTCCACTGATGAATGAACTTCCACCAGCACCACCGTAATTCTTTTCTACCGATGATGCACTACCACCAAAATATCCACCGCCTCCTGATCCGTTCCCATCTGGAGACCCATCATAGAATCTTCTTTCTCCATTTCCTCCTCCAAATCCAAATCTCCCTTTATATGGACCTATTCCATATCCACCAGAAGTTTGATTTCCCGGAACATTGTTTCCAGAATCACTTGAATAGCCTACTAATCCACCAGCACTACCTCCATAGTCATCACGAGAAGAATCATAAGCCAAACTATCTGGGGATCCTGCACCTGCCGCGACGATTATTCGACTTTTCAATCCTTCAAGTTCACCAAAATCTCCTGGTTTTAATCGAATATCCGATGATCCGCCACCACCAAGTTGGCCAGGGCCTCCACCGCCATATGTTGGATATTTTGCAGTTATATCACCCATCGAACCAACATGCAAATATAATTTGAGTTTTTCATAAATAACAATTTCTCCTTTAACATAGCTTCCTCGTGAGTGTTCAGTTGTATTTCCATAGACTCCGCAACCACCCCATAATTCGAAAATATAATTTCCTTTTTCTAATTCAACTTCATAAGGTGTAGAATTAAACGAGGTTGTGCCATTATATAGATAAACATGATATTTATATTTTAAATTATTATAAACCTCTAAGCTAGTATAATCAATAAAGTCAAAATATAAATATAAAAATCGGTTATAAATTGTTAGGAGGAAATAAGTTATCAGTATTTGAAAAGACACTGAATTTTCATCATATATTCTATAAAAATCATATTATAAAGCAAGCTATTTAATATGTTTAAATTGAATTTACTATGAACAAAGAGAATAAAAGATAATTATACAGAAAATCAGGTTTTAATGAAATAGTACGTAAGAAAGTGATAACAATGCGTCCATTTCCTTCCCATACACCTGATTCAGATTCAATATTATAGAAAAGAAATGCTGCTTTGTTGAATGCATATTCATGACTTTCAAGAAGATTATATTTATCATCATGGGCGGGAATTTCTCCTTCAGGAATGATTGCATCCTTGGACAACACCCAAGAACTTCCTCCCCCTGAACCTGAATTTCCATGATGACTTGCAAATCCTCCAAACCAACCACTTCCAGAACCTGCTCTATCACTCCCACCATAATATGTCCTTACACCTTTGGGATTTTTAGATCCATGCTCTTGACAGCTCTCTCCGCTGCCAAAACTAAATCCATAAGTTGAGTTTGCAATGTAATTATATATAGATTCCATTTTGAAACCAGCCTTGACCTATTATACCTCCCGAGCCTCCTGATCCATCATCTGTGCCATAAATCATTTTTTAGAAATTTGACAGCGGTTTGGCCACCTCCGGATCCCGATCCAACTAGGTTTAAATATCCATTATTCCCTGACTTACATCCACCTCCATAGCCACCCTCAATGAGATTTTGATCAAGATAGCATTCTGGAGTTGTATGAACGTTTTTTATTTTGTATCCAAAAATCCATCGACCGCCAATTGTTGCAAATGCTTGGATTTTGTATGAAATGCGAATAATTCCGCTTATATAACCTCCTGCACCTCCAATACTTGATTTTTGAATACATTTTGTGTTTCCGTTTACCTTTTTTACTCTTTCATCAGAAATGCAACTTCCATCAGGAAAGCGAAATGATGATACTTGTCCGTTGTCACTCCCTCCACTCGCTCCATATAATTCGAATTTATATACTCCAGGAGAGATATCTAAGACATAGTCAGTGCAATCAAACGTGCTTTCACATGGATAATCAAAGATATACATATTATTTGTTTTTGATACATTTATCTTAGAATTAGGTTTTGAAGCATTTAATAGATAATATTTAAGCATACATACGGTGTTTCATTATGTTTGAATTAAAATAGAATTTAAATCGATATTTAATTTTCCTTATTTCACTAATTGTAATATTATCATAATTTTTACACAAAGCTAGAGAATTTATATGTAAAAACATTTTGAACATTGAAATAATTTTATTATATTCTTATTCAGGACCATTCAACAATAGTTGGACATATATCATATGTGACATTGACTTCTTACAATTTTGTTCAGGAAATATGCTTTTGATTCTAGAGATAAATTTCATGTCAATGTGAATTGGAAGAAATTGAATGAGTCATCTCAAAAATATAAAATTTTAAAATAATCATAGTTTAACTACTACTTACCAAATTAAAATTAATATAATTTTGAATACAAATCGCAAGTTTAAGAGTAATTTTTTTTCTCTAAAAGATTTCAACTATTACTTTTTATGAGACAAATGAAGATAAATCGTATCGGGTTGTTGGATCAGGAAAGCTTCCAAAGCTTGATCAGCGTACAGATGCTATTAAGCTTTCACTAGAAGGTTTTACTGAAACTACAGCAGATTGTTTGAGTTTATATACAAATCTGATCAATGTATCATTTGATAATAGTCTTAAAATAATGAATGATCATGTTTTTTACAATACAAAGGTTCAATACTTTCGAATTCCCAGCTCAGTGAGTAATCTCAATTCTCAACCATTTGATCAAGGTCATGCGATGATTTGGATCAGTGTGGATCCAGAAAATAAATATTTCTGTGATGTAGACTGCGTTCTCTATTCGAGAGATATGACTGTTCTCTGGTTTTATCCAGGTGATCATGGAGAACGCTTTGTTAATGTTCCAAATACAGTTCATACTATCCAACTTGCAGCATTCTCCACATCAAATATTATTCAATACATCAATATTCCATCATCTGTTAAAACTATTGTTGGATACCAATTTATCTTCATGCATGCCATTGAATATATTGAAATAATGAATAAAAATGAATTAATTAACTTTGATTATGCTTTTATTTTATATGATTCCCATCATAATACTTCATGTATTCACTTTATTCCAATACCAATCATTACAAAAAATTGTCCTAATTTTTATTATTTCTCTTTCTTTCATTCACTCACATCATATTCTGTATTTATTATGATGTAAAAATTTGTTTGACATACATTCTATGATTGGAATGCAAAACCCCCACAAAAACGGTTTTTTAATTGAATTTAAAATAATTATTTTGATGCATTTGGTGGTTTTGAAAATATTATTTAAAATGAAATTAAATTATATGCATTTTTGATGAGAATAGACATTATATATAATCTTTTTAAGGATACCCTTACGTGTCAGATTTTTTGCGCATACGAAGAAGTCATGCTAGACATGAGCTATAAACCTGAAATTTTAGCAACATATTTAAAACTTTTTAAACTACAATACACTTTAATATTCAAGAACAAAAATATTCTTTTTAGAAATTACATAATTATTTTATGTGAAATCTATATAAAAACATATTTTGCGAGCGTAACTTTTTTCTTTATAAGCACCTTATATGACTGATAAACTGTGAAGGCACATAATTGTTAATTCATAGAGTTGATATGTTTCCAAAATTGAGAGGAAATTTGAAAATTGAATACCCTTTCAATTCAATTTTCAAAAGATATCAGCTCCTTCAATAATTGAAGGACGATTTTGATCATTTGCTCTTAAAACAAGTATGCCATGGAGAAAAAAGTTACGCTCGCAAATCTGAAATATAACTATCATATAAAAAAATTAAATTTCTAATTTTTTACTCTATAGATATTATTGGCCACTTGTGTAATGCATAAAAGTTTATGTCATATGCATACATTTGGAAGTATGGGAGACGAGGGAAATTACTTCTATGAGGCACTAGGATTTTTAAAAATTTCTCTATCGGACTCACCATTCAATTTCTCGAAAATTAAAAAAAATCAATAATAGCTAAAATGTATTATGCATAACAAATTTTAATGTTACACGGTATTTTTTGAACTTCATGACATGAATTTTCTTTATATTATTTTTTTTTGGATTTTCTATGATTTATGCGATAGGCTGGAACAACATTGTAAGTGCAATGATATCATTTATAGAGAAATCTAAAACTTCAGCATTCAGAACTCGCAACCACAAAAATATTCATTTGCTAAGTAAGTAAAGTTGATTAAGTTCGACACTTAGCTTTTATACGTAAAACCAAGTGTGTATTGTTATTTCTTGTTAAATTATTGAGAAAAAAATAAATTGTAAGAGAAACGATACTGATTATTGAAATAATATTGAGGGTAGCTGCAGATTTCTTCATTAACATGCCGGAAATTTGTTAATCTTGGTTTTCTATCATAAAATCTGTCGAAGAATCTAAAAACGGAGATATGAAATAGAGATCATGTAAATCTAGAGTATCCTGTCAGAAAAATAGACTAAGCATGTAACCCTTTTTTGGTCATAAACACTTTTTACCACTTAGTCATACAGATGATCATTAAATTTAAACGAGCACTTTTTGTCAGAATTTATTCTTTTACAAAGACAGAAGATTTTAGTATTATTTAATATTAGTGCTGTAGCAAAATTCAAAAAACGGTGAAAATTCAGTGAATTTGTGAATTCACATTTTTTTTCGACATTTTTCTTGATATATCCATGCACATTAAGAACACAGCTTTGATACGCTTAAAAAAGCATATTTCATATGAAATTGTTAAAGAAATAAACAATTTATATAAAAATTGCACTTATGGGCAGTTTAGATATATAATTTATATATAACATATATACAAATCCATAGACAAAGTGCAATAACTACAATGTTGTAGAAAATTACAGCAGAAATACTGACTTTTTGAAGGATAATAAGAATTCTTCTAAATGTTGTATTTTTATAATTTGATTGATTTTTTTTACTATTTCATTAATCTTTTATGAATAATAATTATTTTTAATATATGTGCTATTAAAATTTCAAATTTTGACTAATATATCTAAGTTATCTGAACGAAACATTTAGAAAATATCATACTTACATTGAAATAACAAGTAGAGCATATTAATAGCAAGTTTCTTGGCTTTATATCTATCATCTATTGTTGTTTGATCAAACAAAATTCACTCTATTATATGGTGTCAATTAATTAAAACAATTTTTAATAGTTATTTATTTAGTGCGAATAAGTGCAAACTCATAAATGAATAACTTAATAGTAGAAATGAATTATCTGATATAAATCTCACATTTTGTCCATCAGAAATACTTTAATTGCATACGCATAACTATTAGTAATACGTCTGGAGTGTCAATTAATAACAATCCCACAACAAGTAAAATTCAGATTTTTATTAAACTTATTTTTTCCTAAAAGTTTTCTCAAATTACTATATATACATATGTGGATAAAATAATAGTAATATTGTAAAAAATTAGATAATTTTTTTTATTTGAGAACCTCTCAAAAGTTCATTCAATTTATCAATTGTTTCAGTTTGATGTATATTCATTTCTGGAGCCTAAAACTTTAGCAATCATGACAATATCATATTTTCTTTCTAACTACGCAATGTAAGGGTATCCTTAAATGAGAATTGTTATGAAAAATGAACATTTATTGTTCAAGGATCAAGAATGAGCTTGTTTTCACCGATATTTTCATTTTAAATGAAATATAGTAGGATGACATAAAAGAGGGGAATATTATGTCAAGTAATATGTTTTAAGGATGAACTTACGTCCATTTGACTTTCATTCAAATTACAGACATAGGGCATGAAGTATCATTTGAGAATATGATCATTGAAGTTCTTTTAATTTTTTTATATGATCATTATGGAATGACTTTGCCGCATAGATATTTTAACGATTTTATTATTCAATCCATAATGATAAACAATATAGTCAATCATTATCTAGAAAACACCATTTTATTTATGTCACTGATTTTTTTTTAAAAAAAGTGACATAAAATATGATTTTCATTCTTTTATGCGAAAATCTTCTGACCGAGTCAAATTCGATATTTAAGAATGCATATAAAAATAATGCTATCGAAGTATTTGTAAGTGGATCATCATCTCAATACATAAATGGAACTAAACAATTGACAAAACCTGAATATGCTTTTGATCAAATGGAAAAAGAATACGATTGGTGTTCTAACTGCGGAAGATCCAAAGAAGAACATCCTTGGGCAGTTTATTCAATCAAAAACAAGAACATCAAAATTAACGGATATTATCTTAAAACAGGATGTTGTGAAGCTGATCAATATTGTTGCTGCTTTGATGATGTTTATTGCTGTGAGTGCTGTTTGTATAGTTGGTCTTTACAAATTTCTAATGATAATAAAACATGGAAAACAGTTCACAAAGTAGAGAAAGATATGGACATGAGAAGATGTAAAGATAAAACATATAAATTCAGCGAAACATATACCACTAAGTACGTTCGTCTTATACAAGATGAATCATGCCCTGGCGATCCTCCATGTATTGCACTCAACAAAATTGAACTTTTGGGTCAAATAGAAAACGAAGATGGAATCATTTTTGAAGATCAAGAAAACGAAGAAGATGATGTGAGTATATATTATAAATAAATCCAATTATTTTGCATAAGTCTCAAATTAAAAAAAATTATTTTGAGCGACTTATGAAATGATTTTCATTTGCGCTCTTATTTTGATTTTTTTAGTAAGTATAAATGATTTTCTTGTAATGGTCATTATAGGAAACATAGCCCGCATGACCTGTATCATACTCGATACCACCATTTCTGTCTCCGACGACGTAATGGCTTGGAACTCTTGCATTCTTGCAAGCGAGAATTTCTTTCTCATTTGCTCCAACAGGAGCGTATCTTCCACCAATGCGGCAGGATTTTGCACCTGTTAGTGGAATAATTGAATACCAGCTTAAGATGTAGCAATCGGAACGCATCCAGTTTCTGCTGACGGCCAAGTTATAGTTGGCAGTGCATCCTTCGATGGAGTTGACTCCGCCGAGCCAGCAGAGTGACATGAATGCGCATCCCCAATTCCTGATGTTTTGGTTGAACCTAGGATCGTACTGCTTGATTACTTGACCAGAAGGAGATGGAGTTGGTCCAGCACCACCAGACACGAGTGAAACGTAATCGGCACAAACCCATCCTTGATCAACTTTGTACCAATTTGAGGAAACATCATAAATTGTAACGACGGCGTTGTTCGGAAGGCCACCTACCCTTGCGTAATTTGTACCGGGACCGGAGCGAATTTTTAGACCTATATCTGCGTCAACTTTACCTCTGACATGAAGTAATTCTGCTTTGATATAACCTGTTTGGCCATTTCTGTTGACTTGCCACCAATCGTTTTGGTGTCCGATAACAGTTACTTGTGTTCCATCAGCGGCAGCTCCAATAATCGAAGAACTTGTACTTGGACCCGACCTTATGTTTGCTCCATATCCTCCAGCAAACACTACGCCTGTTCCATCTCCATTTGCTTGAGGATTCTTCGAATAATCATACTTGTGTAGTCTCTTTGCAGAGACAAAAGCAAACAAAATACCCAACATTTTTTTTTGAAATTCAAATTGAATCAAACCTCCATTTTTGAGACCGATGTATCATAATGAAAATTTTAATTGAATACGTCGATTAAATTTCACTTACATAGAATAGCTTATTTAATTTCAGATTCTCTCAATATATTACAAAATTAATCATGTAATCTGATCAATTTTTTTTCCAATAAAATACTTCATTTTATTTTGACATTTAGCTTCTATAATCTGAGTATAGAATTCAATGTAATGTTTTCTGATCAAAAATAATGATCATAATAAAACATATATTATGATCCCGCCTTGCTTTCTAAGATCTAAGATCGAAATCATTTCACTTTTTTATCAGTAATATGAATGATTATTTATAAAGTCGAAACTCAGAAATAATTTATTGTAAGAACATGTTCGCAAGTTTTGTTGTCATATCTAATGAGTTGCATTTTTATTATTTTATTTTTTCATATAGCATTCTATATAATTTTATAGAATAAATATGCATAAATAAAGAAACTCATCATGCATATTGATTCTAAACTCAATCTGGAGCATCTTATAACACAAATCAACATATCAAGTTCTAAAATTTGAAGTGTTATTGTCAAAATTTTGTTACCGTTGATTTAACATACCTTATTGAATTAATAAAAATTTACTTGATGCAAATAACTAATCCTAAATAAATAAAATTGAAATTCAAAGAACAAATATTATAATTTACAAATATACTTGGACAATCATATAAGAAAAGAGTGGTAATTCGAATGGAACCATTGCCGGGATTACCATAACTCATACTACCATTAATAAGTGGCATCAGATGTTTACCATCAATCATAACTGTATTGAAGAATGTGATGTTACTGTAGTGGATAGATGGATCTTCTCGTTCTGAGAACTTAGGATTTTCTTCAGTGAAATCTTCTGAAATTGCGATGCATCCTTTGTGTCCACTGATGAATGAACTTCCACCAGCACCGCCGTAACTTATTTCAACAGAAGATGCACTGCCACCAAAATATCCACCGCCTCCTGAGCCGTTCCCATCTGGAGATCCATCATAGAATCTTCTTTCTCCGTTTCCTCCACCGAATCCAAATCTCCCTTTGTATGGACCAATTCCATATCCACCAGAGGTTTGATTTCCTGGAACACTCTTTCCAGAATCACTTGGATACCCAACTAGTCCACCAGCACTTCCTCCATAATCTTCTATATGATTATAGCTATCTGATGATCCTGCACCCGCGGCGACGATTATTCGACTTTTCAATCCTTCAAGTTCACCAAAATCTCCCGGTTTTAATCGAATATCCGATGATCCGCCACCACCAAGTTGTCCAGGGCCGCCACCGCCGTATATTGGGTATTTGGCAGTTATATCACCCATCGAACCAACATGCAAATATAATTTGAGTTTTTCATAAATAACAATTTCTCCTTTAACATAACCTCCTCGTGAGTGTTCAGTTGTATTTCCGTGTAATCCACAACCACCCCAGAGTTCAAAGATATAATTTCCTTTTTCTAATTCAACTTCATAAGGTGTAGAATTAAACGAGGTTGTGCCATTATATAGATAAACATGATATTTATATTTTAAATTATTATAAACTTTTAAGTTTGTTTACGAAATGCAATTGGTTTTAAAAAAATAATTAAGGGTGCACACGTATGTACGTTTATTTGAGAGGAGGAGGATTACCCTCTCAATTTTGAGGGATTCGTTAGTTTATTTTCTCGATGAATATGCAATAAAATTTGATTTTTACCTTATCAATATACTTCATATAATATACACATGTTCATGTAAAAACTTTTTTCCAAAATCCTCAGGAATTAAGGGATTTTTGAATTTTAAGAATTTTTTTCGAATTTTTTCGAAAAAAAATATTTTCAGAACAGCCTTAACGGCTAAGATTTAGGAACAATGTTAAGTATCAAAAAGAAAGGAGGTCTGATATAGACAACATATATCGTTGAAGGTTGAAAAAATCTCTAATATTTGAGCCCAAAATTTCAAATTTTAATTTTTTGAAAAAAGAGGCCACCCGTATGTACGTTTATTTGAGAGGAGGAGGATTATATTTTTGAAAGGGTGAAACATTATGAATATGTTAATTATATAATAATATGTATTATTATAAAAAAGAAAAAATAAAGCACGTTAAAATTTTTCTTTCTTGATTTTTTACAAAATCTACTTAGAATTATGCAAAATATGACTAAATAATTATAAATTTCAAGTTAAATTTTAATTTTGATAAATAATTTAAATTTCAAAATATCAAGTTCAGTTCGACTATGTATGTAGTAATTCCTCAATAAAGTGCCAAAACCCTATTAAAATATATGAACATTTTCAACATTTTAATGTTTTTATTTAAAAATTTGATGGAATATGAGCTTCAAACAATTATTATGTAAATAAAAATAATTAAATATATGTATTTATTCGTATTACAACCGTAGTAAGTCGATTCTTCCTTTCTTCTACTGAGATTTGAATCTGATTTCGAATTGTAAAGAGATTCAAAGGGAAAATACTAGCGGATAAAAACTACCTCCATGAAAGGGTCATAATGGAGTCAAAATTACAATATATTGAAAATATGGCATTTCAAGGATGTACTAATCTATCTAAATTTTCATTTGGAAATCATATTATCGAGATAGGAACGAGTGCTTTTGAAAACGCAATTCTCAATTCAGAAATAGCTTTCCCTGCAACTTTGACAAAAATTTCGAATACAGCGTTCAAGAATTGTAAAAAGATTCCATCTATATCTTTCTCTTCTTCATCTAGTTTACAGATTCTTGATAGTGCATTTGAGAATTGTATATCTATCACATCTATCATATTCATTACAAATACAGAAACTACATTAGGTTCATCATGTTTCAGCAACTTGACATCATTGAACAGCATCCAGATTTCTAACAACATCAAATCTGTTGGTAGTGCATGTTTTTCTAACAGCGGTCTTAGTCGTGTTGACTTTTTCAACAACAACATATCATTTGATTCACTGTCTCCATCTATCTTCCGAGGTTGCATCAACCTTCGCTCTTTCACAATTCCATCTAACCGCATCACCATTGGCACAAGTGCACTTTCAGGCACATCTATCGAACATCTTGACATCCCAGACAGTGTCGAAACATTTGATGGCTACTGCTTCTCTTTCTGCACTAAACTTGTCTCTATCAACATCAAGAACAGCAGTCACCTTGAAAACATCCGACTTGGTGTTTTCCAAGGATGCACTAACTTCGCCACTATCAACGAGTTTATCTCATCCAACTTTGTTTGCGAGAGTGGTGCTCTGTACAGCAGTGATCGCAACCGTATGCATGTATATCCACCTGCATCAACACGCCGATACTTCTATCTTCTCGAAGGTGTTGTTTCGATCGAAGACAGTGCATTCATCGGCTGCACACATCTTGAGTCCATTCTTCTTCCAGAGAAGAGTCTTTTCAAAATTGGACAGAGTTCATTCGAAGGATGCATCAATCTTCGACACATCACAATTCCATCCAGCATTGTCTCTATTGGTGAGAACGCATTCCTTAACTGTCCCAGCCTCAACTGTGGTGCACTGATCCAAAACAGAGAAAACAAGACATTCATTCGACTTCTTAAGCAGAGTGGTCTTGACATTTCATCATCTCTATACTGCTCTGGCTTTTCATGCGAAGCCAACATTCACTCTAATCTTCATCTTCGTATCACCGAAACTGCTGTTATGATTTTAATGTGAAAATAATAAAAAATTATCTCAATAAATTTCCATAATCACATATTTATATTTTTAATATTTTAGAAAGGAGAAGTACAATAAAATAATCAAATTTCATTGTTAATAGTTTTCTTAATTTGATTCTTCAATTTTTAATAAAGTTCTAATGTAAAAAAAATTGATATAAACTGCGAGTTAAAAGGCGTACCTACCTTCAACTTTTTGATAGAAGTCATATAATTAATTATATGAGTTTCTCTCAAAAAGTCGATTTCTGCCAGGTACGCCTTTTGGACCGCACAAGCTATTCCCTCTAATTCGATTTAACAACAAAGGATCATAAAACAGATATAAACATAGGATGAACCGATACTATTTTTTTGAGTCTAACTTCAAAATTTAAGATTTTGAAATTTAATTCAAGCTTCAAACCAGAAATTTAAGCATAAATAGAAGTTACGTTGCTACACATTGCATATGCAGCTTATTTGAGCTCTAATATTTAATAATTTTGTCTCACTCTCAGTGAAGGCATTTTAGCATTAGAAATGTAAACGATTCAAAAATTGACAAGTAACAGAGAGAGTTTACTGGAAACTTATCAGTTATATTCATAAAAAATTAACTAATATTATTTTATTGTACTTCTCCTTTCTAAAATATTAAAAATATAAATATGTGATTATGGAAATTTATTGAGATAATTTTTTATTATTTTCACATTAAAATCATAACAGCAGTTTCGGTGATACGAAGATGAAGATTAGAGTGAATGTTGGCTTCGCATGAAAAGCCAGAGCAGTATAGAGATGATGAAATGTCAAGACCACTCTGCTTAAGAAGTCGAATGAATGTCTTGTTTTCTCTGTTTTGGATCAGTGCACCACAGTTGAGGCTGGGACAGTTAAGGAATGCGTTCTCACCAATAGAGACAATGCTGGATGGAATTGTGATGTGTCGAAGATTGATGCATCCTTCGAATGAACTCTGTCCAATTTTGAAAAGACTCTTCTCTGGAAGAAGAATGGACTCAAGATGTGTGCAGCCGATGAATGCACTGTCTTCGATCGAAACAACACCTTCGAGAAGATAGAAGTATCGGCGTGTTGATGCAGGTGGATATACATGCATACGGTTGCGATCACTGCTGTACAGAGCACCACTCTCGCAAACAAAGTTGGATGAGATAAACTCGTTGATAGTGGCGAAGTTAGTGCATCCTTGGAAAACACCAAGTCGGATGTTTTCAAGGTGACTGCTGTTCTTGATGTTGATAGAGACAAGTTTAGTGCAGAAAGAGAAGCAGTAGCCATCAAATGTTTCGACACTGTCTGGGATGTCAAGATGTTCGATAGATGTGCCTGAAAGTGCACTTGTGCCAATGGTGATGCAGTTAGATGGAATTGTGAAAGAGCGAAGGTTGATGCAACCTCGGAAGATAGATGGAGACAGTGAATCAAATGATATGTTGTTGTTGAAAAAGTCAACACGACTAAGACCGCTGTTAGAAAAACATGCACTACCAACAGATTTGATGTTGTTAGAAATCTGGATGCTGTTCAATGATGTCAAGTTGCTGAAACATGATGAACCTAATGTAGTTTCTGTATTTGTAATGAATATGATAGATGTGATAGATATACAATTCTCAAATGCACTATCAAGAATCTGTAAACTAGATGAAGAAGAGAAAGATATAGATGGAATCTTTTTACAATTCTTGAACGCTGTATTCGAAATTTTTGTCAAAGTTGCAGGGAAAGCTATTTCTGAATTGAGAATTGCGTTTTCAAAAGCACTCGTTCCTATCTCGATAATATGATTTCCAAATGAAAATTTAGATAGATTAGTACATCCTTGAAATGCCATATTTTCAATATATTGTAATTGTGAATCTCCATCGAATGTCACTTGAGATAATTGAATTTTGTTGAGAAATGCCTTTTGATTGATTTTTGTGACAGTAGATGGTATTATAACTTCAGTTTCTTGACCAATGAATTGCGAAATACTTTTATTGTTATCTGAATAAATAATTAATTGTTAATCGATGTATAAATATGGACTTGATATTGTTAGATTCAAATTTTGAATATTTGGAAATGCACTCCCTCCAATACTAGTAACATTTTCTGGGAGAACAATGGTTTTTAACGAATAACATCCAGCGAAAGCGTTTGCTTGAATATTTGTTACCATATTTGGAATCTCGATTGATGTTATTCCGGAATTACGAAAAATAGATGATTGCAATACTGTTAATTTAGGTGGAGGAACTATATGTTTAAGATTTTTACAACCATAAAAAGCATAAGAACCAATGCTAGTTACATATTGAGGAATGTTAATATTTGTTAGATTCGAATCAATGAAGCAACCTTGGTTTATTGTTGTTACTGTATCAAGAATTGTGTAGCTATCACCACATGCAGAAGAACAATAATATATGATAGTTTTATCTTTATTATAAACTGCCTTTGTGTCATCCCATAAATACTGATTCATTGGATCAACATGAATATTTTTCATATTTTTGCTTCCACTGAATGCAACACCTGAAAGTGTTTCTACACTTTCAGGTATTGTAAATTCTAATAAATTATCCCACAAAAATACATTAAAATCTAGTGAAGAAAGTTTAGATCCTTTTGAGAAAGTTATTGATGTCAATGATTTCATAGAAGAAATTGCGTAACCTTCAATTTTTGTAACTGTTGATGGAATATTGATTGATGTGAGTTTCAGAGAGTCGAATGAATATGATGAAATTGTTGTGAGTCCTTCTGGAAGAAGAACAGTTGTAACTGATGTGCATTGACTGAATGAATATTTCCCAATAATTTGTAACTTGCTGCATTTTGAGAGATCAACTCTTTGTAACTTTGAACATTGATAGAATGCATAATCGTTGATATAATAAAGTTGTGGATTATCTTCAAATGAGAATGATTCAAGAGAGTTGATTGCAGGTTTGAAACAATAATTTTCTTTATCGTAACCATAAATGACTGTGCATGCAGAAGATATAACAACACTTGTAGTTGTTGCTGAAACAGATCGTAATGTTTTTCCACCATTTGAATATTCACTCAATTAGTTTAACCTTTTAAGATTTTTGGATCATAACATTAAAAATTGCCAAAAATAAGGTTATTATGAGAAGTCTTTATTGTCTTCATAAATATTAGGTTTCTTGAATCAAATTTTAAGAAAGTGAAAAAAGGATATTGGAATTGCCAAAAACGCAAATTTTGTTCATTACGATTTGATAACCTTGGCAATTTTTGGATAAGTGAAGTTTTGAGAAAAATTAGTAAATTTTGCATTTTGTAGTCAAAAAGAAGCCATAGAATACTATACATAAGTTTCTATACATTTTCTTCATAAAAATGTAGAAATCGAATCATTTGATATTTTTGTCAAAAGATTTATGTTTCTTGTGAGAGTAAAACTAGAAATACTCTCAAAATGGAAGTGAATTATTTTTCACAGAGGAATCAAGGTTTCGTACCACAGAAATTGCTGTTAACTACCATTCTTGTTACTAAATGAATTAAATTCAAATTTCTTTGATTATTAATTTCAGCCTCAAAGCAATATAAATTGATCATAAATTAATTTCATTTGATATCTGTATAATGATCAATTTGAAATTCAATTGTAAATTTTTATGATATATACAAAATTCTAAAATTGTCGTCGAAGTTTATTATGAATCAAGACAAAGTTAAAATTGAAATTTTTGAGTAAATTACAACTAATAAAGTCAGGAGAAAGATCTGTTATGCGACAAACACCATTACCACGGTGTCCAATACTCATACCCCCAAATGGTTGTGGCATGCTCTCATTGCCACCATACATAACAGTGTTTGTGAATGAAATGTTATATGGACTTGTAATGCACACTGGATGGCCGCTGATATATGAGCTCCCTCCACCACCACCTTGTATAAAATATTCTGTGATGGGGTCAGGAATTTCATAATATCCACCTCGGTATCCTGATCCACTTCCGCCTGAGCATGCTCCAACACTATAATTAGTTGATTTTCCATCAACTCCTATACCTAATTGGCCCATGGTTTGAGAAGCACCAATTGTGTATTTTGACCTCATCGAATCTAATGTGCCTCCTGGAAGGCCCCATGCATAAAATTTGGAAGATATGTTTGCAAATCTCGTGATATTGTCAGAAACAGCACCTCCTCCGGAACCTGCAACGATAATTCGACTATCAATTGATTCGCGAAATTTTAGATTGTTTGTTGGGATGATATTGATGTCAATATATTTCAATCTGATATCAACAGCACCACCTCCTCCAGCTCCATTTTCTGGATGGTCGGTATCAAATAGGTCCATACCTCCTTTTCCTCCAAAGTTCCAACCGCCAAGACTTTGATCAACGCCATGACCTCGGATGGAGCTTTGGTCTTCACCTGCAGCACCAAGATATAAATACAATGTTAACGGTGATCCTATTTTGATGTTGCCTTTAACATATGAACCGGCACCACCTGAATCTTTGTAAAGATTATTGGTGTTCAACATTCTTCCATCACCACCTTGAGCACCCCAAAGTTCAATTCTATAATGACCTCTTTCAAGACTGATATTAAATGGTTTGCAAAACGTTAAATTTGGGCATGGATATTCAAAGATAAATGATTTCTTTTCAACAGAAACAGAGAATTTTGTGCCTTCAAATAAATCAAATGCATAAGATATATGTCCTTTAAGAACTTAATTCCAAGAAATCAAATCTTTATTAAGACGATAAATATCTCTCAAAAAATAACCTTATTTCATAAAATTATGAGATTAAATTTATGTTTAAAAATGTAGTAGTGCATCCCAAGTATGCTGAGTATAGTAGTGTCGGAAATAAATTCTATAAGGGAGATGTAAACTATTGAACATCCGACCAAACGTCGTTCCTAGTTTTGTGACTCACAATTCCTTGACATCTGCTCAGAAAAAAAGTATACGTTTAGATATTTTTGAATGGCTTACTTTTTTTAAGGTATAGATAGTATCATCCGCTGATTTTGTAATAGGAATCGGGTTTTAATAATTTCTTCTTCAGTAGTGAGGGCTTTCAAAAAATAGAATGTAAAACCTCTGTGTATTCAATTGGATATTATAAACCTCACTACTCAAATTTCGATTGAGAGGGCAAAGTACTCATCGCGGAATTTGAGACTTTTTTCAATAAGAGTTAATAAAATTTTAAGAAAGAGATTTTTACTATCTATATACAAGACAAAGATTAATAATAAATAGATTTTGGTGAAAAAAGACGATAGAGATCGTCAAGAGAAACCAACTAATTTGGAGTAGGGAAATACAAATACAGGCTATATTCCTTGTTTAAATTCTATTTTGGAAAGAATTCATGGAAATTTTGTAATAAATGAAAATAAATTTTCCTTTGATTGGGTTCTTGAACTCTTTTATAGGAATTTGGAATTTTCAGTGGAAATAAGTGAGAGAATCGAGCAATTGAAAAGCTTTTGTTGAATGAGTTATTTCTGAGCTAAAGGTGAAATGCTAACAATATGTTAGTTTGGAACTGCTTTTAGCTTTGAACATTATCACTTATATCAAGATGCAAAAAATAATAAACGAGCATTTTTTCCTCAGAAAAACATATTGATACTATAGATGGAAATGTATAATAAAATATAAAATCAGCTTAACGTTGAGTTTGAAATTTGCGCAAATATTACAGTTTCTATCTTTTGATTGAAAATAGATTTTTATAATCGAAAATTAATGATGAAATATAATTTGTTAGCATAATAACCTTATTTTTGGCAATTTTTAATGTTATGATCCAAAAATCTTAAAAGGTTAAACTAATTGAGTGAATATTCAAATGGTGGAAAAACATTACGATCTGTTTCAGCAACAACTACAAGTGTTGTTATATCTTCTGCATGCACAGTCATTTATGGTTACGATAAAGAAAATTATTGTTTCAAACCTGCAATCAACTCTCTTGAATCATTCTCATTTGAAGATAATCCACAACTTTATTATATCAACGATTATGCATTCTATCAATGTTCAAAGTTACAAAGAGTTGATCTCTCAAAATGCAGCAAGTTACAAATTATTGGGAAATATTCATTCAGTCAATGCACATCAGTTACAACTGTTCTTCTTCCAGAAGGACTCACAACAATTTCATCATATTCATTCGACTCTCTGAAACTCACATCAATCAATATTCCATCAACAGTTACAAAAATTGAAGGTTACGCAATTTCTTCTATGCCAACGTTAACATCAATAACTTTCTCAAAAGGATCTAAACTCTCTTCACTAGAATTTAATGCATTTATATGGGATAATTTAATAGAATTTACAATTCCTGAAAGTATTTCTACGCTTTCAGGTGTTGCATTCTGTTCTAACACAAATATGCAAAACATTCATGTTGATCCAATGAATCAGTATTTATGGGATGATACTAAAGCAGTTTATAATAAAGATAAAACCATCATTTATTATTGTGCTTCTGCATGCGGCGAAAGTTACACAATTCTTGATACGGTTACAATGATAAACCAAGGTTGTTTCATTCATTCAAATCTAAAAAATATTATCATTCCTCCATCTGTAACTAGTATCGGTTCTTATGCTTTCTATTATTGTAGGAAGCTTAAACAAATAAATCTTCCTCCAAATATTACCGTTTTACGAAAATTAGCATTTCATGGAAGTGGTTTGACTTCAATCGAAATTCCCAATAAAGTAACAATACTTGAAGTAGGAGTATTTCAGAACTGTAATAATTTAATTAATATTGTTCTTCCTGAAAATATATCTGATATAGGAGGGAATGCACTTCCTAGTATTCCTAATCTTAATTTAACTTTATCAAGTAAATCATTGTATATAGATAAACAATTAATAATATATGCAAATAACAATAAAACAATTTCACAGTTCTTAGGCCAAGATTATGATATTGTGATACCATATGCAGTAACCAGAATTAGGATGCAGGCATTTCTCAACAAAATTAAGATTAGTTCAGTGACATTCGATGGAGATTCACAACTACAGTATATTGAATATGGTGCTTTCAGTGGATGCACGAATTTATCTAAATTTTCATTTGGAAATCATATTATCGAGATAGGAACGAGTGCTTTTGAAAACGCAATTCTCAATTCAGAAATAGCTTTCCCTGCAACTTTGACAAAAATTTCGAATACAGCGTTCAAGAATTGTAAAAAGATTCCATCTATATCTTTCTCTTCTTCATCTAGTTTACAGATTCTTGATAGTGCATTTGAGAATTGTATATCTATCACATCTATCATATTCATTACAAATACAGAAACTACATTAGGTTCATCATGTTTCAGCAACTTGAAATTGTTCAAGACATCAGAGTAGATAAACAGGATAAGTCTTACGTCTGACGACCCGCCTCCACTGTATTGTCCAGGGCCTCCTCCACCATATGAGTAATTTTCATAAGATATTGTCCTTGAGAGCATACATGCAAGAAAAAATTTTGTGGTTTGTTTAAAAATAAATATCCCTTCACATATGCTCCTCCTGATTCTGCAAGATATGCAGAGTTTGGAGGATCACTATATTTGGAATTTGAGCATCCCCATAATTCAAATTTATAAAATCCTCTTTTTAATTTGACAACATAAGGTTTAAAAGTGTAGTAATTTGGTCCCTTGAAATCAAATTCAAGTACGCTATTGCTTGAAATTTAGAATACGCTTGACATTTGGATAAAAAAAAGTCGTCAAATTTCTTTTCCTAATTTACTCACAAAAAACTACTTTAGGAAAATAAACATTTGAATAAAGCTTATTGAGACTTGAACTTCATTGAATGATTTTAACATATTTTGCATGTAGGTGGTAAAGGAAAATGAATTGAAGTTAATAATGGAGACATTCTACATTGTGACAATGGCTCAAAGGAATTTTATGGTATATTATATCGGTATTTGAACCATTCAGTAATTTTTGAAATTTTCTACATTGTGACAAATTAATCGAAAATAAATATGGCTCAAAGGAATTTTATGGTATATTATATCGGTATTTGAACCATTCAGTAATTTTTGAAATTCAGAAACGTTATGAAAAGTTTAAGTACAGACAGTTTATTCTCTTGTTACATCGGAATGAGAGAATTATAAATTAAAAAGTGTCATTTTTAGATCGAATAGCTTCATGTTCGATATTTAATGGCATTCTTAGAAATTTAGTTGATAATAGGAATAGGGATATTATTCAGATCACAACAACACCTCATTATCAAGATAGAATACCAGAAAATACTATTGATTATTCTTCATTATCATTTTTCGACATTCATTTTCAAAATTAAACTTATCAAATATAATTGAAAAGATACACTTTTTTCCGATTTTTTTCAAACGCATATATCTCTTTATTTGATTATTTTTATATAACTCACTTGTCTCCATAATGTTTGTATATGGAGATCTCTTATACACCAAATTTTCGGGAAAAAGTGTATCTTAAAATCTGACAATCGGAAAAAGTGTATCTTTTCAATTATATTTGATAAGTTTAATTTTGAAAAGACCCAAAGAATAGCACTTTTTATACTACTCAAGATGAGAATGACGAAAATTTTGAATCAGATCGATTGACGATAGATTCAATCTGGTCGGAGTGAAGTCAATATTTCCTAGGATCTCAATATAATGAAGAACATAAATTTAATGGTAATCAATTTTCAAGATCAAGCAACTTAAAATACTTTGTTTCATGTTGTTTTTTTCTTGAATTAAATCAAAACGGTGCAGTTCTAATCGAATCTTCAATTGATGATGTTAAAACATATATTGATGCAAATGAATTCAAATCATGTTCCTCAGGATCACAAGAAGGAGGTTCTATTTATTTTGCCTACGAAGGTGAATTTGTTCAAACAAAAATTTATATACTACGATTATTTTTGATTCAAATGCTGTTCGGCATTAGAAGCAAAAATAATCATAATCTAGATAATTCCAATTTTATATACTTTTTGGGCGCTAAAGCGCCCGTAAAAAAGTATACAAAATTGTTAATTTTTTCATTAATTCAACAAATTCAAATACTGGAACCGCATTTTCTATACATGCTTCAGGAAAACCAAATTACAAAAATCATGTCAATGCAACTTTAGTTTACAGCTGCGACAGTTCAGAACAATACTCCAGAATTACAACTGCCATGTTTATTGGGTTTATAATTATGAATGAATGCAATATTGCACAAAATAGAATCAACAATGATTGTGGTTATTCAACAATAGATAACTTGTGTCAATGTCATTGATAATAATCAATCATCAGGTAGTTTTAATCAGAGCTCATCTTCTGACTCATATGAATCAATATTTAAAGTTAACTCATGCAATTATCTAAGAAGTAAAAGTCCAAATCAATGGAGTTATCTGATTCAGACTATCAGTACTAATATTTACATGAACTATTGTATTCGTGAGAATGAGATTACTACAGTTTTTTACGCACAAAGATGTTCTATACATTTCGAAAATTCAACAACAGATAACACTTCATCATTTACATCATATGGTAATTCACCACCAATTTTTAAGAACACAAATATTTCATTTGAAAATGAATGTCCTCTTTTGACAATTTTGACAAAAGATTTCGTTGACTTATTAAAATATAAATGTTGCCATTCTTCACAAACAAATAATGTAAATGAAGAAGGAATTGATAATATAGAAAATAACGTTTATATTCAAAATCAAATTACATTTTTCTTTTTATTATATTACACCTCAACGATTTCGAAGTAGAACATCAAGTCAATTCCTTAAATGTTAATGTACTTACGCCCATCTGGCATTAAATCAAATATCTATAGCAACACAATTCAATTAAAAACAAATAAAATACTAAGTCGATGAATAATTGAGCGTTTTTAAACAACCGCTGTTTGAGAGGAAAATTGAGATTTAAGAAGTTCTTTTACTTCAAGACAAAAAAAATATATTGCATTGGCTAAAAAAATTATCTGAATATGAATTAAGTGGGTACATATGACGCGACATTCAATAATTCATCACAACTGTTGAAAAAAAATTTAAATTTAATGAACTCTTTTTATGAATTGTCTTCACCATGCAAAGAGTTGACTTGTCAAAATTCAATTGAAAATGAGTGAAAAACATTAGTAGTAGGATATGATGGGTTTTGTGACTTTTTTTGTAAACGTAAGAATTCATACAATATCGAGCGATTTTGTATCATTTTTTTTAACATATGAAGTAAAAAATGTATGATTCTTACGGTTTTTATTCTTACGTTTTTGAATAAATCAAGATTTAAAAAATTTTCAAAATTGTAAGACATTTACACTCAGCCCATACATAATGAAATAAAAAATAAAAAATTTTTAAAAAATAAACCATTAAAAAATTAAAGTTATTTTTAAAAATAATTTATTTTTTTTATTCTTACATAAATGACCCAACAAGTAAAACCAGATAAAATAGATTATCGAATTTTAGAGGATGGTGTTCCTGTTTATATTCAAAGATTTAAAGGGAAGCAATATTATAGAATTGTTAATCCTGAATATCTTAAACATTTATTTAAAAAGGAAGACTGTGAATTATTAAACGCTAATGAATATGAAACCAATAAATCAAAATTGAAATATAAATATATTGGAAGTGATGAAAGATGCAAAGATAAAGATAAAGTTTATTCAGTTTCATATAATGAATGGAAAACCAATAAGATAAGAAAACATTTAGGAGATTATGGGAAATGTTCTGAATTCTTCAAATCTAGTATGTACGAGAGAATAAAAGAAATCAGAAATAATTATTTTCATGAATAAAAAATAAACTTTAAAAATTCATGTCTTACATTTTTAAATAATTTATTTTTTTAATTCGTAAGAAAATGAGTGGATCAAGATTCGTAACCGTCAATCAATTAATGGATGCTTTTTCACCAATTCTTGAAAATGTTAAACAAGTAGATGTTTATTTCGATGATTATGTAGAAAGTTTATATTATAAAGGTAAGTTTAATATTAAACCTATTGCTTTTTCATTTGATAATAAATTAATTGAAAATGCAAAAATTTGGGAATTAATTCCAGATATTGAATTTATAACAAATATTAATGATAAATGGTTTAAACGAATTCCAACCACAAAAGTTCTTTGTAAATTAGTGATCAAAACTGAGGAAAAAGAATTTAACGGGTTTAAATATCATCCAAATAAAGTTTCAGAACTAGAAAATGAAAAACTTCAGAAAAAATTAAATGATAAACTTTCAAATGATCGTATTGAAAAAATAAATAAACTAGCAGAAGTTACATTTAATAATGAAATATTTGATGAATATAACCTTGAACTCAGTGATGGGCTTTAAGGACCCGGGCTCAACGAGTCATGATTTATGAAATCAATAATTAGATTTATTCGCTCTTCAATAATTTCTATTCTTTTTGTTAAATCATCTATTTTCATTAATGAGGTGATTCTTGATTGAGGAATAGATTTCAAACTAACCACTCCTTTTATTTTTGAAATTTTGAATCCATCAACTTTAAACATTTTATTCAATTTACATGTTGTCAATTCTTCAAATAATTTTTTATTTAGCATAATAGTCATTAAATTCTTCAACAGATGAAAAAATTTTTATTTCAGTAATTGGTTTAACAACGTTTATTTTTTGTTGAACATTTTCACTTTCATTTATTTCATCCTCCTTTGTTTCATTTATTTTTAAAATCGGTTTCATTTATCATTAAATAAAAATTAGAATATAAGTGATGAAATATATTTTTTAATTAATATTAAATCAGAAATGGCGGCAGGATTCTTTAAAAAATTATGGGATGGAATTAAGAAAGCTGCAGGTTGGGTTCATAAAATATTATTAAACCCGTTGCAAACTTTTTGGCACCAGTAGCGAAAACGGCAGGAACTATCATAGGTGGAGTATTAGGTACTAAAGCAGGTAATCCGGCGATGGGAGCACAAGCAGGTAACGCAATTGGTGGAATTGCTGAAGGAATACTTAATAAAATAGGAGGTAAATAGTGGAAAAATAAATAAATATTATTTTTATCTTAGTATCGGTTGTAGTCTTTGATAAACTTTTTCTCCTTTATTTAATATTTCTCTTATTGGGGCAGCTTTTGGCGTTATTGATTCAGCAACGTCACTAATTGCTTCTTTATTCTTAAATATCCAATTTGCTCCTTTCTTCATTGTTTCCCAAACTTTATGCGCTCCTCTTTTTACTTTATCCCACAGTTTCTTAAAGAATCCTGCAGCCATAGTTGATTATTTCATTAAAATTAAAAATTCATTTTCATCTTTCAATTTTGATTTTTTTATTTATTAATAAATGACGACTAACTATTTGGTGCCAAACACTAAACCGATTAATGGAAATGTGTTTCATTCATTCGAAAAGATAAATGAAATATTCGCAAAGAATGATGGTAGAAGATATTATAGAGAACTTGAAAGTTCATGCTATGACTCTGATGCTCCATATTTTGATGATAAACAAACTCATTTAAGAATTACAAATCCGGCTCATGATGTGAACCAATTAGGTGACACATATATTAAACGCAAAGTTAAAGCAACTCTAGTTTCAAATAAAGCTTTCACATGTGATGCCGCTTTTAAATGCATGCGTTTATTCGTTGGTTACAAATCATCAAATCAAAGCTTTAAACAATTAGAAGTAGAAACCGAAAGAGGTGATGCTGGTTATCTTCAGATGGATTGCGCCCGTGAATCTTTCGCATTTGCAACATATAAACCAAAATCAGAAAGGAAAGTTAAAAAGTTTGTTCATTCGTTATATAATAATGTTCAAAAATATGATAACTCAGTATGTGGTAAATATATTGACCCTTCAGAAGTTTTCAAGAAAGCAAATGAAGAAGTTGATATCACTTTTGATATGATTATTCCGGTAAATGATTTGTTAGCATTTCAGGCGTTCGATGATTATCCTAAATCATTTGGTGAAATCATTCTTAAATATTATGTTTTCAGGGATACTTTAGTATTTTGTCAGGTTGACCCGTTAAGAGTTGCTGATTTACAAAATTATGTTTATGAAAAGATAACTGATGAAAATTATGAAAAGATTATGAATCATGTTTATAAATATGATCGCAAATTCCAACAAATTCGGACTTCTGCCAAATTAATTACAGGCTTAGCCGCCACATCTGCTGACGCAACAGTTGATGACGTTATTATTTCATGCACAAAGATGGAAGTTTTAGAGGATAAATGCATTACACCAGGATACGGTTTAATTGAAGAATCAGTTAAAGCAATACCACGTTTATTCAGTAAGGAAGATCCATTCATGATTCCAGCTCAACATATTGACGTTCGTTCACTAAATGGAGGTTGCATCACTCCTGAAGGTATCAGCTCAGATTTCTCATACGCTCTTCATAATGTTACAGATGTTGTGTTAACATTTCCGAAGAATGCAATGCAAAGAACAGTTTTAGAAAATCCAATGCTTCGAGGTCTTCAGGTCACTATAGATTCCAGAAACTTCCCCGATCAAGCGATGACCACAGTGGGCGACATATTCTTTACACGTATGCTTCAAGCTTCTGATTTAGATGGAGTGAATGAATGCACAGAAGAATACGAGGACTCATTAACTAGACCACTGAATGATGATAATGGCACGCCATTAGCTAGAACATGGAAAGACCAAACTTCATTCTTATGCACTATTCCAGTTCAACGTGATGGAGCGGGTATATTCTTTGATGGATTAGAAACTTTCAATTCACAAGTTACAGTACAAGTGAAAGCTTATCCAATCATTCAGGGTGAAAATGACACTTACTGTTCAAAGGTGACAAATCCTCCTCAGGTTTGGTTTACTAGGACTACATATTGGACATGGACACCGGACGAAGGTTTGAAATATCATCCAACAGGTACACCACCACAGTATAGAAGTTCATATGATGAAATTTGATGAATAGAAATGTATAAAATTATAAATTTATTTTTGATTAAATGGATTTAAATTCATCCACCCCTTATGAAGAATTAGCGGGAGTATATAATACATACGTAGATGATATGATTAATGAAGCATTGAGTGATAATAGAAATGCTCTATCTAAGGAAAAATTAATGAAAATTCCATATTCTGAATGTTACTTAAATTCAATCACTGCAGCAATTGGTAAACAAAATAAAGGTAAAACATTAACGATATTAAAACAAATTATCATTATTGCTAACACTTCCCCCATTCACATGTGTTAATTTATATCAACCGTTCAGGTTCACCTTCAGATGATACATTTGAATCTTTAAAGCATTTAATCAAAATTCCAATTATTTATTTATCACAAGAAGAAGCAGAAGATTATTTAAAAAACTTTTTAATGTATAAAGAATTATATAATACAATCAAGAAGCAAGGATTAGAGGATAAAATTATTGATAAACAACGGGATGAATTATTTGAAACACTTTCTATTTCAAATTTTGATAGAGAATTTTTGCATTCACTCATTTTTCTAGATGATGCGGTGAAATCAAAACTAATAACAAATGAGAAATCATATTTTAATCAGTTATTAACTCAATGTCGACACATTCAGTGTTCATTCTTTATGGCTGTTCAATACTTTAAAGCATTAAGCACAAACATTAAATCAAACCTGTCCACCCTTTTCATTTTCAGTGGTTTTAGTCGTCAACAGTTGAACGTTATGCTTTATCAAGTGAATTTACCAATGAGCATTAATGAACTTTACACACAATATCAGCAATTAGGTGAACATGGAAAAATAATAGTTGATTTAAATAAAGGAAGTGTTAAATTTGATTAACTTTTTATAATTAATTTTTATTTTTTATTTATAATTAAACATGACAGAAATAGCAAATCTTCTACAGGTTCCATTAAAACAAGGAACAAACAAAAAGGGTGCATATAATAGAACTATGAAAGTTCCTGATGGAATGAAAGAATTAGTTCATATTGTTGCTGGTCTTCAAAAAGATGTTAAACAAATGAGAAACGTTTTAACATTACCAGAAGCTCAAGCATATGCCAAACGTCATGGTCCAAATTGGGAAGCACACGAAGCAGACATTACGGGTCCAAATGGAAAACCTGATGGTATAAATGAAGTTTTCGTTACTGATGGTCAAGGTAATATTAAAGTCATAAATGGGTATAAATTAACAATGACGGATTATCCTAAACGTAAAGCATATAATGAATGTTATCCTATGCAATTTGATGAAAATGGAAAAGCTGTTAAACAATACATTGGAGAAGGTGAACATGGTCCAATTAATTCATACCGTCATAATCCATATTCTTATTTCAATGAAGAATTAAACGCTATTGAAGAAGGACCGGATGGATTACCACGATATTCTAATCAGTTTGATGGTCAATATGCAAATTTGAGACCTGAAATTCCAGCTAAGAAATTCTTTAAAGTTGCTTTATTCGATCCAGTGTTCAATGAACAGAAAGAAGCAATGAAAGCAGAATTTAAACCAATTCAGGTGGCAAGAATTTCTTCATCTTCACTTGCAGAAGCGTTCAAGGAATTGATAAAGAAACCACTTTATTCTCAACAAGGTTATAACTTTGATTTAATTAAAGAAAGTGATAGACGTAAATTAGAAAAATCAGATGGTTTTAAGAATGCATGTAATGAAATGATTAAAGATATTGTAAATGATAAAATAAGACTGGAAGAAACTCAAAGCAATATCAATAACATAATTGGTGCAGTTACAAAGAAAGTATAAGCAAACAATGATGAACCTTGGGATATTACCGTAACAACTAAATAAAACTTTAAATATATTTTTCTTTTTTTTTATTCAATTATAAATGAGAAGACGTTTCACAAGTCAAAAGAACACAAACGCAAAAGCAGAGATTACGGTTGGTTATAACGTAAATGATGATAAATCACGAATTATTCAAAATGTTAAAGTTAATGTTAGCCCGAATTAACAAGGTCAGCAACTCAACCAAATTTATTAACTCGTGACTTACCGAAGAATGAGGAGAATGAAGAAAACCATGAGAATGGAGACTCAATCATTTTATCTGAACCTGGTAAAGAACCCGTTGAAATTCCCACTTATCCAACATACCCAGCACCACTTGATAACCCATATAAAATAGACATTAATTCTGAATTAATGAAAATTTACCGTGATATAATAATTAATAATTATGATTCAATAATAAATTTAATTGATCAATCCGGTTTAATTATTTTACCTTATGAATCATTAATTCACATTATCGCCATTCTTTGTGATGTTCAAGATTCAGACGTTAAGATTCAATTTTCATAGATGATGAGGTTTCATGCTGCGGAACAGTTGCAAAAATAAATCCTATAAAGGATATTAGCACAATTAAGATATCAAAGAACGGAACAACAAACTGAACTTCATTTAACATATAATGATATTTATAATAAAATAGTTGATGAATATAAAATATCACTTGAAAAATTCTTTGTTAAGGCTATTTAATATTCAAGCATTAACATTATCGAATAATAATCCTTTGAATCATAATCGATAATAATTGACCTTTCACCAGTTTCTATCGTTTGTTTTATTTCTTTTTGTTCCCCACTATCTGGATCGGTCATTGTAATTGTTTTTGTTATAGTATCAGCTTTATCTTTAACTTCAATCTTTTTCCATCGGGATATTTAAACCAAAATTCCAAAATTCGATATTGTCAATCTGTTCATATTTTAATCTATCAATTACATTTTTAATACCATCTGAAAATCTTATGAAATGGTCATTATATGGGTTTGATTGAACTAAATTTGAATGAAGTGAAATATAACCTGATGATGAATATGACATTGACTCATATTTCTGAAAACACTGAAATTTATAACATGAATGAATTTCTTATTCGTTGAATTTATGAATTCTTGAGGTAATCTTATTCTAGTTTTATTTATCACTGGAAAATAACGCTTTACCATATTTTTAATCGTAATAAAAATGTCAATTATCATATATTTCGAATAATAGTTGTGAATTAAATTTAACAGTTAGTGGAATTTATAATGTTACTCTCGTTTCTGTGAGTGGTAAATTTAATCCCATTCTTTTAGACCCTTCAGATATATATCATTTATTAAAGATGACCTTGAAAAAACGTATGATATGTATATAAATAATGTGATAACGAAATGGGATATTAACACAATTTTAAGTTATTTAAATGAATCATTTATCGTATGGTATGAAGAAAATTTTAAATCAAACCCGATAAACTTTTTTGAACTTGATGAAATAAATAACCTTATTAAATTTCCGCTGAAAATTAAATTTTGTACTCCTCATCTTCGTTCATTGTTGGGATATTAAATTTTGAAAAAGATGTTGGGGATGTTTTGTATTCTGACACTGGTTCCGATTTCATTTTAATCAAATGTGATAAAGTTAATACCCCAATGAGATTTTCACATCAAACATTAGACCCTAACTCTTACCCATCAATACAAAACATTTTATCCATCAACTTAAACATATTTTCTTTATCATATCCGTTTCAATTATCCGGGAATTCATTTATTCTTCATTCAAAAGATTTATCAAATATTAAATTTAGAATAACTGACCTATTTGATTGTGATTTAGAATTCATGAATGAAATATTATGGCAATTTCAAATAGAAAAAATAGCTGATGAGATAACAGATTAAATATTTATTTTTAAATCATAATAAATGATTAAACAACAGCAACCACAGCAACTTAAGGCACAAACCATTACATACGCCACATATGCATATAATTCAAAGACGGCAGAACAAACGCAAAGGTTGAAATATGGAGATTTGGAGATAGTATTGAAAAATGACCATTTTGAATTCGTTTGCAAGGGTGGTGCAGTGATATCAAATATAAAAGAAATTTTATTTATGAATTCAAAAATTAAAGGAATAACGGATGATATAACATCAATTCCACCAGAAGAACAAAGATATTACGCATTAAATGCATTTCCTAAAGTTTTGAAGATTGGAAGATTTAATTTAAATGAGGAATTCATAAAAGGTTTCCTAAATGACATAATGAAGAAGGTGGATAAGGAATATGTGGATAGTGAGTTAATGAAGAAAGCAGATAAGGAATATGTGGTAAGTGAGTTAGAGGAGAAAGCAGATAAGGGACTTGTGGCTAGTGGGTTAGAGGAGAAGGCAGATAAGGAATATGTCAATGAAAAAGATAATGAAATTATAGAAAGGGTTGAATGGTATCATGGACGGACATCGAAGATTTTAAAAACTAAAGCTGATACAGGATGGGTTTCAGAATGTTTAGACCTTAAAGCAGATAAAACTTATGTTAACAATGAGTTAATGAAGAAGGCAGATAAGAACCATACACATACAAGTTTTACAACTGTTGCTATAGAAAGTATTGAAGGAACGGTTGAAGAAACTGGTGGGGATGTATTATATTGTAAACCTCCTAACTTTCCACAAGGTTTAACATCGGATGACAACATAACGACGATGAGAAACATTAGATGTAAAGATGTTTATGTCATGAAGGATGAACATAATATTAAATTCACTGCTCAAGATTTATATGACAAGAAAGCAGACAAAAAAGAGCTTCAAACATTAAAGACTGAAATTCTTCAAACATTATATCCTATAGGCTCTATTTATACGTCAATGAACTCAACAAATCCAGAAACAGTTCTGGGTTTCGGTACGTGGGAACAAATAGTTGACAGGTTTTTGTATTGTGCAAACTCTTCAAAGGAAACAGGAGGAAGTAAAACGATTTCAGGTGAAAATTTACCTGCACATAGTCACTACATAGATTTAAGTACATCTCAAGCGGGTTGGCATAAGCATAGATATTGGGATTGGTCAGCAATGATAAAAGGTAAAGGATATGATGTTAAAGACAACGTTAAGTTTGCTATAGATTGTTACTGGAGTAACACTGAGGGAGGAGGAAACCATACACATCACGTTTCAGGATATACACAAACAACGGGACAAAGTAAAGATTATATGCCACCATTTATGACTGTATTTGCGTGGTACCGCATTTATTGAATGAACTAAATATATTTTATGTCTGTAATTAATTAGGTAATGAAGTAGTGGATGAACTGCAGAAATATGTGTTATCGTTAATGTTGTCAAAATGTCATGTTGTCACATTTTTTCAGAGAAGTTAAATAACCGAGTGACACTGAGTGACGTAGTGACACCTTCAGTTCTTCAAAAATAATTAATTATCGAATAACCCACTATGTTGTCAAAATGTCATGTTGTCTCAAACTTTAGAACGGCATAATTTAAATTTTTATTTTTATCATAAATGAATACCCCACAAGCTCAAAATTTACCACGAATCATAACAAGGGAGGAAATGATAAAAATGATGCAAGAACATGTTAAAAATAACAAACCACTAAAATTGAGAAAATGTGGTTATGCAGTAATGATGGAAAGAGAGATGTTGTCAAAGAGGAATAAAAATTAAATTTGGATAGAGTTTAAAAATTCATCTTTATTAAATTCATCTCTTCCAATCAATTTATTTATTCTATTAAATTCTTTTATTTTTGCTTCACTTAGTTTAAGGATTGAACGGTAAGTTTCTAATTTTTCGATTATTTCTTTATCGTTTTCAACCCCACCGCATTGCGGCTTCTTTTTGTAATAGCATATTTTTGATTTAATTCTGTTTAGTTTCTTTTTATATTCATTGTCTGGACTCTTGACTGCTTTGTTGTCACTCATTTCTTACGAAATAAAAAAATTAAATATTATTTAAATATAATGGAGTAATAAAATAAATCGGAATTTCTATTAATTTATTGTTAACCTCAACTAATGCATTGCCGTTAATATATCTAACAAATTCAGCTATTGTGTCAAATCTTCGTCTTCTTTTTGTCATTGATTTATCAGTTTTTCCATAATCGAGATGAATTAAAACTTTATTTCCTTGTTTAAAATTCATGAGCCCCGAATTAATTTGTTCACGTTTAACATCATTCAACCTTTCCATTTGCTTTCTAATATATTCCCATTCTTTTGAAATATCATTTTTCATTTCCACTGGTTTCATGTTTATTGTTCTATGCCATGTATTATTGTAATAATATACTAACTGTTGTATGATGGAGTCATGATTTCCATCCCAGTATATCTGACCGTTAACCCCTAACGCATCTCTAAGAGTTCTCATTACCGCATCAACTATTTTATTATGAAACGTATATGGAGAGGATGAAAAGTAAAAATTAATTTGTGGGAAATAATGAGCCATAGCTGCCTGAAATCCTTTATCACCATCACCCCTTATATTATCTACTCTTTCATGATCTAGTAAGTATTGAATAGCTCTTCTTGTTTCCTGTTCTGTTTTCCCTTTCACCGGAATGCAATATAAATATCTAGTGTTAATGTTAATGGCAAATAAATAAGTAACGTTTCCTTTTGAATATTCCAGATGATCAATTTCGTATGAATATAGATATGGTGCAAATGAAGGGCGACTAAATTTTTCCTTTAATGGTTGAATTTTCGGGTCAATTGGTTTATTTAATATCTTGAAATCCTTTTTAAAATCTTTTTGCTTCTTTAATGTTTGAAATGGATATAATAAAGTGAATGATGAAGGATTAACTGAAGGAGGAGGTACTGTCGTTAGAGGTTTTGGTGTTGCAAGTGGTTTAATTTTATCTGCTTTGATTTTGGATTTCATTCCTTCCTTCATTAATTCTGGATGTATTCTATTCATTTGTTTTAAATATGCTGTATATAAAGGTTTAATATACTTTCCCGCTTCGAGTTTATGTTGAAGGATGAATTCCAAAAGTTGATCTTCATTTAAAAGTCGGGCTGAATATGGTTTAACTAATGAATCATAAATTAAAGCTTGTGCTTCATTTATGGTCTGAAGGACCTGGGCGTTTTGCACCTTTTGTTTTTGCTCCTTTTGCTTTTGCGGCTCAGGATTATATAATTTATATAATTCATCAATATCTTCTTCTGTTAATACTTTATTTTTAAAATCTTTCAATTGTTTAAGTTGTGATTTAGTTTTTCCCTTTGTATATTCATTATTTTTAATTTTGTCTTTAATTTTAGAAATTATTTTATCATGATATTTCAAAATTTCATTTTCATAATATGGATAATAATATTCCATATCATCACCCGTTATATTATTATTATATTTTTGGAGATATGCTTTTAATTCATAATAAGTAAGAAAATTTTGATTAAATACTAAATCATCAATTAAAATTTTTAAATCTACATTATCCATTTATATAAAAATAAAATAAATGTTTTAAGGGTGCCCACCTCTTTGAATCATAGTATCAAAAACATCATTAACGGTTCCTTTTGTCTCTTCTGTGGCATTTTATTAAATAAATGGCATACAACATCCATTTTCACAACACACAGCCTTAGTGTGTGCTCCTGTTAATGCAGTCTTACCAATTGTTAAGCGAGTCATTGACCCATTTTTAAGTTGTAAATTAATATTCTGACCATCAAATATCACTTTATCATTTATTATATCCAAATAATTTTTAGGTGTTAATTGTTTATTTTGTCGTAAACTAACACCTTTCATTTTTTGTGCAATCTTTTTAAAATCACTTCCATCAATTGAACCATTGAATGATGTATAACACTTAGGACATAAAGCAACCATGTTATCGCCTTGTTTCTCAATTGCTAAACCCAATAACTTCTTCTCATGTGCTTTTTCTTCAGCTTTATTCTTTAATTTAGGTTTAAATTTCTCATCAAAACAAAAGAAATCAAAAGGTGCGAATTTGTAAATGTTTTTATCATAAAATTGTTTATCAGTAACAATTGCTTGAAATGCTTGAGTGTTAGGAAGATTTGGGTCGCCAGCGATTGCCCAATAAGATGAATCAGTATCACCTTCAATGAAATGAAAACGATTAACATTCATGCATTTATACATAAAATCATAAATGAAAAACCAAATACCAGTATTTTGCGTTATCTAAAGTGAAGAATGCCTCTTGTAAACATGTATCACATCTATAAAATCTATCTTTAAGCATCACTTGATACGTATCTTCACCTATTTCTCTTATGTTTTTAAACTTATTTGACATACATGCAACGCGTGCCTTCTGTGCATTCATTATTTTAGTCTTTGCGTAATTTTGTGTATTCATTGCATCGTAACCATATGATCCATTAAGTGAAATCTTGCAAAATAAACTTTTTCCTTTATTTCCTTCTAATTCAGCCTTTTGTCTTTCGTTCATAAATTCGTTCGCAAATTCATTAAAGCAAGTGTTTTTAGTAAATGTTAAAATTGATTGAATATCATCAATGATAAAATGAAATCTGTCTATTAGATACCAAAGATAATAAGAAGAAAATGGTTGATATTGGTTGTGTGTTGATGCTAACTGAGTTAATTTTCTCTGTTTCTGGTCAACTGGTAGATTGTTTGATTTCATGTAATTATACATAAAACTGCCAATTGTTTTTTCATCTGTGATAATATCTAAGTTTCTTATTATCGGTAAAAAGTTTATGTAATCATTAATGTATTTTTCATCAATGTGACCCTTTACTTCAGCCACGAATAAAGTATTTTTCTTTCTAATTATTCCCAATGCTTTTGCTTTCTTTGTTGCTGTATCACAAATGATAACACCATTCAATCTTCCCGGCATATACATTTTATGGTCAGTATATTGAATGAAATCATGAGGATTAGATGAAAATGATGAAGGATATAATGAATTAAAGTCAACTCCAACGAAATGAGTCATAATGTTGGTGGTGTCCTCATTTGATACAGTTTTAGTTTCTGGACTATATGAAAGTTTATTAATGTGCGTGATTCCTTTAAGATTAACACGATGTTGAACATTTGATAGACCACCAGTAATTCCATTACGGAGAATGTGATAAGCTTCAACTGAATCTAAAGTCATTGGTAAATTATTTTTTAATACATAATTTCTTAAATTGATTCTTAAACGTTGAACATCTTCATCTTTATTTGATTTTACGACATTGCAATAACAACACATTAACTGACAATTTTCTTTGGTATGTGGTTTTTCATTATCGATTCTATCCAATGTTGGTTTATTTGCATATGTAAACGCTTTACCACACATTTTGCATTTAGATGAAAGGATTAAATCATGATAGTATTGAAAATCATCCATTGAAACATTGTTTTTGGTATCTCTTTTCGCCTTTTCATCTTGTTTCTTATATGAATCAATTTTATATTTCCAATACTTTTTTGTTAATTCAAAACTTGATTCCACATTTTCTTCTTCTGGATATGTTTCGTTAGGATTGAAGTTCTTATATGCTAACGCGTAACGAATCATTGATGCATTCGATGATAAAGAAAGATTATGAAGCATGTCAATTTTATAAACAAATGTTTCTTCAATAATTTTATCGATTGGGTCAATCATAATTTCAACGTCTTTATTACAATAATGAATAAAATATTCTAATCTATTCTCAAAATTTTTAGCATCATTGAGATATATTTGATAATCTGAATCGGATATAGTTTCTTGAGTTAATGCTGAATAAAATGAATCTTGAGTGAATGGTTCCACTTTATATAATTCTTCTTCGTAATTCTCCCATGTGATGAATTGATAAGGGAAAAAGGATTTAACACGTGATTTATTGTTTCCGAAATCTTGAGTGAATTGGTCTAATGTTCCACCCGCTATATAATTTCTGATGTCAATAAATCTTAATTCATATGGACAGTTTGTTTTCTTTACTATGACTTGCTTAAATTGAGAAGAAGAACCCAGCATTGATTTTATTTTCCATTTTGCAGTGTTTAAATCACGAAGAATTAAATTTAAATCAAACTTTCCCGAATTAAAACCTATGATATTCACTTTATTGAATTCCTCATCTAAAAGCTCTTTAAATGCTTCCTTCTGTTTTTCATTTAATGTATGAGACAAAGTCCCCGCCGTTTGCGGCTTCATTAATTCTTCATATTGTTCAATATTTGATTCAACAACTAATGAACAGGTTGAAAATAAAAATTCAATCCAATCAGAGATGAACGAATCACTTGATGTTAAGCAAAAATTCCTCGTAAATGTTTTATCACGGTCTACGACCTCGCCGCTTTGCGGCTTTATTTTGACAGTTGATGATACCATAAATGGTTTTAAGTAAGCGTTCAAAGTTGCACATTCAGAAAGTTGAAGTTCTTCTTTAGTCTCTAATGTTTCGAAGTCAAAAGTAATATAATATCTTGTCGGTTGATAATATTCCTGCAAATTGTGAGCTAATAACCACTGATATATCTTCTGTTTCGTGATATGTGGTGCATATGGTTGTTGTGTGTTTTGCAATTGAACGTCTTGAATTAATTCCATTATTTTCTTTACATTTCTCACAATGTTTTAAAAATCTTCTTTGGTTTTTCCTTTCTGGGTCATCACGGATAGAATAAACTTCTTCTTTGCAAAAGGGGCAAACTTTATAGCCGGTGAGTGCTTCTACGTCTGTTATTCTGTCAGCGTGAAGTTTTCCACATGGACTCTGTGTTAATAAAATATTTACTGTTTCAAATTCTGGATCTATCATTATTGATTCCACTAATGGAAAGTCTACCTTGTTAATGTCTACGTCTTCTGGTTTAGGGTCACAATAATAGAAATCAATATTAACATTTAACATTCTCGCTAATCTCTCACTTTCTGATGAAATGTCAAACCCTTCATATGCATCTATTGCTTCATTTAAATAACTTCTACGAGTTTTAGGATTAACACCATCAGGAATGTTATAGAAGCGTTTAAATAACCTTCTACCTTCTGCTCTAATTTGATTATCATTCATTTTAGCTGTTCCATTTTTGTTCATTTATGTAAGAATAAAAAATTAAAAAAAAATAAATAAAAATAAAGTTTATTTTTTAAAGCCCATAAAATGAATTAAGAATACATAAATTTTTATCATCTGCGACGTGACGAATGCATTTTAATTTACTCAAGAATGCGTACCCTGATACATTAAATCTAATTCCTGTCTTATTTAATTTCACAACTTTGAAAAGGAATGTATGAATAGCTATAAAATGATGAGAAGATGTTTTATGGGTTACTTCCATTTTTTCTGAAATAAATGAATAAATATAATGTTTATAAGTTTTCATATCTTTTATGTTCTTAATAACGAATGGTATAGACCTTTCCACTTCGTCTTCCTTCGGTGCTGTTCTTTCATATGAAACATTATTGGTATCTTCAATAATGAAACCACAATCACATAAAATTTTATATGTACCAATGGTTTCTTTTGATATTTTATCTAATAAATCAAAAACTTTATCAACACCTGTACATTTATTTAAATAATAATTTGTGTAAATATCATGGTCTTCTTTCTTAATCGTATTTGTTGCATATGTCACGTTTTTAAGAGCTTTTTTGAATTTTTCAGAATCAAGAGGGGGTGAAAGTAGGATACAGGGGTATTCTTCATTATCAATAAATTGTAACTTATGTTTACGAATAAATTTAGTACCTTCTTCTGAAAGTGTTTCGTCTATTTCACCATCTAATAAATTTTGTGTTGATTCTGAGACATAATTTTTATATCTTTCTTCATGAGATTTCTGAACTGCTGATTCTGAAGCTGGGATATTCATTAAACCCTCTACTTCATTTTCATTATATTTTTCAACTTCTCTTAATTCCTTAATTTTTTCATCTATTTCATCTCTTATTTTTTCCAGTTTTTCAATTTCATCGTATTCATCATCTTTAATCCGTTCTTCATAATATTCAGGGAAAACATCAGGTTCTTTAGGTTTTTCTTCTTTAGATGTGGGATATAAGAAATTTATAACATCATCTTTATTCATTTTTCCATCATAATCAAACTCATTTAAAAACTCCGCGAATTTTTGACAATTTCTTAAATAATATTTACTAACCTCATAACCCGCTTCCTCTAATATATCCTTTATTTCCTCATTTGTGAATCCCAATTTTTTAACGTCGTTAGTCTTGACACTCATTTTCTTACGAATTAAAAAAATAAATTATTTAAAAATGTAAGACATGAATTTTTAAAGTTTATTTTTTATTCATGAAAATAATTATTTCTGATTTCTTTTATTCTCTCGTACATACTAGATTTGAAGAATTCAGAACATTTCCCATAATCTCCTAAATGTTTTCTTATCTTATTGGTTTTCCATTCATTATATGAAACTGAATAAACTTTATCTTTATCTTTGCATCTTTCATCACTTCCAATATATTTATATTTCAATTTTGATTTATTGGTTTCATATTCATTAGCGTTTAATAATTCACAGTCTTCCTTTTTAAATAAATGTTTAAGATATTCAGGATTAACAATTCTATAATATTGCTTCCCTTTAAATCTTTGAATATAAACAGGAACACCATCCTCTAAAATTCGATAATCTATTTTATCTGGTTTTACTTGTTGGGTCATTTATGTAAGAATAAAAAAAAATAAATTATTTTTAAAAATAACTTTAATTTTTTAATGGTTTATTTTTTAAAAATTTTTTATTTTTTATTTCATTATGTATGGGCTGAGTGTAAATGTCTTACAATTTTGAAAATTTTTTAAATCTTGATTTATTCAAAAACGTAAGAATAAAAACCGTAAGAATCATACATTTTTTACTTCATATGTTAAAAAAAATGATACAAAATCGCTCGATATTGTATGAATTCTTACGTTTACAAAAAAAGTCACAAAACCCATCATATCCTACTACTAACATTTATTTATTTGATATAATTTCTATGGTAAAGGGAAAATGTTTGTCTATAATTTGTAACTTATTTAATGAAAGAAAAAATAAAATAAATTTAAAGAGATTTTATTATTATAAAAAATTATAAATCATAATTTACACCCTTCCAAAACATGATTATAGAAATCATCTTGACAAAATGAGTTTCCACAAACAGGACAAATGTTGAGTCCTTTTTTACTCTTGCATGCAAAACATATTTGAGGATTCAGTAATTTTTCATTTGACACATTTGGAAGAAGTCTTGAAACAATCATTTCTAAGTTTAGAAGTCTTTCCTTTAATAGAATATATTCATCTCTTTTAATTTTCACTATTTGATCTTCATTTTGGATGTTTTCTTCATTTTCAGGGATCATTTGAACTTTTCTAAGCATGAAAATATGTTTTTGTTTATGAATCAGTTTGTTTAACTCTGTTTCATCATTAACAACTTTGAGAAATTCATTCAATTTCTGTTTTTCTGCCAAACTTTTTGCATCAAATTCTTTTGCATTTGTTTTTTCAATCGAATGTCCATAAGAAATGAGTATAAACGCCATGTCAACCTTCTTCTCTTGTAGAGCAAAATGTAATGGATAATCTCCTTTGTATTCTTTATCTAAACATGGATTTCTTTTCAAAATTTCTGTTAAAACTTCTGAATTAGAATATCTGATTGCTGTAAAGATACAATGACAACCAAATGGATCTGGTATATTAATATCGGCACCATTGTCAAGTAATAAGCATGTCATCAATACGTTTTTATTAAGAATTGCGAGATGAAGAGCTGAATAGCCTGAAGATTCAATGTAATTGGGATCTACTCCTAATCTAAGGAAATACTCAACGATATTTTCATTATTTAGTGCTGCAGCAAATTGTATTGGGAAAGGATTTTGAAAATCAGTAAAATTGCTTGAAAAATTTCCAAACATTGGTTTCTTGGCAAGTTCTCGTATATCTTTTATACTTTTTATTGCATTAAAATCACCCTTCTCGATTAAAGTAGCTAAATTGGTCATGAATGGTAAAAATTTTTTATTTCAAATCACATGTCAAACTTATAATTTGCCATCAAATATTTTCAATCAAAACAGTAATCATTTGTTTCTTTTAAGATTTCAGAAAACTAGTTTTTCATTTTTCTAAACGATATCTTATCAGAATCTTTTGAATAATTTTGCATAAATCGTAGTTTTTCCATATGGTGACTTTCGATACGAGATATTAGATAAATTCACATGTTCTGTTGGTGATTCGTCAATCACTGAAGCAAATGCTTGTATCAAGAGAACAGGATTCAACGGAACTGCAATTATCCCAGCGATTGTTGAATATATAATGGACGAAAATATAATGTTATTCGAACATCGCGGAAGAGTTTCTCGCATTGTACTAATTTAACAAATATTATTCTTCCAAATTCACTTAAATATATTGGCCAAGATTCATTTGAATTAACATTCATTACCGAATTAACTATTCCTTCATTTGTTGAAGTACTAGATGAAGGTGCTTTATATCGTTTATTGAAATGTCAAAAAAGGTTCATTACTAAAGAGAATTGGTAATTATGTGTTTTCTGATAGTACCCCAAACAAAATTATTATACCATCGAATGTGGAAAGCATAGGAGAAAGAATTTTCGTTTATAATCAAATAGAAAATCGAGAAATTTACATATGTTCGAAAGGAAATTTTTCAATGAGTTTAGATCCATTTTCAGAAGGTATAAGAGGAATTATCTATGTTACTAAATCTTACGTTGGTGATAAGTTTGGAACCATTCAAGTTCGACTCATGTCAGATGAATCTATTTGTTTACCATACAATCATCCCTTTAAAATCCTTTGTCCATCATTCAAAGTTAGTAGAATTAATTTGTATGACTTACGAATATTTTTATTCATATTAGAATTTTCAAATAATTAAAGAAATTGTTTGTAATTTACTTCTAGGTAAGTTCCATCTAAATTGTGAGCAATTTTTATGAAAATTATTAACAGTGCTCTTACAACTTTCTGACATCATCTCATTTATTTGAAACCCTCTAATTTATGAAGTGAATTTTAATATCAGTCATCACTAATATGACAAAAATTAGGATCTCTTAAGATAATTCAATGCTATATTTACCATTTATTGACACACCTAAAATATGCCATCCTTCAAAAGCATGAATTATAACATGCTTTTTCCGAAGATGTTATGTCAAAACAACAAAATATTAGTTTTTGTGTCCTTTTTTGATGGTGTCAGAAATAATTACATCTATAAAAATAATCTGTATTAGAAGCAAAATCTACTTTTCTTAGATATTTCAATTGCTACACACAATGATATTTTTATCACATTGATTTGTTATTGTGAAAAAAGTGTCATTTTATATCCGATAGCTTCATATTCAATTTTTAATGGTCTTCTTAGAAATTTGGTTGATAATGGGAAAAGAGATATTATACAGATAACGGCAACACCTCATTATTATGATGGTCGATATGCAGAAAATACAATCGATTATTCTTCTAATGAAATCTACACAAGCTGGACTAGTTCAAATTATGGTCAATTTATACAATTTAATTTGAAAGATTATTGGATTGATTTAGATGGATATGCAATTGGTTTTAATGGCGGAAATTTTCCACGAAATTGGAATTTTTCTGTTAGCAGAGATGGCATTCGTTTCGAAACATTAGATTCTCATAAAAATGATCAAATCCTTAGAGATAAAGAAGGTGTTAAATTTCTTGTATCTCGACGACTTGCAAAATATTTCCGATTGACATGTACAGGACCAAATAACGATTGGTCATCTAACAATCAATTATATATCCAATTTTTAGATTTATTTGGTAAAGTTATTCGTTGTATTAATGACAGATGCATTTCTAAAAAGAATTTCTTTTCAATCATATTTAACATCATGATTATTATTTTAATAATTAATATTGAATAAAACCTTTTTTTATTGAATTTTTCGAACTATAATACCCAATAAATAAGTTTTCTTACCACGTAGTAAATCCCAACAGACAAAATAATGTAATAATCAAAGATAACACATATCTTTTTAAATTTCCATGTGCAACAAATTATTTATGCCATCCATATGCGATTCATTTTCCCAAGGGTTACTTCAAAATCGAACTTTGGGGTTCTTCTGGTGGACTAGCCAGAATCGAAAATAAAGAAGATCTTCGAACTGATTCCAATGGGCATGGATCTTATGTCTCAGGGAATTTAGCAATCATGAGCCCAATAGACATGTATCTCTACCTAGGAGGTAAAGGTGCAGATCAGACAACATATATTTTCACCACAACCCCTGCAAAGGGCGGTTGGAATTTTGGAGGAAATGGCGGTTTGGATAGCCATGTAGAAGATCAAAAATTTGAGCCACCGGAAAATGGAGCTGGTGGTGGAGGTGCTACAGACATTAGATTAATATATTACGATATTAATCTGCAAAATCCCAATAACAATTCACTTCAAAAATCAATTGAGAGCAGAATAATCGTTGCTGGCTCAGGAGGTGGAGGAAATTCAGGATTACAACATGAAAGCGGATCTCCAGATGGCTTTCATGGAGGAAGCCTCACTGCAACATCCAATAATCCTTATACTTATGGAGGAACTCAAATTAAAGGAACTCTTGGTAAAGGAATGGATGGTATTAATTCAACAGAAAATCAAGGAGGCTCTGGAGGTTGTGGGAGTGGATATCGAGGTGGTTATCATAAATTTCCACAATTAACAGAAACAGGTAGTTATCATGTTGGAGGAACTGGAGGAAGCTCTTACATAAGCGGACATATTGGTTGTATAAGCCCAACTGCTAAAGATACAACACCAAGCAAAGAAAACTCAATACACGAATCTGGATTCATATTCACAAATACTGAAATACTTAGTGGAAATGAAAGCATGCCAAATCCAAACGGAAATTCTTTAATTAAAGGAAATGTTGGACATGGCATTTGTCAAATAACCGTTCTTTATCTTTGTCCCATTGAATCGTGTGTGTTTATTCCTTATTATAACTTTTTTTATTCATTTTATATACTGATTTCAATTAAATAATCTTTGGTAATTTTTGTATTTATTTATTTATTGGGAAGTACACCATTAAATATCTATATAACACAGAATAACATCTAATTAGAAATTCTGATAATTCAATAAAATAATTTTGATAATTATTAATGCCAATGGGTGCAGAAACAGTTGTAAGATAATTTGAAATTAAATGTGGGATCGAAAATTAGGAAATGGAATGGTTGTAAATTGAATGTGCTCTCAAATTATTGAATTATCAATTTTTTCATGAATAAAATTTGAAAAGTTTGGAAATTAAATGACATATTATGAAGATCCTGTAAGCAAAGTTAAATATACACTTGATTTAGAGACTCTTTATCTTGCTCCATCAGATCTTACCAATTTTGTCATCAAATCTCAAACAAAATACATTAGAGGTGAAACATCAAGTTCCTATGCATTTATAGCATGTAATTCGACTCTTAAATCATTCTCCTTTGAAGAAAATTCACAACTCCAAAGCATACAAAATTTTGCATTTTACTTCTGTAGTAAAATCCAAAATATTGATATTTCTAAATGCAATCATCTGACATCAATAGGTGAACAAGCATTTTATGGTTGCTCTTCATTATCAAGTATATTACTTCCAGAATCTCTAACATCACTTGGAAATGATGTTTTTATGAATGCTAATCTTTCAAGAATTGAACTTCCTGCATCTCTAACAATTATACCTAAGAGATGTTTTTATAATAACTATTTTTTGAATTCAATTATCATTCCTAGTAACTCAAAAATTACCTCATTGGGCTATAATATGTTAGCTAACACCTTATTTAGAACATTTAATATTCCAGCATCAGTAAAGACTATTGAAGAGGGATGCTTCGAATATGCCTTTCTTGATAGTATTACAATTAGTTCAGGAAATAAAAATTACAAAATTGAAAATAATTTGGTCCTAACAATAGATGGTACAATTTCACTTGGTTATCCATTAAGAATGACAGGAACTGCAGTTTTTCCAAATGGAGTTAAAAATTTTTGCTTGCATCTTTTGGAAGCACATCGATTTCTCATGTCCAGTTTCCGGATTCACTCCAAGATATTGGAAGATATTCATTCTATAAGTCGAAAATTCAGGATGTGAATATTCCAAATTCGGTTACAACTATACGACATTATGCTTTTGCCTTATGTCCGAATCTTGCTTCAGTAAGACTTTCTGAAAGCCTCACAAGTTTAGCCGAATTTACTTTTCAAAATGCTCCAATCACTTCAATAAATTTTCCCGACACAATTCAAACAATAGATACAAATTGTTTTGTTGGATGTTGGAAACTATCTGAAGTCACATTACCAGATAATATTACATATCTTGCAGGAGATGCATTTCCAAAAGCTACTAAATTAAAATTTGGCCCTAATTCCAATTTATATATTGATTCTCAACTCTTAATTATTGATAAAAGTAATCAAACGATTAATGGATATATAGGAGATAATGTTGAAAAAGAATTTGAAATATTAAACTCGATACAAACAATAACAAGTTCTGTATTTGATGGAAGAGATAAAATCTCAAAAATTACATTTCCAGGTGATTCAATTTTAAGATCAATCAAACAATCAGCATTTCACAATTGCAAAAATTTACAATTTGTTAACCTTCCATCAACTTTAGTTAGTATTGAATCATCCGCATTTGCTTATTGTTTAAGACTCGAAAGTATCACAATAAATAACGCTCAAAATTTGGAGGCAAATGCATTTTATCGTTGTTCCAATCTTAAGTCAATAACACTATCATCATCATCTATTCAAGAAATTTTTGAATGGACATTTTCTGAATGTACAAGTTTACTGAATATTGAACTCCCTCCTTCACTCGCAAGAATTAATGATTATGCATTTAAAAAATGTACCAAACTAGAAAGTGTAGTCATAAATGGAAATTCATTGAGTTTTATTGGAATTGAGTCTTTCTCAGAAACTATTATAAAGAAGTTTGATTTCTCAAAATGTGTAAATTTTGATAATCTGGGTTTGAAATCTATACAAGATACTAATTCTCTTTCAATTCTTATACTCCCACCAAATCTCAAGAAAATTTCTGATATGGCTGTTAGAAACAGTGGTGTTATTAATATCACATTTCCTCAGACATTGACATCAATTGGAATAGATTCATTTTCAGATTGTCTTTATTTAGAAGAGATCAATATCCCTGAAAATAGCGCATTGACAAGTATTGGAATTGGAGCATTTAGAGGATGTATGAGACTCAAAAAAATAAGTAGTTTTTCAAACAGTTATAGAGTTATGACTGGAGCCTTATTTACATATAATTTGGTTTCTTTAGTTCTATTCCCACCTGCATCCGATGTAACCTCATTCTCACTACCTGGTGATACTCGCTTCATTAACGAAGGAGCCTTCCTTTCATGTACAAATTTAATTTCAATATTCATTCCTTCCGATTCAATTTCATACATTTCTACAAGTGCATTTGAAAGCTGTACTAGTTTGACTTGGATTAATATACCAATATGCGTAACTGGTGTCGGAGCAAATGCTTTCAAAGGATGTTCAAAATTGAATTGCGGCATCAAAGTTGAAAACACGAGTAAATTATTCCTGGAAAATTTGTTCACTAATGCAAAGCTCTCCAAACAATCTGTAAAAAATTGCATTGGGAACATAATAACACGAAATTGTTTATTCTATACAAATATATTTTCTTCTTCATTATTGATGATTCAAGTTATGATTATCATGTAAATTAAAAAAAAGAATCATTTTATATAAAATAAAAATTTATATTTAGAGGTAAATGATGATGACAATCATTTACATATTTTTTACTGAACTTATTGCTAACACTGGATATTCATATATTTTGTCGTATCAAAATTCCTTTTTGTTTTCAATAAAAGTCATATTGTTACTTTTAGAACATATTACACATTAAAGGAGTCATTAAATCCCTTATACTAACCTATAAATTGTCAGCAACTCATTAATAAGATCATATAAAATTATTGATTCTTAATTAACATGAAAGTTGAAAACATATGATTTAATTAATAAATGATGTTAGAGACAAAAGTGACAATATTATACTTAGGGAAAATAGTCGTAGTAACCTTAAATTATAAAAAATTAAAATTAATGAACGTATAATTTTTATGTTCAATGGGCATTGAATTATTTAAATGTCTATCAGAAAACATAATCATATAATATTTTATATTTATCTCTTCATTTGATGTAAGGAACGTTGACATCATTTGAAATTCCGCACATGTTGTTCTTATCCTTTGCCATGCGGATGTATCCTTGTTCTCCCCATGATGAACCCCATGAGTTACGGACAATCCAGTAGTTGTTGCCTCCTTCACTTCCGTATCCAACAACACCGATTGCGTGGTCTAAGATTGTGGAGCAGTGCTGGTCGTAGTAAATACCAGAAGTGTACAATTGGAATGTGGAACGGCTTGCATCAATTGCAGCGGCAACAAGACCATTAAAATTACTTTTTAATACAGTTTTAATCAAGACCATTAAAATTTATAAAATCATGGACAAATGGATATAAAAATGTATGTAATGTCAATACCTTAAAAAATGTCCATTCAGATCAACATTAAAAATGCACTTTTCAATAACCTTAAATTACGCTTTTCTATTTTAAAAAAAATAACCTTAAATTATATTTGAAGAAATTATGTCTATGATATATGTTTTATGCTAGAATCTTGGAGTTTTCATGCACTACACAAGAGCTCCAAGGTTCCAAGAGTGAATGCTCAATAGCAATTATAGAGATGTACCTTTTCAAAATGACTTTTACTGATTAAATTTAATCAATAGAAGACATTTTGAAAAGGTACCTCTACAATTAGATATACAAGAGATTCAAAGCTTCATTTCAGATAGATTTGAAACTTTGAAACTCTTGGTAGATTTTGAGTGAATGCTGACAATCATCTTTGAGAAGGTTTTCTTTAAGAAAACCTTCTCAAAGAGGTTTCTCAGGAGCCTTGAGGCTCCCTTTCGTAATGATTGGGAGCCTTGGGGCTCCTGAGACGAAGAATGGCTTCGCCGAATCTTTGATCAGCAGAGGCCAAATGAAAAGGCCTCTGCTGATGGATTCTCAGGAGCCCTGAGGCTCCCTTTCGTAATGATTGGGAGCCTTGGGGCTCCTGAGACGAAGAATGGCTTCGCCGAATCTTTGATCAGCAGAGGCCAAATGAAAAGGCCTCTGCTGATGGATTCTCAGGAGCCCTGAGGCTCCCTTTCGTAATGATTGGGGATGTAATTCACTAGTAGTTCTTAAATTACCCGTAAATCTTACTCAATTAGATCAAATTACAATGAAATACCATCCAAAACTTAAAGAATTTTATTTGCCATCAAAAGTATCGTATATTGCTAATGAAGCATTCACTGAAATGAGTAATTTGAAACTGATTTCATACTTTGGAGAGACATCATTCAAAAATAGGAAACTATTTAACAAATGTCCAAATATTAGAGTTGCTCGTGTTACTCCATTATATCCTGCAGATAAAATTGCAGATATCATTGTATCATATAATTCATATATGTATGGAATCTATGACACAATTTGTCAATCACTAGACAATAAAATCTATTACAGTTATATAATTTATTCTATATTTTTAAATATTATTTCTATATCTGTGTAAAATCATAATGTCATGCCATCTTAACCCGATTTTTTTTTAATATTTAACCCTGAATAGTTTCATTTTTTTATTCGTTCCATCTTTTTTCATTTGGAATATAGATAAATTTATTATTTCGAATAAATATCAATGTGTAAGAAAATCGAAGGAATAAGATGAAATAATAAAATTTTTAATTTGAAAGTTTGATAAAATCTACTATGGTTCAGAGAAAATTGCTATTCATATACCGTGAAATCTAAATTATGTAATAAATTAGAAAATCTTGTTTTGCAAAAAATTGAATTCTTCGATGTCAAAATCTTTCAAATTTGAGAGTATTACTTTTACTTCATTTTTTCAATAATGTCCGTTTTTGATGCTATTGACACAAGAAGAACAATCAGACAATATGATCAATCCTTTGTTCCACCAAAAGAACACGTTAAAAAGATTGCAGAAGCAGCAATTAAATCACCCACAGGCTACAACAGACAAGGAGTTGATTTACTTGTCGTTACAAACAAAGACATTATCAACAACATGAATGATAAAGTATTCGATGCATTAGACGAAGACGCAAAGAATTATTTCCGCACAAGAAAGGAGCTTGGTCTTGAAAAGTTCATAACATGTGATGCACCAGTACTTTACGTCTTGTATGCTAATGGAAAGACAGATGATGTCTATGCACGCTTAGATGCTGGAATCATGGCAGAGTCTATTCTTCTTACAGCTACAAGCCTTGGCTATGCTACAATGCCAATTGGAACATTCATGATTGGCGACCTTTCTGAGTACGGAATTCCAAAGGACAAAGTCCTATTAGCAATTGCTATGGGCAAAGCTAGAGCTGGAATTGAAATTCCACCATGCGATAGAAATACAAAGATAACTTACTTAGAATAAAAATAGAATTCTCTATTCATTATATAATATTTTATTCAGTCTTATAAACTTGTATTTTTGTTCACATATGTGAAAATACATCATTATAGCATAATCAAACAAATTTTTCTTTAGAATTCTTAAGAATTCTTAAAAAACTGATATCGCTCCACCACCTCCTGAGCTTGAATCACTATATTTCTGCGGATATCTATATCCAATACCTCCACTTCCTCCTCCACCACAACCTCCTTGAAGAATTTTGCCTTTTGAAATTTCATTAATTGATGTTTCTCCTTTTCCACCAACTACAACATAGATCTTTGTATTAGATGTGAATATGATATATCCTGATATGTATCCACCTCGTCCTGCTTCATTTTCGTTACCTCCTCCAGCAGCACCCCATGCTTCAAAAAAATATAATCCTTTTGAAATAGGTATTTCATATGGTTCACAGACTTGTCTAAATTCATAATTAGCTAATGGAATTCATATTCCATCATCTTACAAAATTAAAAATCCGAAAAGGATTTTTATATGAAACTTGACAAAACAAAGATTAAATTTTTGACATTTCATAAAACATAAGAGATTTTGTTTTTGGAAAATATTCCTTTCAAAGTGAAGCAAATTTAAGATTAGGATATAAACCAGCCTGTGTAGGCAATACATGTAAGTTTTTATATCCATGTCTCGATAGCATTACATGTACATCAATTCAATTAGATCTTAATGTTGGAAAATATTTTGTTGAATTGTATGGAGCAGCCGGTGGAAGCGAAAGAGGAAGTGACTGCTTTGGTGGTTTTGCTTCAGCTGATATTTCCATCTCATCTCCCACATCAATATTTTTGAATATAGGTGCCAAAGGTGGAATATGGCCAGAAACACCAAAAATGGCCTTTAACGGAGGTGGCTGGGGTGGTAATACAGAATCTGGAGGTGGAGCCACCGATTTAAGATTAAATGTCGGAAGTTATAGATCAAGGTTTCTGATTGCGGGGGGAGGCGGAGGCAGAAACGATGACGATGAAGGACCGTCATGCGGTTGTGGAGGCGGATTGAGTGGTGGATTTATATCAAATTATGGAATTGGTGGAAATCAAACTCATCCTGGAATGGACCAGGATGACTCGACAAAAAATGGAAATTTTGGATATGGTTTTTCAAACGATCCTCAAAATAATTTAAATATTCCTGGAGGTGGAGGAGGTCTTTTTGGTGGAGCTACTACTGCAGGAGGTTCTGGTTTTGTTTATTCTTCTTCTAAAACTGATTCTATAGATGATCTCCCTTCATCAATAACCGTCGAAAACGGAATGCTTGGATTTTCAAATAACGCTGACCATGGTTATGCAATTATCACTTCTTTATCATCTTCATCCTCATCTTCATCCAGTTCGCCATCATCAGGCGAATGCAATTGTATTGTAAAATGCCAATGCTCACGTTCATCAATTTTTCGAACATTCCACTTCACTCTTTATTCTCTTGGGTTTTCAGTAAAATAAATGCTTATATCTAATCTCTGACTTTTTACATACGATTATTATCAAAATATACTAGGATTTTCAAAACACTTGGAAAAAAATCGATAAATAAAAAATGTCACATTTTTCAATAGGTTTAAAATTAATTTTATTTTCATCTCAATAAATTCAAAAATTATGTCCTTTGTAATAAATTTCTTGGAATATCTTCTTCTTCAAATGGTGGTGCAATTTCCTTTAAGATTGCAAATTACGAAATCAGTATTTTTAATTGCCAGTTTTCAACTTGTTTTTCAGAACTCGAGGGAGGAGCTGTATTCCTTAATGGAACTATTGCATACTTAAGTCAAAATTCATTTAATTCATGTTACAATACTCAAAATATTGATAACAAATATGGTAATGCCATATATGGTTTAAATACAGAGTCTAATTTGAATGAATCTACTTTTACATTATGTGGTCCTGACTTAAACCATAAAGGAGATAGCTGTGTTTGTTTTTATAGAAAAAAATTCGTTTCTTTTTAAAATAATGCCAGTTATAACTCTGGAATTGGCGGGAGTGGACTTGTGAGTTTTTATTTTTCGGCATCAGGAAGTTATGCAAAACTTTGCCAAGTATATAAATGCAGAGATGATTTTTTTATTGTAGTTGCAAATTGTGATCTTCCGATTTTATATAATAACTTTCTCGATGCTCGTGAACAAGGCCATTTCTTTTGAGTGAATGATGGAACCGCAAATTTTGAAAACTGCGTATTCCTTTATGCATCTGGAAAATCCATTTCTGGAAATGGACGATATGTTTTCAATAACTGTTCAACTAATGAAAACAGGCAAACCCAAATTTTAGCTAAAAGTGACAGGGGAAAAAACGTTTAGTATTAAAAAAAAGACCGATGAGAGCTTCGTTCGAAATATAGAGGGAACTGAGAATGCGCAACCATTCTCAGGGAATATTGGATGCTATTCCCGTTCCCTCTGTATGGAAAATTGAGGTTTTCAAAGGGAGTTAAAATAATATCAAATTTATACTAATTTACTTCAAAATACAAAAGTATTTGACAGCTAAAATTAGTTACTTTAGCAAGCCTATCAATACCCTTTTACGATTATTGTTACTTTTTCGAAATAAAAGTAAAAACAAATTTATACTAATTTACTTCAAAATACAAAAGTATTTGACAGCTAAAATTAGTTACTTTAGCAAGCCTATCAATACCCTTTTACGATTATTGCTACTTTTTCGAAATAAAAGTAAAAACAAATTTATACTAATTTACTTCAAAATACAAAAGTATTTGACAGCTAAAATTAGTTACTTTAGCAAGCCTATCAATACCCTTTTACGATTATTGCTACTTTTTCGAAATAAAATAAATTTATTATCAAAAACCTTTTTTTTTTCTTAGTAAAAATAAACGAAATTTTTTACCTTATGAACTTTTGATGGAAATATGCAAATTTAAAATAATAAAGAAAGCCGCGAGCGAAGCGATCGGCTTAGTTCGAAGATTTTGATTCAAATCTTTGCTTATATTCCTTAAATTCTTTATGAAACTCGCAACAGTTCCATAAAAAATTTTAAATTCTAAACTGTCGAAATTACCGATCGGTAATCACACCCTTCACGGGTGTGTCACTTTTTACAGGTGTGTCATTTTTAGCTAAAATTACCCCTACTCTGAAATTTTATGCATGAAAACAAAAATTTGCCAAAATATAAATAAGCAATTTAAGAGTACAATTTTTGGGGTCCATTTACTTTATAGACCATAATTTAGATCATAAATCGAATAACATCTTAATTATCGTTAGATATATTTATCTTATTTATGGATGCTCTTACCCCAAAATAAATAACATACGTTAAATATCATTGAAAATTAACCTTAAACAATAAAATTAAATGTCATATCATTTTGGCAAAAGTTCATTCTTAAATAAAAATAACATCAATTGTTTTATCGCATAATAAAATTTTAGTCTAATTTGCATTACAAACAAAATAATTTAACGTTTCCTTACTCGTAGTTTAGTTGTGCGAACATTTTCAGTAACTAAACCATAATAATTGAGTCTGAAATGACCATTTTCGAGATTTCCAACAGTTTTTTCACCATTAGGGAGAGTTATGGATTCATTTCCTCCAAGAAGAATTGTGTTTTTAAAAATATAGCCAGAAGAATGAATAGAGCATCTAGGATGACCAGAAATATATGAACTTCCACCACTTCCGGGCATATTAGAGTTATGAGAATCTATTTGAGGCGTTTTTCCTCCCCAATATCCACCTCCTGAACCGCAGTTTCCTTCAGCACCATTATTTCCATATATGGTTTTAGTGTTTCCGCTTTGCCCATAACCTTTTCGGTAACCATCTGTTTGATTTCCGCCAAAAGGTGGATAATTATAAAATTCTGTATAGCCGCTTCTTCCGACTAGACCACCTGCATCACCACCACGACCCCAATGATAGCCCCCGCCGCCCCCTCCTGAAACTAAAATTCGTGATTCAATATCACCTTTTTAAGATAAACGGATGTCGCTCCACCACCTCCTGAGCCTGAATCACCATATTTCTGCGGATATCTATGTCCCATACCTCCACTTCCTCCTCCACCACAACCTCCTTGAAGAATTTTGCCTTTTGAAATTTCATTAATTGATGTTTCTCCTTTTCCACCAACTACAACATAGATCTTTGTATTAGATGTGAATATGATATATCCTGATATGTATCCACCTCGTCCTGCTTCATTTTCGTTACCTCCTCCAGCAGCACCCCATGCTTCAAAAAAATATAATCCTTTTGAAATAGGTATTTCATATGGTTCACAACTTTGTATGAAAACGTAATCTTTTTGCCAAATTCTATTTCTAAATAAAAAAAAAAAAAAAAAAAAAAAAAAGGAGTGGGGCTTCCAGGCACTTCGTGCCTTCTAGCCCTGAGGATGAATGATATAATGAAGTTTTTTTTTTTTCTTGGGGTGGTCTTCCAGGGGCTGCGCCCCTTCTAGCCCACATAAATGAAGTTTTTATTCGGAGGTCTTCCAGGAGCTTTTCACAAATTATATATGTTTTCATGTTTTGTCAAGACTTCTTCGTAAATGTTTTGTCATGATTTCTTCGTAAATGTTTTGTCAAGACTTCTTCGTAAATGTTTTGTCAAGACTTCTTCGTAAATGTTTTGTCAAGACTTCTTCGTAAATGTTTTGTCAAGACTTCTTCGTAAATGTTTTGTCAAGACTTCTTCGTAAATGTTTTGTCAAGACTTCTTCGTAAATGTTTTGTCAAGACTTCTTCGTAAATGTTTTGTCAAGACTTCTTCGTAAATGTTTTGTCAAGACTTCTTCGTAAATGTTTTGTCAAGACTTCTTCGTAAATGTTTTGTCAAGACTTCTTCGTAAAATCAGACAAAAATATATTTTAGGGTAGAAGGGTAGGTCTACCCTCTTTTCTACCCTCTTTTCTACCCTCTTGAATTTTCATGAAATTTACACCAAAAATATACTACTAGGGTCATTTACGATGAAATCTCAACAAAGTCTTTACGATGAAATCTCAACAAAGTCTTTACGAAGAAATCTCAACAAAGTCTTTACGAAGAAGTCTTAACAAAGTCTTTACGAAGAAATCTCAACAAAGTCTTTACGAAGAAATCTCAACAAAATATTTACGAAGAAGTCTTAACAAAGTCTTTACGAAGAAGTCTTAACAAAGTCTTTACGAAGAAATTCATGAAAATTCAAGAGGGTAGAAAAGAGGGTAGAAAAGAGGGTAGACCTACCCTTCTACCCTAAAATATATTTTTGGGTCATTTACACTCATTTACGAAGAAATCTCAACAAAGTCTTTACGAAGAAGTCACAATAAAACATCTGTCAAAAACCGCTTTTTAACTTCACTTAAAATGCCACGTAAGCTACGTAAGAATATACGTAAGAGGAAGAGAGCATTGAAACATCCAATAGTAAAACTAACACCACAACAACAGTTGCAACAACAAATGCTGAATGACCCCACTATGTTGCAACAAATGTCAAGCAATCCTATGCTTTTAAACCGAGTTGTTGGTGCACAGAGTGGAGGTTTAAGAGCGGCACTTTTAGCGAAAATGGCAGGCTATGGTGGAGCTGCAGACGGAACAGCCTATAACCCTCAAAGTCAAATGAATTTGAGTTCACTCAAAAATCAAATAACAGATGTCAAAAAGTCAAACATAGACATACAGAAGCAAATAAGTGAAAACGAAAAGAAACTAGAATATGACAGACACACAAAGAAACTCAATGAGTTAAACGTAGAGAAAAAGAAGAAAGAAGAACAACTGAAAGAACTAAGTACAGAGGAATATGCGAAAAAAGTGTCAGAAAAAGCAGCAGAAGTAGCAAAAATGGAACAAGATGTCATAAATTTGAAAAAACCATACTACTCAATATAAAATACTGAAAGATGAAGAGATAAAACAAAAAGCCCTGAAGACATATATGGATAGCGATGAGTATAAAAAAGAAGTTGAAGCAAATGTAAAGGCAGAAAAACTTTTACAGTTGCAAAACCAAACCGTACAGTATGAAAACTTAGCACAAGAAAGTAAAAATAACGACGCGGCTATGCAAAAGGCAATGAAAAGCGCAGAATATATAAAAGCTAACAATGACTGGTTAGATGCCCAAGCCAACGCTAAAGCAGCCCAGCTTATAGGGTCAATAAGGACAAAAATACAAGCGGATGAAGACAGTTCAAATGAAGCTTTAACGAATGCTGACTTTAAGAACGCCTTCGAAGCTCTTCATAGTAAGGTGAAACAAGTGAACGACTTCTCATCTGGAAAGAAACTGAAGTCTGAAGGTTTCGACAAAGAGTTAAAAGAAGTAGCACAAAATATGACGAAAATAACAGATGCAGCAACGAGACAGGCAGTTCAAAGTGCCTATGACGCCGTTAGAGCAACTGTTGTGAAAAGTCAAGAAAAAGAGTTACAACAGACCAAAACAGACCTAGTAAATGCTTTCTTAAAAACGAAAAGTCAGGTAGGACACTATGCTGCAGATGGAACATATGTGCCAGCTGGTGGAACTTATATACCAGCTGGTGGAACTTATATACTAGCTAGTGGAACTTATATACCACCAAACCCTCCAAGAGAAGCACCTGCACCAGGACTACCTAGAACATTTACATCGTCACATGGACACAGACACAAGCATGCACCAAAACCAACACAACAACCAACAGTTCAAAATCCAGCACAACAACAACAACAACCAGCACAACAACCACCTCCACAACCAGCACAGCAACCAACAGTTCAAAACCCTGCACAACAACAACCACAAACAGAGCAAGGACATAAAAGAAGTAGAGAACAAGGAAACCAAGATTTCTTAAAAATGCTTAAAGAAGACTATGGTTACCCAGCTACTCTTGACTTTAGTGACAGATATAAAGAAGCTATTAGAAAGTTCAAGGAAGGAAATACTGACCCGAACCTATTTAGCTTTATGGCTCAGCACCAAATGGGATATAATTTCAAACCTGGAAAATACAAGCTCGCTAAGGGATATGATTTAATAGCATATCATCCAAATGACATGACTGAATTTACTCCGAGATATTTGGTGTCAGAGCTAAATGACAATTCAACTCTCTTCATGAAACGCGTAAAAAATAGAGACGGAACGAAAGAAGAAAGGTTTATGAGTCCAGATGACTTAGATAGGGAACTTTTTAAAAACGGTCTCGGAATATATGAAATGCCAGCAGATGAGGTACAAGAAACTCCACAGGAAGAAATAGTTCAGATACAACCAGACATGGAAGAAATAGTTCAGCAACAACAGCTAGAAGAGCCTGAAGGAAACGAACAAGTCACTCCTTTGGAAACTAACTTCACAGAACTAGATGAAGATTTGGAACAGCCGAAAAATCTTGACCCTCAACAAGAGTATGCGGAGAATATGGAATATTTCCAAGAGTCTAAAAAAAATTCGGCTGACATAGTAGAAGAATATCGAAAAATGTTTGCCGACATACAAAAGACTCCAGCACCAGATGAAAATATTCAGCATAGAATGGAAGAACTGAAAAAAAATGTACACAAATACAACAACCCTTTTTACTTACGAGCATTTAACGTTCAATCTTCGGATGAACTCGGTGAAGATAAAAGGTTAAATTTCAAGAAAACATATAGAAATGAAACATTGTTTAAAGTTCATTCAGAACCTAACCAAGATGGAAACAAACCTACTTTTGTTTCTGCAGACGATGGAACTACAATGAGATGGGGTCATAAAGCTAATCCGGATAGGTGGTTCATAAACTTACAACCTCAATTCCAAGAAGTTGTAGACGCAATGGAAGTCAATGGTGAACCAGATATAGCTGGTATTTTCAGCGCGGCTTTAATGCCATTGAAAGATATGAAAGATGCAGATATTTTGGACCAGTATGAAATGAACATGGCTGATGGAAATATAACACCTGACGTTCTAGAACATTTATCTCAAAGAACTACACAGAACCATAAAGATGGTATATTTGGTGAAGAGTTTAGAAAGAAAGTTAGGGAGAGCGAAGGAAGAGAACCTATTGTACATGACCTTGCAAACGAAAGTTTACAAAATGTCATAAAAACTTACTTTGCAGACAATGAACTGAGAAGGGATGAATATTTAAGAAAACTCAAATGACAGTACCAAATGAAATGTTAGTATTGAAAAACATGTTCCTTGACAAAATAAAACCAACTACAGAAATAAATGACGAAAGACTGAAAGATTGGTAGAAGCTTTCCCATTCACAAAAGATATTGTTGTAACATGGAAAGAAAACCAGAATGGCTACAAAAACATATATTTGGAAACGAGCTTATTCCATATGGACAGGCACTGTTTGAAGAGCTTGAACCGGAAACTCAGGAAAGAGTCATGCAACAATACGCGAAGACTCAAATACAAACTATGACAAACTCTTTCTAGGATATAGGTTACCTGAGATGGGCGACCAGAGCCAAAAGGCAAAAGGACATGGGAAATTTGCAACATACTAGATGAACATAATGCAAAGATGCAACAACTTCAAGCAGAGGGCAATGAAGGAAAAAGAAGAGTTAAAAACTCAGTCAGGAAGAAAGTAAAGCTTGGTCGGAGTGGGTTCTATTATGACATATAAATCCAACTATTTATATTTTTTACTCATATGAAATGTACGGCCGCTCAGAATATAACGCCAACAGTTTTGGATGCTATGAATGGAAATGTTTCCGAATGGTATAACGAATGCGACAATGCCATTAGAAGGTCAGAATAGTTCCTGGAACTTACGAATATACAACTGCTGTTTCTTATGGAAACGTAGGTGAGTTTGGAGAAGGTTCTTCAACAACAGTAGATATTGCTTGCGACAGGTTTCATATATTTCTATTGACAACTCTTTCTTATACGTGGAACAAGACATTGAAATAAAACCTTCTGCCAAGTTGTCTGACAAGAAAGGTTGCAATGGAATTTTCTATGTCGGATACCAATATGCTCCAGAAGTTTTCATGGGATATAAGATATATTCTAACTCTGACTTAGTCAAACAGTAACATGGGCAAACTATGAATGGTTCGCTTTGAGAAAACTCAGTACAACCACAAGCTAGAGAACAAACAGACCAGTATGCAACTATTGAGAAAAATAAGAAGACTTGACCCTAACGTTCCAGGAGTTTATGTTAACCTTTCTGGACAAACTGCAGCAGCAGTAACCAAAGTAAAACTGAAACTTAGAGTTCCTTTGTCATCTTTCCTCATCTTCAGGTTTTTAAGATACTTGCCAAACTGGGCAGGAAAAATTTCTATCGAACTTACTCCAAGCAAAAATAACTTAGTCATTGCACCAACACAAGACCCATTCACTCTTACAGAAGTAGTGGGAACAAATAAAATGTCATTCGCCGACTTTTGCCAAAAACAAAGTTGACTTAGACTTTGTTTCTCAAACCTCAACACTGAAGTAAACTATTATTTCAATGCTGCTGGAGATGCTTGGGACCCAGTTAAGTTCACATGCGAAAAGTTTGAATGCAAGAGAATAGAAAGCAGACTTGCAGTCTATATGTTGGACCCAGATATTTCAAATGCTTTAGCTGCCAAATATATTGCAGTTCCACTTATGTTCCCTATACACCAAATATCTGTCAAAGACTTTGCAGGTGAAGTTGGAAACCAAAGTGCTGACCCAGGTGCAAGAACAGATATTGCTTAACAACTGCAATGAAACATGCAGATACTATGTTTGTACTGTTCAGACGAACTATAAATGACTATTCTTGCTTCTACAACCCTGGTATTAAATACCATATAAACATAGATGGCAAATACTATCCAAGAGAAGAATATTCTACAGTTGAGGATATGAGGTCATACAACTTGACATTAGATGCTATGAACTTTAACAACAACTTCACAACAACCATTAACCCTGAAATGCAAAGTTCTATTATGCCATATGTGAAAGTATGGACCCATACAGGAGCTCAAAACACTCAATATACAAATGGAGACCGTTCAAACTTTTGGCTTGGCATTCCATTTGCTGACTCAGAAGACTTTATGGGTGGTATTTCAACTGTTGGTACTGTACAAATACAATATACTGGTGACAGAGACGGTCCAGATGAACTGAAAGCAAAGAAGTTTACAAAACCAATAGCACTTTTCACGGAAGATGCTCTTTTGAAGATTCGTTCGATGAAACCTGCTGGGGCTCCTCAGATTGGTATAACGACAGCTTCCATCGAGCAGATTTTGGCAGCAGGTCAGTAAGTTGTTCTTGAACTGACTTCTCTCCGTCAAATATTGACAGTACGCCAGTTTTGACATAATATTGTATTATAAACTTACCTTTAGAAATATCTGTAAGTTTTGTTGTTATATTTTTGTCTGCTTCAAGAACTTTCACCATTTCAGTTATACCAACTTTCTTTGCTTTATGAAAATATTTTGGTTCAGCAAAGACTGCTATTCTATAACATTTTCCATTGTTTGTATAAAGAACTATTCTGTCAATGTATTTGTATTGTTTGTGTGTGTAAACTTTGTTCTGCTTCAATTCGAAGAGATACTCGAATACGTCCATCTTTTTATTCTAAGTAAAATGTCATTTCCGAAAAATAGAAGCGTGAGTGTTTCAAAAGGTTTAATGGCGGTGGCAGATGTGAAGTTAAATTCACCAACTCAAACAAACAGTCAAAGTGTTGTTGTCAATGTCAAAGAAAGAGATGTTGAAGTGGGGAAACCATACGAAGACGAAGATGGTATAACAATAGTTCCTGTAAAAGAACAACCAACATATCCTGAAGTTAGCAGAGACTTAAGTTCTGTTGCAGATATTCGAAATGACTACCAACAACTTAAAGACAAACTTAAAACTCAGGAGAAGATTTGTCAGGCTTTGGGTATAATGTTAAACTTGGTTGAGCACAACCCTGTAAAAGTGAACTCATATGTCATCGCACCTCGTGAAGTTTTGAAAGAACTATTGAAACTTTTGACAGAGGCAGACGATATAAACATCAAAGAAATAGAACCCGACATTGCTTGCTGTGGTGTTTCATATAATGTCATTGACAAGATATACGTTATGAAAGGAGGTGAAACGTTGAACTTAAAATATAGTTTCCCAGACGTCATAAAAATATTTGACGACCACAACATTTCATTAAAATTTACTTGCTAAGTAAATGGCAGAAGACATAGTGGTTTATACTATTACGACTAAAAACCCTGAGTCATATAATTCTATAACAACAAACTTACAAAGTCCTCAAGGACGATATTGTAAACTAACTTTAAACACGATGACGACTAAAGCCTGTTTTGCTCTTTTGACACCAGAAGACTTTGTTGTTGTGAATGGTAAAAAATACTCCTTTGAAGATACTTACTCAGATATACCACCAACAGGTTTTGTTGACTTATTTAATACTTTAAGGACGGATGTAACATGTGCTGCAACTAGAGCAGGTTTCATTATGTTTGGATGTCCGACTGAGTTTACTATAAACGATATGAGCTATAATACAAAACTTATATCTGGTTTTTACTACCAACAGTTTCCTATAACAGGAAAAGGTGTCATACAAGGAATGTCTGTTCCATTGACTTTAAGTACACCAATCTTATATATTGTTTCAAACTTAGGTTCAAAGTGTTATTCGAATGTCGACAGAAACTACTATGACCAAAAGATACTCATGCGTATAAACAACACTTTCTCTGCTGGTTTGCCTATTGTTCATTCGAATGCAGAGTTTTCAGCTTTAGTAAACTCAAACACTTTAGCAAACATAAACTTAACCTTAGTTGACGCAAACTTTGTTCCTGTAAAACTTTTATGTCCTATGTATTTGTCAATGACGGCAGAAAGTTTCGAACTGGAAGATGCAACCGGTGAAAGTATTGTATTACAAGAACAACTTCAACAACAAATAGCTCAAGAACAACAAATGCAACAAATAGCTCAAGAATAAAAAAAAATATTTTTTTTTTATTTTTATAAAAATGTACAGAATAGATGTTTCAGATTTTTATGACTTCCAAGCGTTCAGAAATATGTGTCCATTTAGAGACTATAACAAAGCAGTCGAGAATTTGAAACGTTTAGTCATTTATGTTGACTCTGCCCCAGAATGTTATGTCATGAAAGAATGGGATGTTGTCTTTAACAAACCAAGAGCAACAATAGTGTCTGAACAAGAATGTAGACAGAAACTTAAGAAAATAAAAGTCGTACAAGTTGGAATGAAGATGTTAGATGCTTGGGATATCTTATTGTCAAAGTTAGAAGATTTTTCAGTTCGTGGTATAAAGTTCTATACACCATCTCCAAACTTCTATTCTATCTTCACTGGATATAAATACGAACAAGTAGAATGGAAAGAAAATGTTATAGAAGCTTGGTTAGACCATGTCAAAGAAATTATATGCAATGGAAACGAAAGAGTCTATGAGTATATCTTATGTTGGTTTGCAAACATCTTACAACATCCAAGTGCTAAGAATGAAACTGCTCTCATTATAATTGGAAAACAAGGAACTGGTAAGAACACTTTCTTTACAGATATTTTGTGCAAACTGTTAGAGGGCTATTCGAACCCTAATATGACAAACTTAGAAAACATCTGCGGTAAATTTAACTCTTCAATAGAGAATATGAAACTTATAGTATGTAACGAACTTCAAAGTATAGATACAACAAAGGTTTTAAACTCAGATGCTTTGAAGAGTCTTATAACAGACAAAGTTGGAGTTGTTGAAAGAAAGTATAGAGACCAAAGAGTTTGTGAAAATGTTGCAAACTTCGTCATGGTTTCAAACAATGTTGTTCCGATGAAGTTAGAAAGTTCTGACAGAAGATATGTAGTTGTCAGAACGTCAGATTCTCATATGCAAGATACAGAATATTTTGACGACTTAGCAGAAACTTTGACACCTAACTTTTACAACCACTTGTTCTCATATTTTATGACATTAGATATTTCAAAGTTCAATCCAAGACAAATTCCACATACCGAAGAAAGACAAACATTGTTAGAAGCAAACAAGAGTGTATATGAACTGTTTATAGATGAGACTAACTTTGAGTGTTTAGATGAAAAGTCATTGTACGATTCGTATAAACAGTATTGTCAAGAATATGGTTATATGGCAGCTTCTAAACGAACATTCTTGGCAAATGTCAAAAGTCTTTTAGATGTTCAGAACGGCGTATATACAAAGAAAAATTTTTCTGAGTAAATTTAAAAAAAATATTTTTTTATCCGATAGAAAAGATGACGAAATATATTTCAGTCAACAAGTACATGACAGAAGTCAAAGAAGAACTAGACCCATTCGCTTATTTGAATGTTTACTTCTACCATTTTGAAAAGTCTACATTTGACAAAGTTTGGAACATCGAACCAGTTAAGTTTGCTATTGTGACTAAAAATGGTGCGAAATTTGAAGACTTAGACATAGAAGGTTTGTTAGCAGTCAAAGAAAATTTTGACAGAAGGTTTTCAAACCTTAAAGAAGGCAAAGCATACAAACTTGTTATACCTTATGAACCAAAGAAAGCAGACGACTATGAATATTATGAGTCTAAGATAGTTGAAGTTCAAGGTAAATTGGGTAAAAAGATTTTAGAGTCTAAGCCAGTGTTTGCTCCTAAAGAGGAAGAGAACATTGACATTGACCCAGAAATGTTCTAAAAATAAAATTTTATTTTTACATGTCAAATTTCTTTTTCTCTGGCTCTGGCTCTGGCTCTTTCTTCTCTTCTTCTACTTTCTTTTCTTTCTTTTCTCTCTTCTTCTTCTTCTTCTCTGGTGGAGTTATGTCAAATTTGGCGCAACCATATTTATGTAAAAGGTCTTTGTCCTTTAATAGCTCTTCTATTCTGTTTTCTATTTCATCTTCAAGAACAGCGCATGTGCCTTCTTTGCATTCTAAGAACTTTTGTTGGACTTCATCTTTCCAATCGGCGTCATCTCTGTCAACAAGTCTGTCATTGACAAACTTAAAGACTTCTCTGCTTAAGGTTTTATGGTTCTTGTCATATTCCCAGAAACAGAACTTTAGAACAAATTCCCCTTTCTTGTTTACACTATGTAAGATTTTATGGTCGACAGATGTTTTGCTGTCGAAAAGCTTGTCTCGAATATAGATAGCGAAATCGCTAGACATTTTCAAAAAGATAAAAATTTTAATTTTTCTAAAAATATGTTAGAAAAAAAGTTTGCTGACATTGACAAGAAATTTGAGAATGTTTTAAACAAGAACAAGAGGAAGTTAGAAAATGCTCAGATAAAACCCATACATGACAAGTTCTTATTTGCTCAGAATGGTATAACAGGTCTAATCGCACCACCTGGGTCGGGTAAGACTTTCACTTATCTTAAAATGGCTGCACAACAACAAGAACTAGATGAGAAGAACCCATTCTATGAGTTAGTAGTCATTTGTAGTACTTCTGGTCAATTTGACCAAACCGTAAATTCGTTCAAAGATATTATAAAAAAGTCTAAGTTAGTATGTATAAAAGACTCTGAGTTGTTAGATTGGATAAAGAAGTACCAAAGAAGAGTTTTGAAGTACAATGCTATAAATGAGTATGTCAATTCGAAGTTTAAAGACCCAAATGAGGAAATGCAGAGAATATTAGAGAAGAAACACTTCAGAAACAAACAGAAAGAGATAGAATACATTTCGAAGAAATTGCAATCTTACGATTGGAAGACTTACCCTCACAGATGTCTTCTTATCTTAGATGACTTTGCTTCTCATCCTTTGTTAAAGAACAGAGAACAAGACATGTGTCGAATTCTTAAGAAGCTCAGACACTTTAACATCTCAGTTGTCATTTGTGTACAGACAGCAAAGAGTTTAAGTAAGGATGTTAAAAGAATACTTACTGATATCATACTTTTCCCTGGATTGTCCGAAGACGATTTCATGGAACTTATGAAAGAGTCCATGGCAGGTAAGTTTGACAGACATGAACTATGGGAGAAGTACAAAGTCATACAAGACCCTCATACTTCTTTCAGAATTCACATCTACGCGAACAAAGTTCAAATTGTAAAAAGTCAAGCTTGAAAAATAAAGAGTTTGAGTCTTAGTCTGTTGTGGTGCTGGGGCTGTCGGTTCTTCTGGCTTTGGAAGACATTCAGGAAGAGGAACGTCGGACATTCGTTTGTGTCTTAACCGTCTTTGTTCTGAAACAATATAATATTGTACTTATTCAGTACAATATTGTCTTGAAAAAGTACAACATTGTTCTGAAAAAGTACAACATTGTTCTGAAAAAGTACAACATTGTTCTGAAAAAGTTCAAGACTTGTTCTGAAAAAGTACAGCTGTACTCAAATTTGAGAGACATTGTACTGAATTTATACAACATTGTTCTGAAAAAGTACAATATTGTACTGAATTTATACAACATTGTCTTGAAAAAGTACAATATTGTACTGAATTTATACAACATTGTCTTGAAAAAGTACAATATTGTCTTGAAAAAGTACAATATTGTCTTGAAAAAGTACAATATTGTCTTGAAAAAGTACAACATTGTCTTGAAAAAGTACAACATTGTTCTGAAAAAGTACAACATTGTTCTGAAAAAGTTCAAGACTTGTTCTGAAAAAGTACAGCTGTACTCAAATTTGAGAGACATTGTACTGAATTTATACAACATTGTCTTGAAAAAGTACAATATTGTACTGAATTTATACAACATTGTCTTGAAAAAGTACAATATTGTCTTGAAAAAGTACAACATTGTCTTGAAAAAGTACAATATTGTCTTGAAAAAGTACAATATTGTCTTGAAAAAGTACAATATTGTCTTGAAAAAGTACAACATTGTCTTGAAAAAGTACAACATTGTACTGAATTTATACAACATTGTTCTGAAAAAGTACAATATTGTACTGAATTTATACAACATTGTCTTGAAAAAGTACAATATTGTACTGAATTTATACAACATTGTCTTGAAAAAGTACAATATTGTACTGACTCAGTATGGAGCTTGACCCCTTAGACGAAGCAATTTATCTAATTGAAATTAACGAGCTTGTTAAAGACTTCCTCAGGCAGAATGTAAAAGTCAAGCTTGAAAAATAAATGGTTCATTTACTCTGCTTGTTTGAAGTTGTCAAAATACTCTGTTATTTTTTCCTTCAGTAGCGGCAAATCTTCTTTGAAGGTAAGTATTGTACAACCTTTCATATCATAGTGTGTTTGAGGTAACGTATCTTGAACTATCTGTTTAACATCTTCATTTGGTGTCATTGAAATCGGTAAGTTTTCGCGATAGAACCAATTTCTGTCAGATTTGTAAATCTTAGCAAGGTCGTAAAAGCTTTTGTTGTTTCTTCTGACTAAATGCAACATAACCATATCTCTGTCTTCTTCATTTTCCATCTCTTCAGTGTAAATCATATACTTATAGTTCTTTTCCTTTCCTTTTGGTACCGAACGTGGTATTCTTTTCTGAATGCTTTTGTCTTTTGCTTCAAGCTTGTTCTCTAGCTCTTCACGTTCTTGTCTGTGAATTTCGTCAAGAAGTCTGTAAATATTCCAAGCATAACGAGGCGAAGCCCACATTGCAACAGCATTTACAAGAAGTCTATGTACATAATATCCTCTCAAACCGTTTGGCAATTTTTCACGATTTTCATAGAGTTTTGGCGAGTAAGATTTTTTACTTACTCGCTGTTCTTCACTGTTTTCAGAAAAAAGTATGTCTCGCTGTGCTTCGCTCAAAAATTCTTGTGTGCTTTGGTTCCTAAACCAGTCTTGTGGTTTCTTAGTATCTGGAGCAAAACATGCTGTCAAAATACTTTGCATTTGGTACATGTCATCTTTGACCGAACGAATGAGACGGAGTTGTTTGTTAAACTGTATGTACTCATATTCTTCATTTATAGCTTCATGAACGATAGCAGTTGTTGTGTTCTCTGTTGTTGACATATCTGTCTTTACATACAAAATAAAAAAATAAAAAAAAATAAAATTAACTTTATTTTTTCTATCTTGTATCTTAAGGAAATTCATGATTTTCATAGAGTTTTGGCGAGTAGGGAAAAAAACGGTCTAGAGAATTTTCACGATTTTCATAGAGTTTTGGCGACTACGTTTTCTTACCTACTCGCTGTGCTTCACTGTTTTCGTACGGAATCTCTTCTCTCGGTTTTACATGGTAAGCAATCTTATGCCATTTTACTCAGATTTTTGTGCTGAATTCAGCAAAAATATATTTTAGGGTAGAAGGTTAGATATAACCTGTCTTCTACCCTCTTTTCTACCCCAGTTATTTTATAAGCGTTTTACATGGTAAACGTTATTTTTACATGTATTTTTCAGCAACTTCGTCAAATAATTTTATAGCTTTATCTATCTCATCTACTTCAAACGTTTCTTTACCTTTTATGGGAGCACCATACATTTTCTCAAACTTTTCAAGTAGTTCTGTTTCAGCAGCTCTCATATCGTTAACTAACACAACCTTGACTCTATTGACTGTACTGTCATATCTTAGAGTTATATTATATGTCCTTCCTATCTTATATCTTTTTGTGTTGAAGTCCTTCGGTTTCTGAACGATGTAAAGTAAGCCTTCACTGCAACGTTCTGAGTCGAATAAACCATATGTTATGAAGTTATATCCAACAACTGGGTCAATCCATAACAAAACTATTGGTATAAGACTTTTGTCTATAAGATATGCTGTAGTTCCATAGAATCTTACCGATATCATAAGCTCAGGATTTCTTGTCAAAATTTTCTGAGTAGAAGCAATTCTAACCCAGTCCTTTGCTTTCTTTCCAGATGGAGATAAAATGTCTGACAAAGAATATTTGTTGTATTTCTTTGAGTATCTTACGTTTAAATCACCTATTCTAACCACTTTGGTGTCATTGTCTATCTTTCCAACTGTTTCAAACTCATTGTTTGACATTTCTGTCTTTAAGTCTGCATAGTCGTTTCTCATACGTTCTATCTCTTTGACGGAGTAGTTATATTTCCTCATTGCTGCTTTACATTTAGAACATTGTGGGTTCAACTTTGCGTTATATTCTGAAACCTTACCTGCTAAAACAACCAAGGCGTCAATGGTTTTCTTTAAATCTGAAGCAGTTGGTTTTATCTGTTCATTCCATATCTTACCTCTTCTATCTTTATCTCTTATCTGCCATACACATTTTGCAGCTAACGAAACAAAGTTGTCGTAGGTCTTAAATTCCAGATTTATATATGTCAGAACATTCTTATATACCATGTCGCAATCTTTGTCCATGACTTATGGTTGCAATGAAATCCAAGAAACTCATAGTTTACCTTTCGTATGAACTTCTTTATTTCTACTGAGTCAGTTGCTTTGACTTCTATTTCATCGAATTCTGGAATAGTAAGCTTTTGTTGTTGGATTTCAGGAAGTTTAGGTAGATGGTCAATAATATCCTGCATTTCATAAAGATACTGTTCATTTGGTTCATCTTTCGCACAACAGTCCAAAGTACTTGTTAAAAGTTCTTGCTTTATCTTCTGGATTTCTGTCTCAAAAGTATATGAAGAAGGAATGAAGCTTTTCATCTCTACTAACATTGAAGTTGGGTTCATGACTAACGAGTTTGGTGCTGTTGTTGCTAACATGTTCTTACAATAAAAATAAAAAAATATTTTTTTAAAAAAACCAACTTTATTTTTTATTTCGGGAAAACTCATGAGGTTAGAAAACATGTACGAAGAAGTCTTGACAAAACATGTACGAAGAAGTCTTGACAAAACATGTACGAAGAAGTCTTGACAAAACATTTACGATGAAATCATGAAAATTCAAGAGGGTAGAAAAGAGGGTAGAAGACAGGTTATATCTAACCTTCTACCCTAAAATATATTTTTATTGAATTCAGCAACAAAATGGTTCATTTACTCACAATATTTTTGTACAAAACGACCCCAAGCTTTTAACTTCTTTTCTGCAGCTTCTAATGCTATCTTAGCGAGTTCATATTCTCTAAATTCTCTCTTTAAATCTTCTTGTTCCCATTGGTCTAGTTCGTATGGAGTCTCTATAACCAGAACATATCTCACGTTCATGTTCTATTTGTTTTTCATGCATTTTTCTAACTTCTTCTTCAAACAAAGGTTTTGCATTCTCTACTGTATCTTCAAGTTCTTCTTCATCTAACTTCTCATGAACTTTCTTGTCTATGGAGTCCATAATTTTTCCAACTGCTATACAATATTTTGGAGAAGCCCACATTGCAATATAGTTTACGAGTCTTGGGTCTACATACATTCCTCTAACCTGTTTGATTTCATCGGGAATTCCTGCATTAACATTGTATAAAAAGCAACCGCGGAATTCCGGCGGTGGTATATTCTTCACAAAATGCCTTAAAATACTCTTCCCAGGACTTATTTTCCAACAACCTTCTAAAGTCTTTCCTAAACTGCTGACATATTTGTTGCATTTATATAACCATCCTTGTCTCTACGTAAGACTTCAATACCGTTAAGTGCCTTTTGTGAATGTTTCGCCATTAGATTTGTTCGTGAACGTTTTTGCTTCGACTGACATTTCTGTTCTTACAATAAAAATAAAAAAATATTTTTTGGTGGACGTCGGACATCGTTTGTGGCTTAACCGTCGGACATTCGTTTGTGGCTTAACCGTCGGACATCCGTTTGTGGCTCGACCTCAAAACAAGCATTTTGTGAAGAATATACCAACCGCCGGAATTCCGACGGTTGCTTTTTATACAATTCAAGAGTTTTGTGTGTTTTCTACGATGTTGTCAAAATGTCATGTTGTCTCGCTTTTTCAGAGAAGTTAAAATTACCTGGTGACCTGGTGACCTGGTTCCACCTAAAATATATTTTTTGGTGTAAATTCATGAGTTTTGGTTGAAAAATACGGTGGAGCCAAAAGTGGCTCGACCTCAAAACAAGCATTTTGTGAAGAATATACCAACCGCCGGAATTCCGCGGGTTGCTTTTTTTTATACAAAATTCAAGAGTTTTGTGTGTTTTCTACGATGTTGTCAAAATGTCGTGTTGTCACACTTTTTCAGAGAAGTTAAAATGACCGAGGCACATAGGCACATAGGCACACCTAAAAAAACATCTAACCAAAACTCTTTTTTCAATACTTTTTCAGCACTTCTCCGTAGTTATATATGAAAGACAATTCGAGATAAAAGTCGTAGTACAATGGAACAATATGTTGCACACCATTTGTTGTGAACCAAACTTGAAAGTCAGAGAAACTGTTACTCGGTGGTTCGTAAATTTAGAAGCAAAGTCATAAAAGTCCTTACCAATACAAAGAAAACTATTGTTGCTTGAACTAAAACTTGCATGACACATAACATTTTGAGGGTCAAACACGTTTCTATAAACTGTCAAATCTGTTGGTGGGCGTATAAACCAGAACGGACCGTCAGGTGGTAATGGTTCGTTCTGGTTTAGTAACCGAAGAAATTGTGCCCAAGAACGTTTGTCTACTTGCCAAAATAAAAACTGTGTATCTCTTGGAGGGTTATTTTCAATCCTTTGAAATGAAACTGTGGAGTTCATCTTGTCATATTCTAGTTTCAGATAGTATGTTCCATTTAGTAAAGAATCGTATTTTTCTTGAAATTCCCAGTAGTATTTGTTTATTTGAGTTTGAAAGTCATTTAGAGTTTTTTCAAGATTTTCGTCTGAACGAACTGTAAAGATTCTCATTTCATCAAATTTGTCTAGTAGACCATCATGACCTCTATACTGACCATGAAAATATACCGCAAACATAAACGCGTTAGTTCTTTTTGAAAACAAAACTCTTCTAAATCCTATTGCCTTTGCATCTGAAGGACTTTGAAGCCAACGAATTGGAAAGTCAAACCTGTAAGCACCGGATGAAATTTCTTCATCTGAAATAGTCATACCGGCGTTTGTGAAGATATAGTCTAACGGTTTTGTATCTGCTGCTTTTGTTCTTTGTTTTTCAACCTGAAACATTTAATATATGTAAAAATATACTGTTTTAAAAAAAATGTTTTAAAAAAGTATGCCATTTCATATTTCTCATCTAACAAACAAGTTGTCTGACTGCTTGAGGGTTAGGTTGGTACCATTCGAACTTCACGCTTACAATTCCTTCAATTGCATTCAAAATGTCTGAGTCGGAGTCAAACATTTGTTCTCTCTTTGTAGTCTTGAAAGCGTCAAGAAGTTGTGCGGCTGTTGTGACATTGCCATGTGCATAGTAAATGTGACCGTCCAAATCTGTTATGGTCAATCTGAGGTTATATCCTTTCTTATTTCCGTCTTGAATGGCAGCAAGTACACCCATGAAGCCTTCTTTGTTCTTTCCTTCGTCAAAGTTTACTGTAAAGGTTCGACCAGATGTAATTTGACTTCTAACTTCACGATACTTTTCATATGCATATCTTGTTCTTTCCATGGGAGCATGTGCATCTTCACCCTTTCCTTTTTTCCTTCTCAAAGGATGCAATTGTTCGTTATGTTTCCAGTAGAATCTGGCAAAGCCGTCCTGTCCTTCAACTTGAGGTTCACTAACATTGAAAGGCAAGTTCATAAGACGTTCTTCTTCTAACCTCTCTAATCTGTTTGGATAGTTTGCGCGTGCTGTTTCTAAGTCCATTTCGTAGGTCAGACCAGCCAGTTTGTCATAGACTTTTATGGGTCTTCCCTTCCTATATTTAAACTTCTTCGAAACTCTCCAGCCATATCTTTCTAACTCTGCTTTTATTCTAGCAGATTTTCTATCCATTCTATATGGGGGCATTTTTATAAAAATAAAAAAATGTTTTTTTTAAAATGGTATGCCATATAGCTTCTTGAATTTGTTAAGATATAGTCTAACGTATTTTCCATCTGCATCTCTAGCGTTTACATAAGCATAGCCTTCCTTAGTAAAACATACTTGTAATTTCCTATAGTTTACGCCGGTATAAAAGTAGAAAGAGTCTTGTTCTTCGCTATAGTAGTAAAACTCAAGCGTATGCTTGCCATAGTCTGTAATTTCAATTGTTTCATCTTCTAGTTCGTCGACAAATTCGAATACAATATCTCGAAATTTGCTTTTGTTCTTATTGTTTTCAGAACGAGTGACCCAACGCAAGTTCTCAAGTCTATTGTCGTTTCTTATACGGTTTATATGGTCTACAAAAGGTAAATTGTTAGGATTCGGTATAAAATGAGTTGCAATGACAACATGTTTAAAATAGTGTTTTCCACCCATCTTCATAGTAGTATATCCGTTATTTCGCTCCATTCGCTTAAAACTCTTTTTGTCTCTTTGTTTCTGACTTCAAATGACTCACAACAGTGAATTTCATATTTCTCATCTAACAAACAAGTTTCCCAACGGTCTTCTCCAACAAACTCAGCGTACATTTCAAATAAAATAAAAAAATATTTTTTTTTGAAAAAATGTTTTATTTTAAATGGTATGCCATTTCATATTTCTCATCTAACAAACAAGTTTCCCAACGGTCTTCTCCAACAAACTCAGCGTACATTTCAAATAAAAATAAAAAAATATTTTTTTCTTTACTTAACATAACCTCCCGCTACCAGAAGCCTTTGACGCCAACCCATACCAGCTAATGAAGGTTGACTTGGTTTAGTTTGGAAACTAAACTTTGGTTTTGGTTTATCTTCAGTTTTTGGCTCCCCTTCTTCTATCGGTTTTTCGTCACTTTTCGGTTCACCTGACTTTACCTCACTTGCAGGTATGGTTGTGTCGTCAACATCTTCGTAAATATCATATGCCATTTGTTTTTGTTTTCCTTTCAACTTTTTGTGTTTGTTGTAAAGTTTAGAATATTTCGACTCTAAGTCAATGAGATGTTCTATAATGAACTGTTGGTCAGTGAAGAATACTTCCATCTGTTGTCTCATAACTCCTTCAGACTTCAATATTTTATTTGTGAGAGTCTGTTTCTTTTTGAGATACTAGCCGTTCCATTTCTATGAAAAGTGACTTTATAGTTAGGGTTTGTATTTCCAGACCTGGCACTTTCTATTATTGAATTTTTCTCTTCAATCTGTAAGTTCTTTGACAGGTTTTGACAATGGTTCTGAACTTTTGTTTGTGGTGTCAAATCTACCGTTTCAACTTCTTCCGTCATTTCATCTCAGTAAAAAATTTTAGTTTGGTTTGTTTTCAACTGGTTGTTTAGGTTTTTAAGTCGGTCTAAAACTTCCTGAGGTATAGGGAGGACTTGACAAACACGTGGTTGTGTAACTGCTGGAAGTCGACAAATCCATCTTGAACCCATTTGTCTCATGCTGTATTGTTCATTTCATCTCAGTAAAAAATTTACATTCCCCACGTTTGAGGTGGTTGCGGTTGGTTGTTGTTTACCCATTGTTGTGCATGGTTATATCCTCTGTTAAAGAATCTTTCACCTTGGTCCATATAGTGTCCTGCTTGGTTATAGTAGTCATTTGCTTTGTTATAGTAGTTTCCTGCTTCTCTTCCTACATTGTCCATCCATCCTTGAACTTTTCCTCTTGTTTCAGGATTTGGAATAAGATTTGCTGCATCTCGTGCTACCTCCCAACCTTTCTGTACAGTTTGTATAATAGGTTGTGCTTTCTCTTTAAGTATACCTAATGTACTCAAAATCTTCCTTCCAACTCCAAATACACCTCTGGCTATTGTTCCCACTGCGGGCAAAAATCTGGATGCAACTCCTGCTAATGCGCCAAATAAACCCATTTCTTATAGGGTAAAAAATGACGAATCCAAACAAGGACCCCTATGTTTCTAAAGCGACAAAGAAAGCACTCATGATAAAAATCTTTAGTTCAACACCAAAATGCTTGGTTTATGGATATCTTGGAAAACATTCCGAGGTATAGAGAAGATGGACCACCATACTGGCTAATATTTGTCGGTCAAAACACAAGATACTGTGAAGCCATACCATTGCAGTCCAAAAATATTTTAGATGTGAAAACTGCTTTGACAATATTCGTTGACAAATACCATCCAACAAAACTGACATCTGACTGTGAAAGTTCTTTCAAATCAGACGATATTAAAAACTATCTGCGTTCAAAAAATGTAAACCAATATTTCATTGTCGACCAAAACCATTCTGCTCTTGGTGTCATTGACAGTTGTATAAAAATCTTAAGAGATTTAAATCAACCACAAGGTGGTGAGGTAGATGAAATGTCATATGACGACAAATATAGACATTTCTCCATGGCAAAGATGAGACAAGTTTTAAATATTTACAATAGCCGTAAACAAAAAGGTTTGGGAAACCACTCCCCGAAGAAATGAAAACAACCCCGACTTAGAGAAAGACTATATATTTAATAGTTTAGTCAAAAGAGACAAACAAGAAAGAATGCCAGGCTTCAAACTTAAGAAAGGTGACAAAGTAAAAATAGAAATACCTAAACGCGACCCATATGAAAATACTATTGACTATGACAACAATGGGAACCCGACAGGTACTCACCTTCGTGTTCGTAAAAATAGAAGAAAGTATACAAGAGAATATTATGAAGTTTTAGGCAAACATGGCAAAATGTACAGACTGCAAGCAGAAGATAAAACTACTATTGTCAGACCTCGTTTCAAACTTGTCAAAGTTCAAGGTGGTATACTTTCAAAGACAGTTCCTAACAAATATAAGACAACTCCTGACGAATATGCTAAAGAAGTTGAAAATGACGACTAAGCAATTCTATACCATGCGTAAACTGTCATGTAAGGTGGCATGTAGTCTGTTCCATTTCCTGTAGATGTTGTTGTAAAAGTATGTTGGTGGTTTCCAGTTGTATCTGTCCACATTCCATTCCAGTCTACTGGGTCGTTTGGAAAATGAGTTCTTGACATAACTTGAATTTCCATTGAAATCTGAGAAACAGTGTTATATCCTTGTTTGCAAACCCTATGACTATGGTTTCCATTAGAACTTGTTGTACCAGAATGACTATGTGGTGGCAAGTTGTCGACAGATATCTTTTTACTTCCACCTGTTTCCTTTGAAGAGTTTGCACAATACAAAAACCTGTCGACTATTTGTTCCCATGCACCAACACCAAACATTACTTGAGGACATCTTGCATCCATAGATGTATAAATAGAACCTACTGGGTTCATTAAATCAAACATATGAGATAATATAGGATTGTCTCTTTTGAACTTAAAATATAGTGTAACTATTTCTGGTTTCTTCTGGTTTGTGTCAGAATATTTTTTATAATATAATCTTATGTTTTCAGGGTAGGTAAAATCTTGACTATAATATTTATTTCTGTCATCTGTATAATAATATACTATTCTCGTTTTTTCTATTGCATTATATCTTTTATATCTATAATATTCTAAATATAATGTTTGCTTTTTTGGGTCTACACGTGCGTCAACACCATAGTCATAATAGTATGGTGCTGGAGCTGGGTCAGGCAATGTCATATCTGTCATTTCATAAACTCTTAAATATTTCTTTTGTTCGTCTCCATATATGTTTAAGTAACAGTTGTTGTCTAATGGAACTTTAACTTGTGTACCATCGTTCTTTTTATAGCTTACATACATTTCATTGTTATTTTTCGGAATGAGTTTATACCGTGTACCATTTTCTAAGGACTGTACCAACTGCCATCTAAAATATTTATTTTCTTCATTGACAGAAAAGTCACCAACAATAGTTTCAATATTTTTTGTTCCAACTAAACTTTGGTATATTTCATTGACATATGTTTTATCTGCTTTCTTTTCAAGGCTAACGTTTAAGTCTGTTATTTCAGAAGATGTATGTGTATGTCCAACGTCACTTTTCCTGTTTAAGGTTTCTTGTAAGTTTGTAATATTTGCAATGGTATGTGTATGTCCAACGTCACTTTTCCTGTTTAAGGTTTCTTGTAAGTTTGTAATATTTGCAATGGTATGTGTATGAGTCTTTTTAGAATATTCGTTTTCAGCTCTTGTCACTTCACTTGACATTTTATTGTCAACATATGTTTTGTCTGCTAGTTCAGGATGAGTATGTTCTTTTGTTGCATAAGCATTGTTAGCTCTTTCTTCTTCTTTTGCTATTGCATCGTCTACATATTCTTTGTCAGCTTTGTTGTCAATATCTGCCTTCAAAAGAAGTTCATCTATAGGTTTCTCGTTTAAAGTTCTTTTTGTTGGATTTATACAAACAGTATGGTTCTTGTTGTCTTGAAATAGAAACTCGTCTGTCATTGGGTTTATTGTCAGTTTTAAGTTTCCTTCTTTCAATGACTCAGATATCTTAGAATAGTTTGAAAAGTTTGTTGTGTTCTTATTTAGAGCTTGCATAATGAGTTGTCGGTTGTGTTGTATTTCTCTCATAGACGCTGTTTCTTTCGACATTTTTATTCTAGATAAAATATGCTTTCAATAGAAAAAGAAAATTCAAGAGTTGCTACAACTAAACCATTAGATGAACTTTTTACGAATGTCGGTCAAAAGTTTGAGACAGAGACCGTAAAGCATGAAGGCTATCGTTTTGACTACCCGTTAAGATGGTTAAGAGACCCATCCGTCACAAAAGCTATTGGCTTTCGTAGAATGAAATTCATTTCAGAAGCCATACATGGTTTCCCATTTACGGTCGCTTTTGAAGTTCGATACTATAACAAAGAAAAACGTATGTATGAGAAATTTGAACAGGGAAAACTTTTACAAGTGAATTTGCTTGTAAACTTAGAAACAACTCTTCAAGCTTTTCAAGAAAAAATAAACGATATCTATCTCGAATATGCAAAACAGTACAACATTGACGAAGGAGAGTACCATCTCGATATTATATATGACAGGAAAAATGCAACTGTTAAATTCAATAGAATAGAAGACCTTGGAGAAGACGTTTATATTTCTACAAAATATAACAACTTGGCATGGTATAGATTTTTGAGGATGTTAAATCAGCCTGCAGAATATCCAGTACACCCGAACTTTTATGAAGTCGAAAACCCTAATGGAACATATGAAAATGTTTTCGACTCAGATGCTATTATAGTTCATGCTTCATTTTCTGGTGCACAAAACTCTTTTTTATGCTTGGCAAATGACTTTTACGAAAAACCTACAAAGCTATACGAACCACCAAGTGGAAGTATTTCAGACTTTCAAGTATGGTTTACTACAGATGGAAGAAAGAGAATAATTCCATTATACCACGCGTTTTACTTAGAACTTAGTTTCATATACAACTACTATCGAACGGTAAAAATATAATTTTTTAATACGGTTGAGGTGTTGGATTTGGTTGCCAACTAGACTGTGGTGCAGGTTCAGGCTGTTGTATAACAGGAGCTTGCTCTTCTGGTTCAGGGTCTTTAGGTATAATACCAACGAACTGACCTACTCTTTTGCCAATATTTTTGACTCCGTTCCAAATTCCTCTTCCGACGGTTTTTATTCCATTCCATATACCTCTTCCAACATTTCGAAAGAAGTTTCCTATTCTTCCAAAGAAACCCATTTTACTATATGTAAAAATCTAATGTCCGCCTAGTCTCTTACGTTTCCTTCTGAGTTCCATTGCATTCTTTAACTGGAGCTCATACATTCTATTTCTCCTCTGGTAGAAAACATACTCTGGGTCAACTCCTGTGTTCGCGTCATCTGCATAGAGTTGTTTATATCCCACTTCAGGGTTTGTATAAAACTCTTTCCATCTCATATTTGCATACCATGGTGGCAAACCTAACGCAGCGTCATTTGACATGGCAGTTTGCATTTGTACATCTGTTGGCACTTGACCATAGTTTGCCATTGCAGTTTGTATTCTAACTTCATTTGGAATATTCTCTGGGTTTGGTTGTCCAGGTTGCTGTGCATTCGCTAAGTTCTGTGCGTCCATTTAATATTAGATAAAAATATCTCTTACGAGTACATATGCTGAACATTTGCAGGCATTGGTTCATCTTCATATTCTCTGTACCTTTCTGCCACGTCAAATAAATAAATGACACAATGGAAAAAACCTAAAACAAGTAGTCCTATTTCAAACCACATTTACTTACTAATAAAATTTCTTTGTTATGACACTTTCTCCAGTTTATAGGACCTCTCTCATATTCTATCTTATCGTATCTAAACTCATAGTCATGTATGTCCTCTAACCATCTCATGACACTTTCCAAACCACTTTTATCGGATGTAAGTAAAAGCATGGATGGTTATGTAAAACGTCTAAAGTTTCTAAGAGTTCAAAGTCCAGTCTACTTGGTATTGAAAATCCCATGTGTTATAGAACGGCGGGTCTACTATAAAGAAAACATTTTCCTTGTCTTTATATTTTTCATACAACTCTGTCCAATGACATCTCACAAACTCTATACCCTCAATATATTTTTCTATGTTCTCTTTGAAAACATTTGTATAGTTAAGATATAAAACTTTTGACATAAGTGTTTCAATGTCATGAACTCTTATAGCACCACTATATAATAGTCTAGCAGATATACTATCCCAGTCTATATATTCTGCTTTTTTCAAAACCTCTCTCACAATATTTTCTTATCTAATGGTATACGTTCCATCTTACCTATAGGTATCTTTTCTTTTAACTCTTTCAATATTTTGTTAGTGTCTGGAATATGTTTGAGACGGTTCATATAGTTGTCGAAGTCATTGCATATAATCTTTGAGTCAGGAAATACAGTATGGCACAAATGGGATATATAGAAACTTCCACCGAACAAATCTACAAATGTTAGACCATTCGGTAGTTTCTTAAGTTCTCTCAATATAATATCTTTACATTTACTCTTATTTCCAAAGAACGGTAACGGAGGTTTTGTAAAATTCATTTATATATAATAATAAAAATGTTTTTTCCTGAAAAGTGACAGAAAAGTGACAAAACATGTACGAAGAAGTCTTGAAAATTCAAGAGGGTAGAAAAGAGGTTAGAAAAGAGGTTATATCTAACCTTCTACCCTAAACATTATTTTTGTCTGATTTTACGAAGAAGTCTTGACAAAACATGAAAACATATATAATTTGTGAAAAGCTCCTGGAAGACCCGTATATAAGAACTTCATTTATACTAAACATCTTCGGGGCTAGAGGGCACGAAGTGCCTGGAAGCCCCACTACCTTTTTTTTTTTTTTTTTTTTTTTTTAAATATTGATATTACAAAGATTGAGCTGTATATTTTGTTTTTATAATTGAAGAAAAAATACTCTTATTGTGTCTTACTTGGTCCGAAAAGTGTCAATATGGTAGGATACCACCATACCATTAAATTTATGGACTCTATCAACAATTAATAAAATTAAGGATGCTTCAATGAATAAAAATCTATATACTATCAACTTTATCCAAAGAAATATCATTTATAAAATTGATTCTGACAAAATTGAAGATATACCACTTCAGGCAGCTTATACTTAATAGTCTTAAATATGTTCTATTAAAATAAATGTAATTTTTAGCGTTTGGTTTATAAACTTCCCCCATATATTAGATTTTACTGTAATTCTAAAGTATTTTATTAAAATATTACGATTTAATGATAAACTTGTTGAAATTACAGATATTCAGATAGCTGTTACAACTTTTCAAATAAAGATTTTTTATCGAATTTCCAAAATTCTTCAATAATTGTTAATTTTTTGGTGAATAGTTCAACATCAAATAATGAGTAGATAAAATCAAATTAAATGATTTATTGTTCGTTTGACATTTTACATGGGGATCACCTTCACAATTTTGAATTAATTTTAATTTGATAAAATTTTCATGAAATTGGTTATTAAATAGTTACAATATTTAAATTCATTTTCCGTTTTTCATTCAATAATCATATATGATTAACATAGTATAAGTCAATGTTTATATAAATGAGTATTCAAATTTATGATTTGATGTTAGATCGCAATTCAGAAATTGACGACAAAGCTCATTCAAAATTTCAAAGGATCGATAAGGGATCAAAAATGTAAATGTTCAAATATTTGTGATTTCCTTATTATAAATATTTTTAATTAATTTTGTAATGCCTATAAAATTGCATTCAAAATAATTGAATATAAGTATGGCCAAACGTCAGAATTTATGTCTAATCAAAAATGTTTATTGTTTTCCCATCAATTGTTCTATCAGGATCAGTTGACGTGCAATGGTCAAACACCAATTTTCAAAAGATCACTGTTAATGGAACAGAATTTAGCAACAATGGCAAAGATTTAGATTTGTATCTGAATTCAGGTTTGTCTGCTACTATAAAAGTTCCAGGGAACAATCACGCATCATTCAATAATGAACATTTCATATTGAAATCAGAATTTACCCAATCTGATGATCATAATTCTGTTGATATGAATTTTAAAATCCGTAATACATGTCGATACAGTGGATCATTTGATTTATATTATCTTATCAACTACACATTTGATGGAAGAATTCCAGTTGCCAAGTTTCATAGTTATTATAAAGGAATTCTTTTCAAAGATTCGGCTACAGGTAATATGATAAATTTCATTGCAAATAATGTTACTGGAATGTTTTTTTCAGATAGAGAAAATTCATATTTCAATAGCAGAATTGATAAAATTCAAGAGTTAATCAACAAGAGTCAATTTTTCTACTTTGGTTGGGAATTTTCAAATGTACAACCAAATGAGGAACTTTCCTTAGGATTTACCATTGATGATGGTTCTAGCTTAGATCCATCCCCAATTGTTCGTTTAGCTGAACCAATTCAAGATTATTATGCTCCAGGAAACAATGTCCCAATTAAAATTCAAGTTCAAGGTGCAAAAGCAGGTCAAGTTATAGAAACATACGTTGAATCTGATGAAGATCGTTATAGTTCACGAACTCCCAAAAACACATTTACAGTTTCAGAAGACCAAAAATCAACAACATTTACGTTTACAATGAGAAGTTCATATATTGGAAATTCCTATTTTAAGATTTATGCTATGTGCAACAATACATTGATCTCAAATGTCATTTCTGGTACAGTTCTATTCGCATATCCACCATCTTTTAATTTGACAGAAACACCGAAATCAATATATTATCCAAACTCCGTTCTTAGACTTAAAGGACAAATTTCAGATGATACAACAGTTCGCATCTGTTATAATATAAACAATGACACAAAGACAGAAGTTTGTAGTAAAACTCAATACAACGCTTATAACAAAAATTTGAATGAAATATTCAATATTGGAACAAATATCAATGAAGGAAATAATTCATTTTATATTTACGCAAAGGATGACCAAGATGTTAATTCTCCAGCAGCCAAGTTTGGCTTTCAATTTGTTAATAAGATTACTCCAAAGATCTTAAACTTAACAGGCATCCATGAAAATCATTATTATGCATTTCATGAATACATAGATTTGAATTTAACAGTACAAACAAATGCTGGTGATATGTTATCAGTATATTATTATTATGATCAACAAGATCCAAAATATGTTGATCAATTCAGTAGTGAAGGCCAAACTGAGTATTCATTCAGGGTTTTACCAATTCCAGAACCAAATTCGTGGTATCATAAATTAAAAGTCTTTGTTACCAATCAAGATAATGTTTCATCTACAGAAATTGTTCAAGACATCAGAGTAGAGAAACAGGATATCTTTATTCAGACAAATACATTAGAAGAATATTATGCACCTGGGGCACAAGTTACAATAGAAGGATATTTCCAAGATTTTAAGAGTGGACATAAGATTTCAGTATATTATAATTATGATAGATATTATGATGTCGAAATTCCAAATGTAGTAGCAACAATGAATGAGAGTTGCATTTCAGATATTATTTCATTCACAATCCCTTTTAAAAATTCGAGTGGATACCAAAATATAGAAATCTATGGCAGAGATAAACAAGAGAATGATAAAAGTGAGAGCACAAGACTGAGAATCTTAACAAATATCAAACCAGAATTAAGACATGTCGATGATATTGAAGCATCATATTCTATTAATAGTTTTATAACTGTCACATTTACAGTTTGGGATGACATGGGCTGCTATCTTGGTTACATCTTCGATGATGGTCAAAGATATGAGCTTGACGAAAATCTTAGAACCGAAGGCGAAAAGACTTACACAATGCAGATTCCAACAGAAGGCAAAGGACTAACAGTTGGACAAAAACATAAATTAACAATTTTAATTGTTGATAATTATAACTTGACTTCAAATAATATTTCTTTTGAATTCAATTATGATTCTAGAAATGCTCCATCAATTTATGTTGAGAAGTCAAAACAAAATCCATACTATCTCCATTTCAGACATGATATTTTCTTCAACATCACATCAAATGATAAAGATAATGGAAATAACGTTACTGTTTATGCAGTCACTGACTATAATGAACCTATTGTATGTTGGGAATATACTTCAAATGCAGAGAATCAGTCCATTGTTTATGCATTACCAAATCCACATTCAGCAGGTAATCATTGGGTTGCATTTTATGCTTCAGATCAAACAAATGCATCATCAGAAAAAACAAACTTAACATTTTACATAAACCGTGATATTTCAATTGATTTTAATAAAACTGGTAATTATATTTTACCAAGAACTGTTAACCCAGAACATGAATTTACATTAACAGGTGTATGTTATGATTTCGACGTGGGACAGCCTATTTCAATTAAATTTGAATTATTTAAGGGATATTTTTCAGATAATGCAGTTTATACCTATGACTGCGGTTCATTCATACCAAATGATCATTGTACTGCAACATTTAGTTTCAATTTAGTTATTCCTGAACTCAATGATGATTATCAATACAAGTTTACGGCTATTCAAGGTACACTAAGCGGATATACTAGCCAAACATTAATTAGAATTTCAAGAGAACCAAGTTTGTATGACTTAGTTCCAATAGATGAAGAATATACAAAAGGAGAAAGTATTACAATCTCTGGAAAAGTATATGATGAAAATCAAGCAGAAATTTATTACTATTTCGATGACAATACATATGCTGCTAGTAAATTAATTACTGTTAATACAAACAACAAAACAGTCCCATTCACAGCAGTCATTAAAACAACAGATTTTTCTTGGTACCTCCCAACTGGACCACATATTCTAAACATTTATGCTCAAGATTCAATTGGAACAAAATGTGAAGTTCATAATTTCACATTTATTTACGATGATGAATTAGCCCCTAACCTCACAGTTAATAAATATGACGAAAGCAAGAAACAATATAGAAAGAATGATGAAATTACTTTCAACATTTCTGCGAACGATTTGAATTATGGTGATCCAATATTCATTTATCTCAAAGTCAACACAAATGAAAACATTGAATTATTTAATTTGACATCAACCAGAGTTGTCCAAACAATGAACTATACCTATAATGTTGGATCAACTCCAGGTCATCAGAAACTTTCATTCATAGCCAAGAATAATAATCAATCAGTATCCAATCAAATAACTTTTGAGCTTGATGTATTGGCGATTCCAAGGCTTTTCATCACAACTCAATTCGAGAAGAGATATGACTTAAACAAAGAAATCGCAGTCAAAGGATATGCTGAAGACTTCAAAGTTGGATCAGCAGTTGATTTTTATTATAAGTTAAATAACAATGAAGAAAAACATTTAGATAATAAATTGATTGTTAATGAGAATTCAAAGACTGATGAATTCACTTTCAGTATTCAATTACCGAATGAAAAGCAACTTAACAATATTACATTCTATGCCAAACATGATGAACAACAAGATCAGTCAGAACTTTTCACCTTCTTCACATCGAACCTTCCTAAAATCATTGCATGGAACGATTTCAAAGATAAATATTCATTGGATGAGAAAATCACTTTGAATCTTGAAACATCAAATACAGATCAAAATGAGTATAAGTTGTCATACAAATTTGATGATGAAGATGAAATTAAACTTGATCAATCATTTACAGATTCTAAAATCAATTTAGAAATTTCAATTCCAGAAAGCCTTACTAATTCAAAACATAGATTGACTTTATTTGTATATGATGAAAATAATTTCAAATCTGAACCAGAATCAAAGGAATTTGACTATAAGAAGGACAATAGATCTCCAGAAATCTCCGTTCAAATTGTTTATCCAATGCAATCATATGTCCAAAACGAAATAATTAAGTTTAAGGTTCAATCCAAAGACTTCAATAATGGAAACACTGTAAAGATTCACTTGAAAGAAGGGGACAATGATCAAGTTATTCACGAATACACATCTAATGGTGATATATTCGAAAAATTTGAATACAATTATACAATCATCAAAGAAATTGGTATCATAGATTTAATCTTTGTTGCTATTGATAATGAAGATGCATCTTCAGAACAAAACGTTACAATTAAAATTAGAAAGATTCCTGAATTGACGATAACATCAGAATTGAAATCATATTACTCTCCAAACGAAGATCTAATTATTAAAGGATATGTAACAGATTACAAGCAAACAAATATTCTTTCATTGAGATATCAAAAAGATGATTACTCTGCAACTGAGTTGTTAAACAACATTAAAATAACAGACAAACTCAGATCAGATGAGTTTTCAACAACAATTCGTTTACCATCCAAGATTGGAATTCATAATTTCTTCCTCTCTGTAATTGACGATGAACAAAAATCAAGTAAATTAGTCAAATTAACTTTAAGAATTCATGTTAAACCTGAGATCAATTTATTGAATTTTTCCAAAAATCAAACTGAAATTAAGATGAATGTTAAAGTAGAAATTCATCAACCAGTTTCTGTCTATTATTCATTCGATAATGATGAAAAATTGAGATTAACTTCAATTGAAGAAAGCAAAGAAGTTGAACTTAAAATTCCATTGAAATCTGATTTAACAAATGACTATCATTCTGTGCATGTTGTCCTAATTGATGAATATAACTTGTCATCAGAAGTAGTAAATCATTCATTCTTCTATTCCATACAAAAACCAGAAAAAACGCCTTTGCCATCACCAATTGCTAATAACACATCAGGAGGAAATTCAAATGAAAACTCTGAAGAAGGAGATGATAACTCTAAGCATGGATTCTTCAATACTCCATTTGGAAAATATGGACTTTGGATTATACTCGTAGCAGGTATAATAATTATATGTATAGTAATCTTCTTTGTTGTTAAAGCAATTATTAGAAAGAAAGATCGTGAAAGTGAATCAGAATTCTCTGGTTATAGGGAAGATCTTAACAAGACCAATGTAGATGTGTAAATCACATTCATTCATATATTCTAATAAAATTCTTTCTTTTTAATTTGATTTCCAATTTTTTATTCAATTGTTACTAAATTCGATAAAAATTGACAAAAAGCAACGGGATCTGTCAAATTTTTATTTATATATTACATATATAACTTTTAAATCATAAAATCCTTCTTGGTGAAAAAAGTGACATGAATATCATACCGTCATCCACCTTTCTCAAATTAAAGTCTAAAAAATATATCATTTTTGTCTGGCGAAGATGATCTATTTTTAACTTTTATATACAAAAACAATAATCCTTCGCTTTCATTTATAATTATATTTAAGTACTATTTTAAGTATTCATTAGTATAATTTCCCAGACTACTCTATACTGTCCAAATGGGGTATTATACCGACAAAATAATATATCGGATGAAATTACATCTATTAATGTAGATTCTTCATGTAAAATTATTGAATATAATTCTTTAAATTATACAAATTTGGAGTCGGTTACATTTCCAGATACACTTGAAGTTATTAATGATGATCCATTCTTTAATATTCCAATAAGGAAATTATTTATTCCTGCTTCAGTTAAGACAATGTCAGAACGAAACCCATTCAATGCCCTTCCAAATCTTGAACGAATTGATGTTGATCCAAGCAATCAATATTATACATCAGTTGATGGTGTCCTATATAATAAAGACATGTCATTACTTATTCAATATCCTCGAAATAATAATATTAGTATTTATATTGTTCCAAAAAGCGTAAAAGTAATAGGAATGTATTGCTTTTGTATGCATAAAGGTATTAGAACTATTGTTTTGCAGAATTCTCTTAATAAAATTGAACAAAATTCCTTTTTATATACAGATGACCTTATATTAATGATACCATATACTTGTAAAATTGAAAATATTGTGAATTCAACTTATAATCTAGTTGGTATTCTCACGACGTCAATCATAGGTTACTATAACAAAATCGAATCAAAACAAGTTTGTCTCTTTTCTTTTAATTCAAGATCACAAGTATTCTTATATACTTATGTCTTTATTCTAATGTAATAAGTTTATTTCTCCTATCTTTCATTAAATAATTAATTCACCTAACAAGTTTGATATTATATAATTAACAATCTCAATAAGTTTGCTTTTGCAATGACGGACCATCCTATATTGATCTTGTATTTAATACACTGTAAAATTAAACTTTTGAGTAAAATAAAAAACAATGTTGGAATCAATTGATTTTGAAGATAAAGCCAATGAATATGCCAAAGAAAAGATTACAATTAAATTAAATGATAAATAAGATATATTTGTTTGATTATTGTTAGGTGTTATTGTCAATAATGAAGTAGATGGGAAAACATTTAATAAATCAGATTTTGTATAGGTAAAATGAGGGGGGAAATGTAATATTTAAATTTACCAAAGACCAAGATTATAAACAGATGAAAAAAGAAGAACACCATCAATGATGTTGTTGCCATGAATGTTATGGCGAAGACCTTCAACACCAGCAAAGTTTGTGCGAAGAAGATCTGAACATGTGTGTGATGGTGAGTGGTGTGCACGAAGACCACAAAATGAAACATAATCGTACGAGTATGTAACAATGGAGATAGCATCATTCTCAAATGCAAGTAATGAGCGTGAGAAGTCATGAATACCACAGTAGATGACGATGTAGACACTCGTGTTGGTGAATGATGATGAACCAATGAAGTCTGTGGAAGGTGGGATGACAAGTGGACCTTTGATGTATGTGCTTCGGAATGAATTGTTGCCGAAGTGTGTGATAGGTTGAGGAACATTATATATTTTGTAGCAGTTCTCGAAACATGAGATACCAACATGGACAACACTGTCTGGAATATAGTATTCAATGTTGTTGCAGTTTCGAAATGCATAGTCTGAGATATTGTTGACTGTTGCATGGATAGAAATATTACGAAGTGATGTGCAGTCATCAAAAAGACCGGTTGGAATAGTGTATGATTCTGATGATTGAAGATTTCGTTTGTTGTTCGATGATGATCGAGGTGTGAGATCGACATGTGAAAGATGTTTGCAGTTCTTGAAAACAAACTTACCAATCGTTGTTGGACTAGGAAGAATGAATTCTTCAAGTTGGGTGTTGTTGAAACAATAGTCTTCAAGAACTTCAATACTAGTTCCTGAACCAATGTTGAATGATCGCAAGTGGATAGATGTGAATGAGTTCTTGCTGATCTTGGAATATGAGATATCTGAGAGAACATTGACAATCTCGATGTTTGGAGCACCACCAAAGCAATTGTTAGAAATAGTGGTGAATGAGTCTGGAATAGTATAGTTAATAAGAGATGTGCATCCGATGAATGATGTAGGAGAAAGAGATGAAAGTTGTGAGTTTCGTTCGAAATGGATATATTGAAGACTCGAACAGTTCTCAAATGCTGAGTCACCAATAGATGTGCAGTTAGATGGGATTGTGATGTTGCAAAGACGAACACAGTTTAAGAAAATCTGTTTCCCTAAGTGTCGAAGAGCACAGAATTGTCCAAATTTGAAAATGTAAAGATTTCGACATTCTGCAAAGATCATATCTGATTCAAGATCACAAAGTGAGAAGTTGGGGAATGTGATGATAGAAAGATTACTGCAGCCAAGAAATGCTGATCGTTCAACTGTGCGAAGTGATGTTGGCATGTCAACACGCTCAAGTGATGTGCATGAATAGAATGTTCCATCTTCGATAAGTTCAAGTTTGCACCCGTCTTCGAATGTAAGATTACGAAGAGATGAACAGCTGTAGAATGAGTTAGAACCAATGACGATGATGTCTTTCTTGATGAATGCTCTGTCTTTACCACATGGACAGCAGATAAGACGATCCCGATTCTTAGAATAAACAATACCTTCCTCACTGCTGTAAAATAAATTTTCAGTTGGAACATTGATTGAAACAAGTTTCGAACAAAATTGGAACGCAGATGGATCAAGTGACTCAACTGATTTTGGAATTGCTATTGTTGGAAGTGATGTACAACTTCGAAATGTAGCACCATAAATTGTTTTTAGATTGATATTTTGTGAAAATGCAAAATTATTCAAATTTGGACAACCAGAAAACGAGTTTTGGCCGATGTAAGTAATAGTTGTAGGAACTTCAAAAGATGTAAAGCCACATCCACCAAATGCCGATTCTGAAATTGTTGTAACTTTTGCATTATGTCCAAATGAAAATGACCTTAAATTATTGCAATTTCCAAATGCGAGAGAACCAGTTGTTATAACATTGTTTGGTAAAACAAAAGACTCTAAACTTCGACAAAATAGAAAAACTTGATTGTTAATTCGTTGTAATGGAGCATTTTCATCTATTGTAATAATTCTCAATGAACTTCCCCAGAATCCAAGATCCCCGATATAATTTAATCTTCTTCCAAGATGAATTTCTTGAATTTGTGCTGAATCAAAACACCAATCCCCAATAGATGCTGGACCATCGCCATTGATTATTACTTTTTTAACTGCTGAACTCTTAAAGCAATTACTTGATATATCCAAAACAGTTGAAGGTATATTAATTTCTTTCAAACTTGGATCTAAATCGATCTTTAATGTTTAGAATTTTGCCATAATTATTTTGATATTTTTTATTGCGTTTCAAATGATTCTTTTAATAGCTTTTCTGCCTATTTGTTCTAGGACTTCTTTCTGCATTGTGATTCTAAAGAACCAGTGGAACAACCTATATTAATTTAATAAAACAAACAATTTATTATATATCAAATCAAATAATAGTAATAATAATTATAAAAAAAATACTATATTTTGTGCGGGACAAATAAAATTCGTCCGTCGGCTGTTGTTGCAACAATTCCATTTTGATCAGTGCTGTAACAAACATTAGTAACTTGTCCGTTGCATCTGTACACGAACTCATCCATTGAAAGGAAGAAAGCCTCGAAAACCCACAATCTTCCTCTGTCGTCTGCGCAAACAACGTAATCGAAACCATCAACAGTCTTAAAAGAGTTCCAACATGAAATTCCTGACCCAATTGTTCTTCTCTTTATGAGTCTTCCATTTGGAGAATACAAAGTCAAGTAATGTCTTACAGAACCTCTTTCCAATTCAGTCATGTAGACAACAACAAATCCCCAAGCAGAAGTAACAATAACTTTATAAGGTCCTGCTTTTTGTATATCAACTGTTGCTCCAACAGTTCCATGTGTCAAAGACACAAAGAACAAGAAGCCATCGCGTGTTCCTGCAACAGCAAGTGAGAAATTCGGATTAATGTTAACACATTGAATCGAATCTCTGTATAAAGGAATCGAGAAAACAACTTTCGACAAATCAGAAATTCTGCAAAAATTCAAAACAGAACCTCTACTTGAAGCGCAAAGCCATTGTTTTGACAATGACAATATTGTTACATCGCTTGTATGCATCTTCAAAACTTGTGTTGTTTTCGTTGAAATAGAAAATGTTTTCACAAGTCCGTTATCGACAAACATCAAAGTATTTCTGTCGATGAAAGAAAACATGTCGTATTTTGCATTCAAAGCAATTTGAAGGAAATTAGGAATAACAGCTGTAACATTCGGTGGTGGAAGAATGTTTAGGCTGGAGTTCGAATTGGATGACGTGAATCCTGATGAAGAATTCGTTCCTGTTGGAGAACGGATTTCACTTTTGGTCAAATTCTGTAATCTTTCGAATGAAATACTCGAAATTATTGATTCGTTTTCATTCGTCATTTTTTGGTTCAATAAAGGAGTTTTTGTGACAAACATCGAACTCGACATTCCACTATCGCTTTCAGAGTTTTGCGACAAAGATATCGATGATTGCGATGAATATTGTCTGATCATATTTGGACCTTTATTTGTGTACTTTTGGAGTTGTGTGAAATCCAAAGTGTGAACAGTAACTTTTCCAATGGAATCTAATATCATTACTTCCATGATGTTATTAGATAATACGGCGTAGTTACTGTACACAACAGTGTTCACATTTTGTGTTTGGATAATCAAAGGTGAAGTGATCTGATTTTGAATTTTTTCTTCAATTTCAAATCTTGGAGGATGAGGTTCTGTAAACAATCTTTCAGGAACGAAACCTGTACGACTTCCATCATAAATATCGAAGTTTTCGCTGTCTTCGTATACGTCACTTGTGAATTTATTGAAAGCGGAAATTGCTCCAGAATCTCTTTGTTTTGTTCCCCAAATCAAATCAATCCATTGATTAATTGATGAAGAAATCAAATCACATTCAAGAGCTTTTCTGTTCAAATAAACAAAAGTGAAAGCATCATCATTACTCCAAGCAGGGAATTCCATTTCTTGTGTCTTATTCTTTGGATTTGTCTTAAGAAAAGCTTCAGGCATATAAAAGAATTCAGGAACTAACTCTGAATAGCAGAAATCATCATTTGTGGCTTTGTTGAATGCCTTTGAAATGGAAAGACATGGTTCATCATAATCCAGTTCAGAGAAAGGATGCAAACGACATAAATACGAACAAATGTCTGTTGGTCTCATTGGACTTCCTGGTAAACTAAAATCAACAACTCCTGTTTCTTGCATTTTCGTGATAATTCTCATTAATCTTTCTTGGCCAACTTGTGACATCGGTTTTCTGACATCACGTAAAAACATCGAGTCATTGCAATCGAAAACTTTGCTTTCGTAATCAGAAATAATCCATGGCATGATTGGATAATGTTGTAAACTTGAAAATGTCCGACCACTTATCATATTCAATTTCATGAGATATTCAAATGTAGAAATCTCTCTGTTCTGCCACATTTTCATTAGTTGATTAAGATTTGCTGTTTCTTTAGTCAACTCTGAGATGTGACGAGCTTTTAATCCTGCTTGGACATGAGCGAAATATTTATCATCAAAAGATAACAACTTCGATCTTCCTCCATGGAAAAATAATTCGATTGCACTTTGTTTGTTGATTCTTCTTCTTTCGATCATGAACTGGATCTGATCTATTGTGTATTCCCTTAATGTTGTATCATGTTTTTTGATGCCAATTGTTGTATTCGTGATGATGAAATCAGCTGGATTTTGGCCTTCAATTGTTACAACGTTACAAGGAACTTCAATGAAATTCTTGTCGATTACAACATTTTCTGTTGAATTCTGTCTGTTGTTCAACAAAGCTGTCGATGATTGGAATAAAACAGACATCGATTTTTCAAGTGTCAAACCTTGATTTGTCAAATTCCAATTTCTCTTTAATTTGGCCGGGCAAATAAATGTACACAAAGTTTGATCTCTTTTTAGAGGTAATTTATCAGTTAAAGAATGTTCCAAACAAGAAGACCATGGAGCACCATCAATTGTCAAGTTTCTCCATAATCTTATCCATTTTCTTTCATCATCTCTCTTTTTCTTTTGCAGCGAATACAAAACTCTTTTTGGAGATTGACTTGCACTCATAATTGTTGGACAACTTTGGAATTTAAGAATTCCATTCGATTTCTCTTTGTTGTTCTTGAAGAACCTGATTAACTGATTAACAGCAATAACAATACCATGAACAGCATTAGGAGGTGCATTGTTTGCAACTGATTCTAATGCACTGAATGATGATAATTTCATGTTTTTCACAGGAATCTTGAAAATCATTTGTCTCGAATTATCTTCACATTTAGTATTAATTAAACTTAAGAAAGGTAACAACTTCGAGACTTCTTGAGAATTCAAGTTCAAACTTGTGAAATGTTCGAAAACTTTATTGTAATAATAAGGTATCAAGAACGCGCACAAAATCAAATCGAAATCCAAATAATTTGAGTTATTCCAGAACAAATACAAATCTAAACATTTCTTTGCGAGTTCTGCATCAACCCATTCTCCGTCTGGACCAATAGAAAGAGAAAAGAAAACATGTGTTTCTTTTGAAAAATTGGATTCCATTGATTGAATTTGTTTCTCAACTTCTGCAGGAGTTATCCATAAATTCATTGCTGAAACATCAGGAAATTGTAGTCTAGGAGGTAAACTAATATTTCTAAAATTAAAATGAATTGCACTTTGTTTTCTTTCAGGTGAAAATCTTGGTATTTGGTTCGTATGGCTTCTCATTCTTCTTATATTGAAAGGAGAATATGTTATTAAAGTTTGCAAAGCACTGTTATTGTTATGATACAAAATATATGATTTTGCCAAAGAAAAGAAAGATTCCATCAATTCATTTTTCTTTTTAACTAAAAGATAATCAACGATTTTGTTCAACATCATTTGTCTGTATTCTGTTGAATGTCCATTAGTTAATCTCGCGCAAACATTTATCATCATATAGAAATTACTCCAACCTTCCAAATCACTGAACAAAATGAAATCAATCAATTTGTCAGAAACAGAATTTGGACATTTCAACAACAAAACAGTTGGCCAAAACATCCATTGCAAATGAGTTACGTAATTCTTGTTTGGCTCAAGTTTTTCTATCAATGTAATCATAGCGTTTGCTCCTAAATTGATTGATAACCATGAAACAATTGGTAAAATATCATAAAAACCTTTCAAAAGCAAATCCAAAAGTGAATTAAAAACAGGTTCTCTAACAACATCTAATGTTAATTCTCTCATTATAATGTAAATGTGTTCATGTATCAAAACACCCTTTAACATGTTGTTCTTGTTTGCTATGTAAATAATATGGAAAACCTTTGTAATAATGTTTTCATCATTGAATGAAAATGTCATCATTAAAAGTGTCAAAGCATCAACTGTCACGTTTTGTATTGGAGATGGATTCATTTCGAGTAAATCGACTAAGAAATTGAGATAATCCAAACATAAGTCATGATCATTAGCTGTAACAATCATTCCTATTAAATACAGAAAATCATCATCAGTAAACGTGACAGCAGCCATTAATTGAATTATTTGGAAAATTACTTTTCTACATTCAAAATTATTCAATCTCGGATCTCTTAAACTTGTTATATATTTAAAAGCATTGATATCAGGAACATTAGTTTGATAGAAAAGTTTTGCTGTTGTCAATAAGTTCTTGATTGATCTGAGTTTCATAAATATTGTTTCATAAGAAACAAAAATAACTCTTGCCCAATGTTTCACGATTTTCAAATGATTGAAACTATCTGCTCTTATCCAAATCATTTCATTTAACAATATGGAATCTAACAATTGGCTTTGCAAATTTGATTCACTTATAACTTCGCAGATACCATAGAAATGCGCGTAAATGTGATAAGTAATCAGTTTTGCATTACATGTCATTAATAAATGTGAAATGATGTCAAAACCACTGGCTTCATAAAATAACTGTTGAGCTTTTTGAGACATTGATAAAGCATTAGAAAATACATCAATAATTAAATCAAAGAACGAATCAATTTGTTCATTAATTAAATCTAATTGACTGAAAAGCGGCAAAAGGAATTCAACTTTACAAAGATGTCCCAAAACTTCACTCAGACTCATAAGAGTTTCTTTGTTATTGTATTTATAACTCAATGTAATGTTATAATTACTTTGTGTCTCTTGTACGAACAATTCATTTTGTTGCAAAATTGTTTTCGCGGATAAAAATGTTTGTTCGTAAGGAGGTGGATCAATTCTTGGTCCTGCTTCATTTAATTTCATCAAATGACTTTCCGTCAATGATTTGAAGAATCCAAAACCACCAATTCTTGAACAATACAAAGGTAATGGTGAATCAGAAGCTAATCCACCGATTGTTACATCAACAAAACGTTTCTTCCAATGCAAATCTTGCAAAGCAACTTTTTTAGGATCTTGGCAATTGCAACTAACAACACAAACGGTTCCTCCTTTTACATAATCATTTGTGTATTCTATTGACAATAAAACCCATTGTCTGGCTTTTATATTAACATCAACAGTTGCAACAGTATCGTAATCATCTCCGCAATGTGTAATTACTAATTGGCTTTGACTTAAATTGATTTTTATCATTTTGTCGTTTTCTTCTCCAATAAAGAATAACTGTGGTTTGTAAGTTGCATCTGTTGGTTCGTGATACAACCAAATAACAAAAGCAAATCCTTCTGTTAATTCGCTTGTTGGAATATTATGTAATTTAATGAAAGAATCTCTTGTTAAAGGCATTGATGAAATGGGAAGTTTTCGAGATTGGTACATGTTGTTACTCAATGCTTTCAATGCTTGGAATTCTAAGTTTGTAACAACTTTCGATGACATGTTGAAATTCAAACTCGAAAAACTTGACAAACTTAAGTTGGAATTTGAATTCATTCTCGTGAGTTTTTTAGATGTGGCTTTCAAAGGAATGTAATCATTGTTGATGTTCTCTGTTAACTTTTCATTCAACTTCGAATTGACTTCTTCCTTAGATTTAATTAATTGGTCAGATGAACTGAATTCTTCATTCGAACTCTGCAAAAGTTTGGAATCAGTCAAATTAGAACTAGAAGAATCAGATTCCAAATTTGCAGAAGGAGAAGGAGACAAAGAAGAACTTCTCGTTATACTTCCTGAAGAACTTGAAACATTTGATACATTTCCAGAAGAATTTGACATCATTTCTGAAGAATTTGTCAAATTTTCTGTCAATTTTGACGGATTTGACAAAGCTTCTGATGAATTTTGTAATTTTGTCAAATTTTGGGATGATTTTTCTGTCAAATTTTCAGAAGAATTTGAGGATTTTTCTGTCAATTTTGAGTCATTTGACAAATTTTCTGAAGAACTTGGCAAATTTGATGAATTTTCAGAAGAATTTGACGTATTTGACAAATTTTCAGTCAATTTTGAAGGATTTTCTGCCAATTTTGAAGGTGTTTCACCTAGATCCAACACTAATAAACTAGAAGGAGTTGGAGAAGGAGGGGAATCAACAGATTGAGGACATAATAAACTAATATAATGTTGCATTACTGAAACAGAAGAAACAACAGTAGAAATTTTGTTGAAAGCGGAGAAAATTTCTTCTTTTGTTTCATCTTCAATTTTATCTTCCTCTTTCAACAAGTCAATAAACAACAAATCTATTTCTCCATTATGGCAAGCGATGCAATTCTTATACGAATACTGACAAATTCCTGATATAAACCTAACAATTTCAATGAAATTCGATGATTCTTTGAACAAAATAATCAACAACTTCAAAACTTTCGGTTGTTTTATCATAATTGATGTTGATTGTCCTGCAAACATCGTTGATGATGCCAATTGTATCAATTTATAAAAAACGGTTATAGGAATATTATTGTTCTCATACAAAAACTTGATCATTTGCTCTAAAGAATTCAATTCAGGAGCTGAAAAAATATGATTCATTGAAATGAAGGCTAAAAACGATAGCAAATTGTCAAAAAACGTGACATTAACGATAGAAAATGACAAAATATTATTAGTTTTCAAAGCAGTGAATAACAAGCTTTCGAATGCAGGTAACAATGATGCTTTGTGTACTAATATATCATTAATAGTTTGATACAAATCTGAAGCCAATAAAACAGATTTTTCATCAGGAAAATCATGACATGTCAATTCAACAATATTTATTAATAGTTCTATTAACCCTGGATTATCTTTTGTATTGTCTTGTATCAAATATTGTCTTGTTTGTGTTAAAACAAAAGGTCTGATCTTTGGTTCATATAAAAAAGCCAAAAAACCTTGAACAAACAAAATTGACTCAAAAGATTGAGAAACAATAGATGTTTGTTGGAACATTGTATAGAAATAAAGAAATATGGCTTTGAAGGCTGTTGAAACTTCATTTGACGATGAAACAAATGGTCGATAAAAAATTGCAGATTGAATTAAAGATTTTGATATGATTGTATGCGAACAATTTGTTTCATTGAATGAAAGTAACCTATAGATACACTCTGTAAATAAAAGTGGAGTGATTTTGATCTTAAATAAAAATTGATCTAAACCTTGAACGTCAATCCTACTTGCAATAAGAAGAGACTCACTTCTTATGCGGCTAATTGTTGAAAAGTTGTTCTTCTTTTGATCAAATGTAACTCCAGGGTCAAATATAATCTCATTCAAGAAAAATTTACCGAGATCACGGATTTCGTCAAGGTAATCACAGTTAGAACATATGTAAAGTAACGTTGCGTACAGTAAATAGATCTGCGGAGTTGAAATACAAAGAGCAATCGTAGACATCATCGTAGAAATGAATGTTTTCGTAAGTAATTGTGATTTTGAGATGCCTGCGAGTATGATATCGACCTTTTTGAGGAATCCTGGTTCAATTAATTTTGATAAACCTGGATCATCAAAAGAAATGAGGTTTTCGAAACTCATTCCGTCTGGGAATACGTCATTTGCAAGGAATCTGAACAGTCCTTCGTTTGTTTGGTTGTTTTGGAGAGTAAATGGTTTTGATGATGGAGGAATTACGAGAGGAGCGAGTAAATTCGAGTAATTTCCCATTGACATGGCGATAAGCTCCATGAAATGATTGACGCTTTCACCTGTCACGTGTAAAATCAAATTCCCGAAAACGCTTAAAGCGGAATTCTCAAGAGATGAGAGCTGGTACACCGTAGTTTGAATCAGCGATGTAGCAACTGATGATGGTAGATCGAGTGTTGTTGAAAATGAGAGTAATTGACTGAAATTTTCTGACCAAACAACAGATGAGTGCTGTGATGAGCAGCATTGAACAGCAAATAGTACTAAATTATAGCAATGTTCGGGTAATTCTCTGTATTGAGACAAAAATAGTAAAAGAGGAGGTAAATACTCATTAAGTTGGGTCTTTCGCTGTTTAAAGCATTGGGAGTAAAGAATATAGAATGCTGAGATTGCGATAAAGCGATATTGAAAATATTCTGCGAAGACATCAGGATCACATGCAACAACCAAGGCAGAAAATATCGAAACCGGAGCAATTGATTGGCTTTGTTTTAATTGCCAGCCAACAAAGGAAAATAATATGTATTGCAAAGTAATTAATTTGTTTTTTTGAACAAAATCATTATTTTTCGAAATGATCTCCAAATTAAATTCATCGAATTCGAATTGGATTTTAGCTTTTATTAGTAATTCGAGTGGATTTTTACTAATTTTGATTGTTTTCTTCAAAAAAGGAAGCTCTGCAATATAATTTGTTGGAACCGTAAATGGTTTAACATTATCAAGGCTCATCAACAGCTCGATGTCAGAGGGATTTGGCTTCTCCTTGAGGATTTTTGCATAAATTTCCCCTTCGGAGAGAAGTTTCATCGCTCTCATCGTCTTTGAAGAATCTTTTCAATTTTAATTTTGGAATAGTAGATTGAGATAATATCATGTCTGCCATTATAAAGCTATTTTTGTAAAATAAAGAATAAACTTGTTTTAAATTATTTCCGAATAATATTCAAGATTTGAATATAATTATATCAAAATTCGGGTGATTTTATGTAAAACCAATCACGATATAATAATCGTCATTGAAAATTTTATATACTGGAAATGGCATTTCTTTTTGAAAAATTTTATTCATCTTTTAAAATTGTTGTGTTAATCATAATAGATAATTTTCTATGCGATAATATTGATTTAGACGATGACGATAATTTTGTGTAAACTTCTCAATTTATTTCATTGTTCGATAAGAGAAAAAATCGAACCATATTGATGAAAGCTTTGAATTTTCTATAAACGATGAATTTTGATAGAATTCTGATAAAAAAATGTCACAAGTTATTGGATTGAAATGTAAGTTATTGAACTATTACCATTCATCTATTAAAATTCAATTGCAAAATAAGAATTAGCTATGAAACAAATATATGTTAATTGCAAAGCACAAAAAAATGCAAATTTATTAATTGTATAATCAACAACAAAATAATTCATGAAGTAATAATGTTAAAAGAACATTGTGAAAGCATAGAATGCAAGAAATGCATTTTTATTAGAAAATATGCAAGAAAGATTCTGATTCGTTATCTTGCATTGTTTTGGTGCAAATACAACACAGGCATATGAATAATAAGGCCTAATATGATTGATTGTTTCTAAAATTTTGTTATTTGATGTAATAATTGGAATATTTGAATCGAGTTTATCATAAAATGAGTTTGTTACTGATGATTCTGAAGAACCAGTTAAAATAAAATTACCTTTTCCCATATTTCCGAAAATACAGCATTTGTTTAAAATAACAGTACTATATGATATGATCGTCCCCATGTCTGTACTGTTTTGATAGTTTTTCAAGAAATTGCAATATTCTATTAAAGTATCAATGGATTCTGTTTCAAAACAAAATATAGAATAGGTTTGAGCCATATTTCCTTCGATATTCGTAAAATTTATTTTCATGAAGTCCGTAGAACGTCCATAAATTCTGAGAATATGCATTTGTATAAAAATATTTCTTCATTACTTGGATTTAAATAAGGATTATGGGCATTTTGGATCGAATAATGATTTGGCTGAGGGAAATATAATTCCCAAACGCTTTTTGGAGCATTATCTAAATGATTTGTTAAGATGAATTGTCCTAGGATCATCAAAAGAATTTAATAATTGAGTTTCAGAAAAATTCAATTTGGTGTAAAAAAAGTTCAGTTTATTTCAGAAATTTGAGAAGAGTTATTCATTTAATTATTTACCTTAATTTGTGAATGATTTTAGATAAGATAATGATAATGAGGAGTTCTATCGATTCCTTTCTTTTTTTTGAAAGTTTGTAAAGGAATTTCAAAAAATAAGAAATATAATTTTCTATTTATTAACTAAGTATATTATGTAAACATAAAATTAAATATTTATATTATTGAGAGGAAATCAACAGACCAACTATAAAATTCAATGAACAGTTTGTCAATTTCAACCACTAACTAGCCAACTTTAAATATTTATATCTAAACAGCATTATGATATTATTAATGACAATTTGAGTTTGAGTAGTTTTATCCAAATGTTGGAAATTGAAATTGTTGAGAAAAAACTGAATATTTTAATAAATTAATATGCTTTTACTTTTTGTTAGTTGGATTGTTATAAGTTCACAATAAATATTGATAAATTATCACGATTTCGGATTAGAAATATTCCGCAACTTGTTAATTTTGTTGCGGAAAATGTAGTATATCTTCATTTTGCTACAATTAAAACAATTATTGTAGTTCTGTCTAAAAATATATAAAAATATAAATTATCTTCCGAAATTTATTTTACTTTTACTCATCTGTTGGGATGCAAGCCATTGTAGCCTCACCGCACTGGTTGTTCTTGTCCTTGATCATGCGGATGTAGCCCTGTTCACCCCAAGATGTGCCCCAAGAGTTGCGAACGATCCAGTAGTTCTTAGAACCTTCTGTGCCATAGCCAACAGCGCCAACACCGTGATCGAGGTTGTAAGAGGAGCAAGCAGATTCATCATAGATATTTTAATAAGGCAATTCTGTCATAACATATAATGGTACATGAATTAATTAACTGGTTTAACCGATATATGGTTGAATACCGAAGTAGCCAAATTTATTGGAAAAAATCAATAATCAAATCAACAGCAAAAAGAGTGAATTTAGAATATAAACATCTAGACATTTCGAGTACTGAATGAGATAAGAAATGATTTTCTTGAATTGCAATGAATAATATTGTGATACTAGTTGTAATAAACTGTTGTTCAGTTTATAGTTTTAAAGAATGATTGTTATTAAAAAATTCTAAAAAAAATACAAACATTTTATTAAACACTAATATCATTATTATTCAGTAAATATTCCAGTTCTCTATGAGATCTGAAATATCGCTGCATCTCATTTTCGTCTTCGTTATATGAAACTGCTTCTTGTCTGATAGTAATATATTCATTCTTACACTTTTTGAAGATTTCTATGGCCTGTTCTTTGTCCATAGCTGTTCCGACACCTTCGTAAAGGAGAACTCCAGAGTAAAATAGTCCATCTTTGCAATTCTCTGCAGATTCGAATGCCAAAATAGATGCTCTATGGAAATCATACTCTGTAACTCCATTTGCGTAGTAGTGCATGCTCAAATATACCTTTGCCAAATCGCAATTTGAAATATAATTCTCAAAAACAACTTTTGCATCGGAAGAAGACTTATAATTAAATACGCCATCGCGTAACATTGACGCAATCATCACATCGCAACGTGGATCACCAAGCTTTGAACCTTCTTCAAACAAAGCTTGAGCTTTTTCATGGAATTCACGGGATTTCTTGTATAAAAAGATAACACCGAGATGGAAGATGGCATCAGCATCAAGAATTTTGCAACATTGTTGGTAATATTCGGTTGCAAAATCCAAATTTTTCTCGAAACCATTGATTCCAAGCGAATAATAAAGCGCACATGATGATGCACTGTATGTTGAGCCTTTCTTGGCAAGTTCTATCAATTTTTCTTTGGAAAGATCATTTTGTAAAATTTTGTCACTTTTTGGATTTTCTTTCTTTTCTTCTTCAAGTTGTATTCTTTCCAAGAACAATTCACAATCTGCATTTTCTAATTGCATGCCTCTTTTGAAGGTCTTTGTTGCTTCTGCTATGTTCTTTCGGACTAATAAACCTTTATAATGAATTAATCCGAACAAAAAGACAAAGAAAGGTCGACCGAGGTCCCTGTAGTACTTAACAAAGTCAAACAATTCTTGGAAACAGATATTCGAGTTGATTAATCTACGTAAAAAATAAAAAGCAAGACTTTCATCAGTATCTACAAGTAATCCTTTGTAATATATCTCCGCAACATCGAGCATTGCTTGAGGAACACCATTATATGCAGCTGCCAAAAGAAATTTCATAGATTCACTTCTATTTTCACTTCTTGTAAGGCGACTATACTCATATTTCGCGTAAATGTTACCGCTATTAGCGAATTTTTGGAGTTTCTTTAGTTTTAACGCGTTGTTTTGCAGATCATTACAATATCTTACTTCTAATTCCGGAGATTTATACCTTTTGAGCTCTTCTTCTATCTTATCTTTGTTCAACTGCATGTATGCAATGTCCAAAAATCTTCTTTGTCCCGTCAATTTTGCGTATTCGATAGATGCCGCTGCAACGCCATTAATTGAAGCTTCGTGGATCAATTCGAGACCTTTTTCTTGGTCTGTTCTGTATATCATTCTACCCAAATGGTATCTTCCTTCTTCATCTCCTAATGAATTTGCGATATCGTAGTATTCTGTTGCTCTTTGTATGTCTGGTGTTGTGCCACGGCCTTTCTCGAAACAGAGACCTAAATTGATGATTCCTGTTGTGTCATTTCTGAGAGATGCGAGATATGCAATGTAAATTGCTTCCATATCGTCTGTAAGTTCGAATAATTCATTCATTGCTTTTATATCGAAGTTGTACGCTTTGCTTCTGAGTATTTTAAGCTGTGGATTTTGATTATTGAATTTTATCATTGTTGACATGTATCTTTGGAAATATTTCATATCGGTTCCTGGTATCAATATCTCGCCTGTTAAGAATCTGTTGACAATTTCTCGAAATGGTAAGCGAAATTGAGGATCGCAATTTATGAGTTCGTCAAGCATACGTTGGAAAGAAAGAATACGACCAGAAGGTAGTTTAAAGTTAGGTTCTGGCATTCCCATGCACAAAATGTAATAAGATAAGACTGCATAAGAATATAAATCACTTTTTTGCGATTTAATAGTTTCGGGCGCTGAATATAACTTGTATTCTTTATAATCTTCATCGCTATATGCAGATGATTTGTTAGCAATCAATCCAATGCCATAACACTGAATTATAGGCTGATTTTCCTTATTAAGGCAAACGCAGAATGGGTTCAATCCATAATGTGAAACTCCAAGCTCTTCAAGGTATCCCATTGAAGCAGCAATTCCTGCCAAAATAATTGCTTGTTCTGTATAAGAAAAATTGTATTTATCGATGACATCTGATAGTCTTATTAAATCATCAAATGGATATTTGATGTATGGGCGTATTTGATTGTTAATAAAAACGAAAGAACCAGACATTTGTGACAATCCTGGATGCCTGATCATAGCTATTTGTTCTAACTGTTTCGCAAATAAGCTTCTATCGAGTTCTGATTCATAATTTCCGTTTAATAAGATAACAAATTGCTTCTTATTAAAAAAATTGCCGTAATAGGATTGCCCAAATGGGGTAGGTTCGCCAATTGTTAGATCGGTTAATCCCATTTGTATTCCAAGTTCTTTCAAGAAATTATCACTATCCATAATAAAATAAACTTTTCAAAAAATAAATTGAAAAGATAGAAATCAACAATTGTTTTGGGGAAGGAAATAATGACATGAAAAAATTGTTTTGGGATTTTTTAATTGTTTATTTTATTGCCCGTAACTATTCAAATTATGAATGATTTTGAGAAGATTTACGGGTTATAAAATATACAATTTTGCGATTTCCTTATGTCATCCAATGGATTCAATACGTTGAGGGAAGTTGGAAATACCCTATAAATCACATTTTAAGGAAATTGATATATTTTATTAGATAAGGGACATTGATAAAGTTATAGCATTTTAGAATATTATTTTTAAAAATACAAAATTTTGTGAAAAAAAATTAAAAAATCACAATATTCTTTTGATCTATCAGAAATTTTTAAATTTTAAATAACTTATTTGCTAATATAAATCAGTGTGAATATAGTTATATATCAGATTATGTGCTACAATAAATAATCAAATGACAATATATATTCATTCAGAGATAATAATGAATTTTTATGTCATTCTTAAAATTAAGCTGTCAGTTATTATGTTGAATCAGATTTCTTTCTCATTAAGGTATGTTATCCAAATTCTGAGCGATGAAGATGCTAACAAACTACATATTATCAAAACTATCAAAGTATCCATTCAAATATTTTATTTAACTATCATTTGTAATGAGGAATCTCTAATTGTTTTGGAAATATTGAACAATTTTTTAGATGATGTTCAGCCTTCAATTTTTTTCTATTATAGTGAAGAAATTATTATATGCTAGCAAATATAGATTCAGATTTATGTTATAAATGCTTGAGTGACATTGAATAAGTAGAAAGATTTGATAATCCATAAATTATGATTGATTTCGTGAAGAAAGGAAGAAGCCACATACCATTAAAGTATTATTCAGAAATAATTCAATAGAAAACATGGCTTTTATTTTAAATTATTTTGATCAAAGGAAATCATTTGTAATCAATTGAGAAAATGAATCATATGCTTAAACATATTATTGCTATAGAGGATACTGTATGAATGTGATAGAATTGTGAATATATCACATTATAACAAATCTTTAATTAAGGTTTCAATAATTGAAAAGTGAAGAATAAAAAATATAAATATTGAATTTTTTAAAGATCGCAAGAAAATAACTAAATGACTAATCGTGTTAATACAAAATACTTAATAATAAACTACTGAACGTTGAGATTTAAAAATTGATAGGTTATTTTTTGTGAGAAGAAATTTAATTATAAGATAATTAGGTATGGAAACAATGAAAAGAATTAAAAAAAGATAAAGTCTCAAAAATTTGACAAAAAAATTGAGTAAAAAAGATTAAAATTAAGATAGAACGAGTGTAGCTATGAAAATAATTGATATGAGAATAATTTTTTGTGAAATGATGCAATAACTCTTCTGAAATATTTGAAGTTGTAAATATTTTTGTGAAGTTTACATTCAATATTCACCTTCTCAATCGGAATATTAGCGGTTAGGAATTTACAAAATTTATTTAAATATTTTATTAAATATCAAATTTGCAATTATATGTTTCGAACATCGTATTCTCAATATTTGAATTCACTATTAAAATTTTTGATAGAAGAATAAATTAATAATATATTTTTAATTACCATATAGAATACATTTTAATTTAACCGGAAAACTTGAAAAATAATTTATTCATTCAAAATTCATTAAAACAATTTCGCATTTGATATTTTTTTCATACATCACAGTAAGTGTTAAAACACAAAAATATGAAGAATTAAATTCAATTTTCTTCGAAATACTCTTTCATATTATTTTCAGTTTATTCTTGTTATTTACTTAATTATTATCAACTATTTAAACACGAAGCCAAATAAGAATCTTCTCAAATAAATTATTTTTATCCATTGTTTTCTAAAATTCCAGCTAGTACCATTATTACATTAAATTTATCATCACAATTTTTAAATCGAACGTATTTTTCAAATGAAAAGATATCTTATCGGTGCATTTCAATTCAAAAACTCAAATACAAATAACGTAATTTTTAGTCTCTACACTATTTCAATATAAGCTCCATTTTTAAACAGTTTTTAAAAATCGAGCATTGAAAAGTGTGATGAGACTTTCAATTCCTTTTATCCTCTCTATGCCTGACGTTCAGTAAATTCCAAATCCTCAATACTATAATTTTGAATACCTCTACAAAAATTATTTTCAAAATAAGAATTGATAACAATTCAATTAATTTGAAAATATAATCATGAAGGAGGATAGTGCTAGCCAACGCGAAAAGCAAAAAATCTTCAAAGTTTCTGTTACAAACCTTGTGAACATGCTGGAAAGCCATCCAGGAAAGAGCTTTGGAATTCCTTCCTTATGTTCCAGCTTTAAGATCAAAAGGAGACGATTTTATGATATAGTTAACGTATTTGTTTCGCTAGGATGCTGCCAGAAACTGAATCTCGATCGTGTTGAATGGCTTGGAAAGTCCCAAATCTCAAATCACATTCTCACAATGAGAAAAGAAAAAGAGATTGATAGACCAGAAATTTCATTAGATTCGCTGTTCCCTGTTGAAACATGTGTAGGTGTCTCAAACTTAACAATTAATTTTGTACTTTTGTTTTATGCTTTGAAATCGAATAAAATTGATATAAGGATGGCAGGACAATTCTTGTCCAGGGGTACAGGGCGCTATAAAACAACATTATGCAAACTTTACCAAATTAACCTTATCTTGGCAACTCTAGGAATGACATCGAAATCTTCCGAACTATGCAGTATCGTACTCCGAAACCCCTATATGAAGAACGAGGATGTTTACAAAATACCTAAAGAAATTCAAAAAGATTCAATCATGTCAATTTTATATTTGCTTAATAAGCCAGAACCAGGTACAGTCAATTCATACGTTGTTCAGAGACGTTATGAAATGAAATCCTACGTGAATGCTGACAGTCTTTCAATGTCAGATGATTCACTTCCCGACTTTTTATTATAGAGTGAGCATTTATTGCTTACAGATTGTGTATCTTTGTTACTATCTTTTATCTATCTATCTATCATTGTTGTTATTTTCTTTTTGATTTAAATCGTTTTTAATCTTTGAATTTTGATGATTTTTGTCGATTCAATAAAGTTGCTTCATATGAAATTATTACACGATCATCATATCAGTTAATATACGATGTATGTTACTTTCAATAACAAATTCATCAAATTCAATAGACCAGATTTGAAATTCACCTAAAAAACACACACAATTTGATTTTTAATAATTTTCAAAAAAAAGGTAGTGGGGCTTCCAGGCGCGTTGCGCCCTCTAGCCCCGAAGATGTTTAGTATAAATGAAGTTTTTATTCGGAAAATTGTTAGTCTTCTGGTGTGAATTCGGAGGACTCTTCTTGGATAGAGTCTTGTATTTCCTCCTCCTCTTCTTCCTCCTCCATTGTTTCTGGGAAGAAGCCTTCTTCTGGGTCGAAAACATTATATAATGTGTCACTTTTCACAAATTATATATGTTTTCATGTTTTGTCACTTTTCTGTCACTTTTCGGGTAAAAACATTTTTATTATTATATATAAATGAATTTTACAAAACCACCGTTACCGTTCTTTGGAAATAAGAGTAGATGTAAAGATATTATATTGAGAGAACTTAAGAAACTACCGAATGGTCTAACATTTGTAGATTTGTTCGGTGGAAGTTTCTATATATCCCATTTATGTCATACCGTATTTCCTGACTCAAAGATTATATGCAATGACTTCGACAACTATATGGACCGTCTCAAACATATTTCAGACACAAACAATATATTGACTGAGTTAAAAGAAAAGATACCTATAGGTAAGATGGAACGTATACCATTAGATAAGAAAAATATTGTGAGAGAGGTTTTGAAAAAAGCAGAATATATAGACTGGGATAGTATATCTGCTAGACTATTATATAGTGGTGCTATAAGAGTTCATGACATTGAAACACTTATGTCAAAAGTTTTATATCTTAACTATACAAATGTTTTCAAAGAGAACATAGAAAAATATATTGAGGGTATAGAGTTTGTGAGATGTCATTGGACAGAGTTGTATGAAAAATATAAAGACAAGGAAAATGTTTTCTTTATAGTGGACCCGCCGTTCTATAACACATGGGATTTTCAATACCAAGTAGACTGGACTTTGAGAGACTCTTTAGAAACTTTAGACGTTATACATAACCATCCATGCTTTTACTTTACATCCGATAAAAGTGGTTTGGAAACCGTTTGAGAGGTTAGAGGACATACATGACTATGAGTTTTATATATGACAAGATAGAATATGAGAGAGGTCCTATAAACTGGAGAAAGTGTCACAATAAAGAAATTTTATTAGTAAGTAAATGTGGTTTGAAATAGGACTACTTGTTTAGGTTTTTTTCCATTGTGTCATTTATTTATTTGACGTGGCAGAAAAAGTACAGAGAATATGAAGATGAACCAATGCCTGCAAATGTTCAGCATATGTACTCGTAAGAGATATTTTTATCTAATATTAAATGGACACACAGAAACTTAGCGAATGCACAGCAACCTGGACAACCAAACCCAGAGAATATTCCAAATGAAGTTAGAATACAAAACTGCAATGGCAAAACTATGGTCAAGTGCCACAGATGTACAATGCAAACTGCCATGTCAAATGACGCTGCGTTAGGTTGCCACCATGGTATGCAAATATGAATGGAAAGAGTTTTATACAAACCCTGAAGTGGATATAAACAACTTTATGCAGATGATGCGACACAGGAGTTGACCCAGAATATGTTTTCTACCAGAGGAGAAACAGAATTTATGAGCTCCAGTTAAAGAATGCTATGGAACTCAACAGGAAACGTAAGAGACTAGGCGGACATTAGATTTTTACACGTAGTAAATGGGTTTCTTCAGTAGTATTGGAAACTTTTCAGAAGAGTTGGAAGAGGTATATGGAATGGAATAAAAATCTGTCGGAAGAGGAGTATGGAACGGTGTCAAAAATATTGGTAAAAGAGTAGGTCAGTTTGTTGGTATTATACCTAAAGACCCTGAACCAGAAGAGCAAGCTCCTGTTATACAACAGCCTGAACCTGCACCACAGTCTAGTTGGCAACCAAATCCAACACCTCAACCGTATTAAAAAATTATATTTTTACCGTTCGATAGTAGTTGTATATGAAACTAAGTTCTAAGTAAAACGCATGGTATAATGGAATTATTCTTTTTCTTCCATCTGTAGTAAACCATACTTGAAAGTCTGAAATACTTCCACTTGGTGGTTCGTATAACTTTGTAGGTTTTTCGTAAAAGTCATTTGCCAAGCATAAGAAAGAGTTTTGGGCGCCAGAAAATGAAGCATGAACAATAATAGCATCTGGGTCGAAAACATCTTTAAATAAATATGGTTCATCTCTTGCATATCGACTGTAGATATTTGCTAAAGGAGGTTCAACTTTCTGATTTAACATTCTTTGCAAATAATACCATGACATTGCAGTGAATTCTGTATATATTTGTTCGTCTTTCTTTGGATTGTCTTCGTAGATTTGAAATGACACTTGTGAATTTTGTTTGTCATATACAATTCTCACATAAAGTGTGCTATTGGTATTCGCATATTCATCAGCATATTTTGCATAACATGAATTTATTTTATCTTCTATATTTTTTAATGCAGCCTGTAGAGAAGATGAGAGGTCAACTTGTATTAGCCCAATTTCTTCCCACATTTTTCGTTGCCCTTCAGATGTATAATCTATATGAAACCTTACAATAAATGGAAAACTTTTATCTTCTACAGACACAAACTTTATTCTTCGAAAGCCAATAGCTTTTGTGACAGATGGGTCTCTTAACCATCTTAATGGGTAGTCAAAACGATAGCCTTCATGCTTTACGGTATCTGTCTCAAACTTTTGACCGACATTAGTAAAAAGTTCATCTAATGGTTTAGTTGTAGCAACTCTAGAATTTTCTTTTTCTATTGGAAGCATATTTTATCTATAATAAAAATGTCAAATGAAACAGCGTCTATGAGAGAAATACAACACAACCGACAACTCATTATGCAAGCTCTAAATAAGAACACAACAAACTTTTCAAACTATTCTAAGATATCTGAGTCATTGAAAGGGGGTGACTTAAAACTGACAATCAACCCAATGACAGATGAGTTTTTATTTCAAGACAATAAGAACAATACTGTCTGTATAAATCCAACAAAAGGAACTTTAAACGAGAAACCTATAAATGAACTTCTTTTGAAAGCAGATGTTGACAACAAAGCTGACAAAGAATATGTAGACGATGCAATAGCAAAAGAAGAAGAAAGAGCTAACAATGCTTATGCAACAAAAGAACATACTCATCCTGAACTAGCAGACAAAACATATGTTGACAATAAAATGTCAAGTGAAGTGACAAGAGCTGAAAACGAATATTCTAAAAAGACTCATATACATTATATTAACCAAATACCAAGTCTTAAGGAAACATTAGAGACAAAAGCAGATAAGACTCATACACATTCTATATCTGATATTACAAACTTACAAGAAACCTTAAACAGGAAAAGTGCCGTTGGACATACACATTCTATATCTGATATTACAAACTTACAAGAAACCTTAAACAGGAAAGTGCCGTTGGACATACACATTCTATATCTGATATTACAAACTTACAAGAAACCTTAAACAGGAAAAGTGACGTTGGACATACACATACCATTGCAAATATTACAAACTTACAAGAAACCTTAAACAGGAAAAGTAGTTAGTATACATATCATGTGTACGGAGGCACTGCGAGCCTCCTTACCCATTATATGTGAATTTGACACTTTACAAAACCGTTAACGTATATTTTACAACACAAACGACAACACTAACTTAACCTTAAATATTTACAAAACCGCCAACCACTTCACCTCACTAACGTTTTCACAAACGACTTCACTACTGTAAAAAATAAACGTTCTCACTTACAAAAGTATTGCAACTCTTCCCATTGCTGTGCTTCACACAATAGTTCATATTCTCAGTATCGCTGCTGTCGCTCCAATCGTCAGAGTCAAAGTCACTGTCAAAATAAATGTTAGTAAGTTTTGACAAAGCTAATGAAACACGCTTACCGTTTGTATCGTATGCTTGTATAAACTTTCCATTCTTCATTCCTTCATAAACGCTCAAACTAACTTTACCCTTTCTCCCTCGTATCTGATAGAATGTATTTTCACGAGGAACGAAGAACAAATTCTTGAACTCATGACCGTTGTAGTTTGTTATCTCAATAGTTTTCGTCATTTATATAAAAATAAAATAAAAAATAAACTTAAAAATAAATGATATTACTACCTTCACACATATGAAAACATAGCACAAAAATAAATTTAGGTGAAGTGGTGAAATCTCACCTCTTTTTTCACCCGGTTTTTCACCCCGTTGAATTCATTGCTTTATAACTCTCTTCCTTGGTTTCTTTTTAGTTGCTTTCTTCACGTCTGTCTCCAACTTGACTGTCTTTCTTCTTCGGCCGTAATGATACCAGTTACTTCCACCAGTCAATGGGTCAAATGGTCTTTCGTAAGGGTTTCCATACATTCCATAGGGACCATACGGAAGAACTACTGGTGGAGAAGAAACATTTTCTTTAGTTCCATCGACTCTATTTAAATGCATTGTTTCACCTTTCATCTGGTCATTAAAGTCTTTTGCGTGTTTTGCAAACTCATCGTCCTTTCCTAAAGCATTTTCTGACTCAGTCGCAACCAAATTGGATGCTTTATTTATGAGCCCTATTTTATTTAATCTTAACTTCTTTGCAACCCAGCCTCCAATCTTTCCTTTATTTGCATCTAATGTCTTTGAAACCCTTCCTCCACTCATTTTATTTACTGCGTCATAAGCTCCAAGTGCTTTTGCTCCAAATGCTAATGCTTTTGTTCCCATTGCGCCTAAAGCTGCCCAAACTACCATTTACCCCATATTAAAATCATCTCTCTTCAATATTATCTCATAAAAGTTCTCGTTACTGGAGAAAGTCAATGAAACATACGCGTTCTCACGGGCTTCGTCCTCACCGCTTTGCAGTCTATCTAACTTCTTTCTTATATCATCTATACGCTTCAAAATGTCTGAACAATTGCTAACATCTTCTACAACAGTTATTTCATTATGAATGACCTTCAAGAACAAGCTCATTTAATATGCTATTAAAATCATCTCAATAATGAGTCCATCCTTTCCATCTTTAGGTAGCACAACATCTTTCATTGAAGAAGGTTCGACAAGTCTTATGTTAAACTTACTGACAAAGTTTGTTATACTATAATGCTTTGGCGGCGAATACATATAGTTTGAAAGACATAATATAGATTCTTCAGCAAATTCACTTATACTGGATTTTATAACAATGTTCTCACGAGACCAAATGTCACCAATTGACAATCTTGTAAGCAATCCTGCTGAACCTTCAACTGTAAACGTCGATGGTAACATTCCACGAAGGTCATCTATTGACATCTTTGAGTCACTGAATTTAAATATTTTCTTAAAGCAATCGTCATTATCTAACCATGCAATAGCTTTGAAGTTTTCATTCGAATATACATCTGCTTCATTAAATGTAAAACCTGACTTCTTTGCAGAGACGACTTTAAAATCTATTGAGTTTGTTTCAAAATTATATGCTATGGTAACTTCTGAAGGTAATGGATGTCCTTCCGCAGTAAGTTGTTCTCTCACTACCGTTTGAAGCTTTGTGTTAAAAACTTTCATGTCATCTCCTGTGTCTAGGTTCACATACACAGCAACAGGAAAACTATCTTGCTTCTTTGTTTCATCATTATATCTCAAAACATTAAAGTTCTTCAATAATATTGTTCTTCCTGCTGGAATACTTCGAACCTGTCTGATTTCAATAGCTTTCTCACCTCCTACATACTCTACCCAGTGTCTTGGATATTCATAAGTATACTGACTTTCTTGAATTTTGGTTGGTTTCATCATAACGTGTTCATAGTATATCTTTATACTCTTGTCAGTTAGACTCGGTGCTATGTTCTGAATATTTCTGACTTGCATTTTTAATGGAGATAAAATGAAGCATTTAATACATGATGTAGATGAAGACATGAATGAAACTACAGACAAACTTAACTCTTCTCTTATTCTTCCTTTCAGCAAAGATTATGAATTCTGTTCAAATGGTGTGTATTTCTATTGTGGAAAGATGGGTTCAGGTAAGACATTTAACCTCATTCGTCATATACTCATAACAGAGCGTTTAGGAAACGACTCTTACTATGACCAAATCATTATATCAGCAACTTCAGACTCTATGGATTCAACAGCGAAAACATTTATGTCAAAAGTTCAAGCCTCTGTCGTTAAAGTTCCAGACAGTGAACTCATTGAATTTCTTCAACGTTACATTCGACGTAAGAGGAAATATTATGCCATCGTAGAGTTCATACAGTCAGGAATGCAAAAGACTTCTGAGGAGATGGAAAGAATTATTGACAAACACCACTTACGTCAATACTCAGGAGTTTACGATATGAAACGACTTACAAACTACATTCTATCAAAACTTTTAAAATACCCCTTCAAAAAGTATCCTTCAAACACTCTGCTCGTTTGTGACGACTTCGCCGGAAAAGGTTTAGTGTCAAAAGCAGACTCACCATTAGCTAACATCATAACTAAAGTCAGACATTACCATTTAACTGTAGCAATACTTATGCAAACATTCAATGCTTCAACATCTATGACCCCTTGGGTCTTGTCCGTAGGGCTTGTCTGAGTCATTTGACTGCAGATAAAAAACAAAATTAAAACTTTAACCGATGTAAAATGAGCTTGTCAAAATCAGAACGAGAGTCTATTATATTAAATGACGCCGGAGGAATACAACATCCTTTCTATTACGTAAGTCAGAGTAAAGATGGTAAAATATATGTAGGAAAAAGAAAGGTTCCATTAGCGAATGCAGAAAGCGACAACATTAAGGTGCATGGCAAGGGTGAAGTCCACGAAGCCCATATAAAACCTTCTGTTCAAACTGAGCCACCAAAAGAACCAGAAGAAAAGAAGCCAGATGTACTTTCAATAACGAACCAAGAGCTTATTGCAAAGTTCGTGAATTTCATTGAAAAACAAACCGAGTCAAAGAACCCTGACCCGCCAGTGAAAGAAGTTGAGACAAAAGAGAATGTACAGTTCATTGAAAATGTCAAGAAACAACTTCCACCACGAATGCCAAGAAGAAGAGTGAGAATAATGAAGTAAATAGATATTTTTATCTGAAGTAAATACATGCAGAACGAACAGCTAAACGAATTTACTCCAGCAGAGCATATTCATCAGATTCGCTCATATTTCGATATCATAGACAATGCAGTTCAAATTGGTGACACTAATAGAAAATATTCTGACGCAAAGATTCCATCACAACCTGGAACTGCTAAAGATAACACATGGGTAACATTCAATCTCTCACCTCCTGGTGAAAATATGTTGGACCTTTACAATACATTCATTACGTATAAAATGGAAGGTCAATTTATTGTAGATAAAGAAATTGGTTCAGGTTCCAATAAAACAAACCCACCAGGATTTTGGATTGGTTTCGATGACGCTTTCTATGCAGTTGCTGGATATCAAATCCTTGCAAATGGTCGTATCGTATATTCTCAAGACAACGCAAGAGAAGAAGCATATATAACTTCAAACTCACAAACTACCGAACAAATAAAGAAAGTAGATGTTTTCTCAAAGACTCGACATGAAGATGTATGGAGTCATTCGGGAACATGCAGAACAGGACAAATTGTTAGTGGTCCAATTACAGCAGGAAAATCATTTGATTTTAAGCTTCGTTTAAGAATTCCTGTTAGAAAGTTTTTACCATTAGAAGCTATTCGATTTATTCCAGCTTTTGCAGGAAACATTCAGCTTAAAGTAAAGTTCAGTAGCGACGCCTTACAATGCACATCTATATCTGTAAATGATATCATTGCTTTCAATCCAACTCTTAAAGTTGCATTTGCTTCAGATTCAAATCCACCGACAAATAAATTTGTTCCATGGAATGAACCATTCACTATGATAACGAAGGCAATAGAAGCTAGTGGAACAGTTACTATTACAACTGTAACCCAGCAACTATTTCGAACAAAGATGGATTTTAATGAATGTTTCATTCATCCAAAGTCATTCTCTTTAGACCCTAACATTTATACAGAACTTGTAGAACATTATACAAACGAGGCTTTATGTTTTCCTGTTAAAGTTATGGATTGGATTCCTATGGACGGTTCATTCTCAAAGAATACAGATAGTTCAAGTGCAACATTTACAGCAGCTTATACGCCTATTAATGTTAAAAGTATTTGGGCACTATTTAGAAAGAAAGACAACTATTATGTTAATTTTGAGAACCCTAAGTTTAAATATCTTCAGCTTTCCATGGGAGCTTATGGAAATATGCCTGCAGAACCTGAAAAATCATATGGACCTGTATTTTATGAAATGGTTGCGAACGCCTGCAATACAAACAATGATATGATAGGATTTAATGAAGATGTTATGAGGTCATTGGTGGATGATGGTAGTGTGGAACATAAATGGGATAGCTATGACAACACACATTTCTTATGTGGTTTTCCAACTGAAGTGGACTTTTGCTTCCAGCA